TGTGTTACTGGTTTAGGTATTTGTACACTATACTTTTTTTGTTTTGTTTTGTTAATTCTCACCTATGGATATTTTTTCCATTAATTTTTTAGAGTCAGTGGAAGGGGTGGGGGAGGAGAGAGAGAGAAACATCGATGTGAGAAAAGACATGGATTGGTTGCCTCCCGCATGTGCTTTGACTGGGCTGGGAATCAAACCTTCGACCCTTCCGTGCATGTATGGACACTCTAACCATTGAGCACCACTGGCAGGGCTTGCTATCTATACTTTTAATTATTATTTTAGAGTGTACTCTTTCTACTTAAAAAAACTCTTTGTACCCCGGTTGGGTGGCTCAGTTGATTGGAGTGTCTTCTTGTACACCAAGAGGTTGTGGGTTTGGTCCCTGGTCAGGGCATGTACAAGAGGCAATAGCTCCATGTTTCTCTCTCTTTGTAAAAATCAGTACAAAATCATATCCTTGGTGAGGATTAATTAAAAAAAAAAGTTTGCTATAATCAGTTTGCTGTGTTCTATTGACAGCAGCCTCACCTATTTTATGTTTGCCAAATCTCTTGATTGCATTATTTTTGTTTGTGTAGCCTAAGTGTATAAAGTCTGTAAAGTCTGTAGTAGTGTACAGCAATGTCCTAGGCCTTCACATTCACTCACTCCTCACTCACTCACCTAGAGCAACTTCCAGTCCTGCAAACTCCATTCATAGTAAGTGCCCTATACAGGTGTACCATTTTTTAATTTTTTATACTATATATAGACTACTTTTTCTCTATTTAGATTCACAAATACTTATCATTGTGTTACAGTTGCCTACAGTATTCAGTACAGTAATAATATTGTAAATGTTGGTAGCCTAGGAGCAATAGACTATACCAATAGTAGGCTACACAATCTGGTTTTGTGTAAATTAACTCTATGATGGAAGTGGAACTTAAACTTGGACCTCCTGAGTACTATTGTTCTTGCCACAGCATGGCCTTGCCTTCCAGGTGACATTGCCTTGTCCTGAACCGTAACCTCATCTCAGCACCTGGTGAATAGTTTAGTATGATTTTTCTACAAAGGAAAGTTGGAAGGGGAGAGGACGTGTACTGAACCCACCAGTTTGTTCCTTTCCACTGCTGGGCTTGGTACTGAGGGTTCTGCCTCCGACATCTCATTTGATGACTTCAGATCATCTTGAGTCATTTGTTGGGTCTTCATAGGAAACGCTTCAACCTTCGTATCCAAGCAGTGTTAAAAGATGGGGGAAATTCAGAATTGGAGCCATGTACACAAAATAAGGGTCTGGGAAGAGCCATAATGAAGTTGGGCTGATTGAGTTGGGAAGGCTAAAGGAAGTTTGCTTACTGGTATGTGCAAGGAGGATTTTCCAGAAGGTAAAACAAGAGGTACTGGTTTTGTTATTTGAGCAGGAAGTTTGGCAGTTATATAATACTAGAGGCCCACTGCATGAATTTGTGCATTCATGGGGTGGCCTGGGGTGGCCGGGGAGCGGGGACCACAGTCTGTAGAGGGGACAGTTTGGATATTAGCCTTTTATTATATAGGAAAAGAGCAGTTTGAGATCCCACCTTTTAGAAGCGGTCCTACTTTTTGAAGGGAACAGGTAGATGTAGTGATTTCTCATTCAACTGTAGATGCTTCTCTCTCTGAGGCATGACTCTTAGTGGTTTCTTCTGTTACCATGGCAATAATAGAAGTACCTGCTTCAGCCTTGGAGAGTCCCTTTCCCTTTTTTTTTTTTTTTTTTTTAAATATATTTTATTGATTTTATACAGAGAGGAAGGGAGAGAGATAGAGAGTTAGAAACATCGATGAGAGAGAGTCATCGACCAGCTGCCTCTTGCACACCCCCTACTGGGGATGTGCCCGCAACCAAGGTACATGCCCTTGACCGGAATCGAACCCGGGACTCTTCAGTCCCCAAGCCAACGCTCTATCCATTGAGCCAAACCGGTCCTGGCCCTTTTCCTTTTGAGAATTTAAAATAGATGGGCGCGCGCACACGTGTGCGCACACACACACACACACACACACACACACACTAAAGAAATGAGGAATATAAAAAGAAATAAAATAGACTGGCACATGTCAGAGATGGAGGAAAGTAGGCACGGGGTCCTGCCTTAGGATTCCTCATCAGTAGATGTTGGTACTTCGTGATTCAGTTGACAAATTGAGATGGTGCCCACAAAACAAGGTCCTGGAACAGAGTCCTTTGTTGCTCTGCTTCTCTGCCCCGCTGAGCATACAATTTGCATGATCCCTGTAGGAGTCCCTCCTGCTTGAGCCCTGCGGTGTTTGTCCTGTGACGACAATGTGACTGCTCAGTCACTCTGCTCAGTCATTCCACAAGCACACAGAGACAGCAGAGGCAGCTCTTGGTTTCTCTAGCACAACGCTAAGAAATCCATAGGCATGTGCAGGGCCAGGAGCTTGTGCTTAACCCTTGGGTGACTGGTGACTGGCAGTCATGAGGGCATTCATTCTGCTCCCACAGAGGGAATGACTTGGCTTCAGACCGAACAGAGTGATTTGTGTTGGAGCTCTTCAACGCCCAGGGGAGTCAAAGGCACGGCGGCGTAGAGAACAGATGTTGGCTCCTATCCTGCCTTTACCACTGACCAGCTACGTGACCTTGGGTCTGTTCCTTTTAATGTAGCTGTCCCTCTATTTCCTTAGCAGAAGTATCCAGCTGTGCACAGATTAGGTTGTAGGGGTTGCATAGGGTCACAGCCATTCAGTAAATCCTAGCGTCTCTCTTCAACTCTCAGTGTTGATGGAAACATGACCTTGGGAGCCTGGAGGACAAACAGCCTGGGGCAGGGGAAACAGTGACCACCTTCTCTTCAAGGGCCTTCAGAGAGGAGATTGCCCTGCTGGACTCGGTGGGGAGGAAGGGCCACTTTTGCCCACAGCAAATGGCACATGTTTGTTAGGGGTTCTCCTAGACCCCCCTCTAACTTCCTTTCCACAGTCTCGAGTCTCCATTCTGGCCAACCGAGTTGTTCCAGGCTATTGTTCTTTCTTTCTTTCTTTCTTTCTTTCTTTCTTTCTTTCTTTCTTTCTTTCTTTCTTTCTTTCTTTCTTTCTTTCTTTTTTTTTTTTAAATATATTTTATTGATTTTGTACAGAGAGGAAGGGAGAGAGATAGAGAGTTAGAAACATCGATGTGAGAGAGTCATCGATCAGCTGCCTCTTGCACACCCCCTACTGGGGATATGCCTGCAACCAAGTTACATGCCCCTGACCGGAATCGAACCCGGGGCCTTTTAGTCCCCAAGCCGATGCTCTATCCATTGAGCCAAACCGGTTTCGGCCAGGCTATTGTTCTTTCCCTGTCACTGTCTACAGGTATTCCTCCTTCACTCGCACTGCGCTGTCCTCCCCTAGGAAGCCTGTGCTGGTGCATGTACCTCACCTATGCCTACCTTGAAGGGAGGTCGTCCCTCAGCTCCCATGCACTCAGTGTGCACTGCAGGAATCCTGTACTTTAATGAAAGTGATCCGGTCCGGCTCAGGGAATACTGAAAGGCTAACCCTGCTACTTCCCTGACTTCAAGGGTAAACCAGGAAACGACTTAGGCTGGTGAGGGCCTTTGCCTGGGGAAAGTGATTGAAGATGGACTCTGATTAAACACTTGACATGAGTTTTGCCAAGGCATTAGCACTGGGACTACTTGTGCAGATCTTTTCAACCCTCTAGACATGTCCATGTCCTACACAGGAGCACGTTACATTGTTACTAAGAATATGTCCACTATATGACGCCCTTTCATTTGACAGTTTTTCAGTTGGAAGGTTCCAATTGTATGCAATTACTACATTGGTAGGTTTTTTTAGTTTTGTTTGAAAAAAAATTTAAATATATTTTATCGATTTTTTTACAGAGAGGAAGGGAGAGGGATAGAGAATCAGAAACATCAATGGGAGAGAAACATCCATCAGCTGCCTCCTGCACACCTCCTACTGGGGATGTGCCCGCAACCAAGGTGCATGCCCTTGACTGGAATAGAACCTGAGACCTTTTTAACAGACTGTGAGTTTCTCGAAAGCAGAGTCAGGATCTTCTGTTACTTGAATCTCCCTTGATTGTAACTGGGACTGAGGTAATGATTTATATGCTTGGGGATGAAAGGGGCCAAACATGTTCTTTACCCTGTAGTTCTCCAGACTCCTCAGGTGGTTCTTTTCTTTCTCTAGAGTGAGTTATCTAATAACCAGAGAGGACTCTGATCTTTGCCTGTTCCTAATGTTCTACTCTCGTTGGAGAGAGAGGAGGTGTGTGTGAGGGGGTGCCCTGGGGTATGAAAGCCCCACTTAGCTTTTTCCCCACACTTTCTCTAATGCAGACTGGAGAAAGTATAAGTGTGGTGAGGGTGGGCCAGGGGAGGGCAGAGAGGCCAACACAGAAACCATAAGTAAAGTCAGGTGAGTCAGCTGGTAGAGAGTGATAAAAGGCACTCCACTGAGGATGCGAGGTCAAAGGCAGTGCCTCTGCAGTGGGCCCAGAGCTCAGAAATGGAGCATTTCCCTCTGCCTTTAGGAGCCTCCTCAGTGTCACATACTGGCATCCTGTTAGCCCACTGAAGGGCTTTACATCCTGTCTGTCAGGTGGCTGGTTTGTCCATAGCATCCTGAGCTCTGCTCTGGTGAGCCAGAGGAGGAGGAGGAGAATGGGCCATGACACCAGGGCCCAGGCAGAGACAGAAACCAGAATAGATGATGAGCTGGGGGTAGGGAGCTGATGTGGGAGTGAAACCAGGGAAGTCACTGAGGTAGGAAAGGTTTCTGGTCTTGGGAAGGACTGATAAAGGAGAGGGAAGGAGGCAGTCTCCTAATCTGTGAGGGAACATCCAGAGCCAGAATGAGTTAAGTACCCCGGAAGATGAAGCCTGAGAATGGGGTTTCAGAGTCTAGCCAAGAGGGGAAAGTGTGAAGTTCTGAGCTCCTTCCTCACATCCCTCCGCCCTGCTAAAATCCCCAGGACTTCGGGCACAATGGAAGACAAACGCAACATCCAGATCATTGAGTGGGAACACCTGGACAAGAAGAAGTTCTACGTGTTTGGCGTGGCAATGACTATGATGATCCGGGTCAGCGTCTACCCGTTCACCCTCATCCGCACTCGGCTGCAGGTTCAGAAAGGCAAGAGCCTCTACCATGGGACCTTTGACGCCTTCATTAAGATCCTGCGAGCAGACGGTGTGACTGGCCTCTACCGGGGGTTCCTGGTCAACACCTTCACCCTCATCTCGGGCCAGTGCTACGTCACCACGTACGAGCTCACCCGGAAGTTTGTATCTGACTACAGCCAGAGCAACACGGTCAAATCCCTTGTGGCCGGCGGCTCGGCCTCTCTCGTGGCCCAGAGCATCACAGTGCCCATTGACGTGGTCTCCCAGCACCTGATGATGCAGCGCAAGGGTGAGAAAGTGGGCCGCTTCCAAGTGCGAGGGAACCCGGAGGGACAAGGGGTAATTGCCTTTGGCCAAACCAAGGACATCATCAAGCAGATCCTGCGGGTTGATGGGCTTCGAGGCTTCTACCGAGGCTATGTGGCTTCACTGCTCACCTACATCCCAAACAGCGCTGTCTGGTGGCCCTTCTATCACTTCTACGCAGGTAAGCAGGGACCCAGGAGAGTGGGGTGTGGGCTTCCCAATGTGGCTATGAGACCCTCGTTCTGTAGCCATGTCAGAGGGAGATTTAATGGGAGAATGGGCCATTCATTCAGCAAACATTTGATTCAAGAGGATTCGAAGATGAATAATTCATAATTCTTTCCTTCAGGGAGCTTATATTAAAGTGGGGGGAATCAGACAAGTAAAGTAGATGATTGTAGACCATAGAATGTATTCTGGGTGCATTATAATCAACTAGGGTTAGTGGGATATTGGCAGAGAATTGGAAGATAGAAAAGGACAAAATAAAGGGGCATTTGGGATTTAAAGATAAAATTAATGAATAATAGTGCAATTTTGAGTTGGATGCCTTTCCTCAGCATTGTTAAATTCAAGATGTGATATAATCATGAACCTCTCCACTCCTGTATTTTTTGTTCATAACAAGTTTTACTTCTTTTTAAGTATTTCCCAGAAATGGGATTACTGCGTTAAAAGATAAGAATTTTGATAGCCTCAATAAACATATTGCCACATTTCCTTATGAAAGGGCAGAACACATTGCCAAGAGTGTGCCTGCTGCCCTTGGCATTGCAGCTTTGAGTAACCAGCAAATTCCAGTTAGGGCAGTGTGTGCTTACAGCCTTCCTAATCCTGCTGCTGACCTCTAACCCTTGGCGGTGGGCATTCTGTCTCATCCCATCTGGAACTTTTCTAACCAGATTTTGTAATTTTATAAGGACTTTCTAACCTATAATTATTTTGTTTCTATGGCATTGTACTTTTATAGTTCTCCTGTTTTTCTGATTGTGCTTCTTCTTCCTTTCCTCCTCCTACTATTTTTCTCTTCCTTTTTTCCTTCTTCCTTCTCTTCCCCCTCTATCACTTTCTCCTTCTTCTTCACTAGCTCGATTTCTTTCTTTTTTTTCCTCTTTCTTTCTTTCTTTCTTTCTTTCTTTCTTTCTTTCTTTCTTTGTTTCTTTCTTTCTTTGTTTCTTTCTTTCTTTGTTTCTTTCTTTCTTTCTTTCTTTCTTTCTTTCTTTCTTTCTTTCTTTCTTTCTTTCTTTCTTTCTTTCTTTCTTCCTTTCTTCTTCAGTTTAACACAGTATTTTATTTAGAGTAGCTGGTAAAATTCACATACCTGGACTCTAGTCCTGATCCTTTGTATCAGATTTTGTGGGAATTGAGCCTGGCAATCTTTTTTAAAAAATATATATTTTTATTGGTTTCAGAGAGGAAGGGAGAGGGAGAGATAGAAACATCAATGATGAGAATCATCGACCAGCTGCCTCCTGCATGCCCCCCACTGGAGATCAAGCCCGCAACCCGGCATGCGCCTTTGACTGGAATTGGACCCGGGGCCCTTCATTCTGGAGGCTGATGCTCTATCCATTGAACCAAACCAGCTAGGGCGAGCCTGGCAATCTTAATGTTAAAAAAAACTTCCAGGAAATGTGAGCATGTTCTCTGGAGTCTATCTTCTCCCTTCTCTCTTCATTTGATTTCATTTACAATTGAATTGTACTTTTCCAATATGTCCCAGAATCTCTATTTCCATTTCCAGACTAACCTCTCCAGAGCTCTGCTCCAGACAAACATTCTGATTGACCTCTCAACTTGGATGCATGTATTTACATCTGAAATTTTACTCTATCAACCATTCTTTTTTCATATATACATATATTAGTGGCCTGGTGCATGGATTTATGCACATTGAAAGGAAATTAATTACAAGAAGAAATATTTTAATATTGCAATTCACCTTTGTCTATAATAGAAGTGTCAGAGATGAAAGAAAATGTATATGACAATAATATGTAAATAAATTAATAAATAACCAATAATAGCAACAAAGACATGATATAAAAACAATATTGATAAAAACAATGACTGATAAATTGATTAAACTTATTCTAATATCTCCCTGTATACCACATTAAGAGTAAAAAACACTTTCAGAGTGCTTTACTAATTTTTTTTGTGATGAAGTATTTACAACTTTAACGTCACATGCTCTTCAAACTCAAGAGAAAGCAACATATTACTGACCATGTCCGAAAACAGGTTCATGTAGGAATATGCCTACTCTGTCTAGAGTTTGTCCTTGTGATTTATTAATAGTCATCGCAAATGCTGACATCACGGGAAACTATCTTTAAATTAATTTAAATGGGAGGCCAGTATCAGACGGGGACAAAATCATGCATGCACGAGTCAATATTTATTTTTAAAAAATATATATTATATTGATTTTTTTTTACAGAGAGGAAGGGAGAGGGATAGAGAGTTAGAAACATCGTTGAGAGAGAAACATCGATCAGCTGCCTCCTGCACACTCCCCACTAGGTAAGTACCCGAAACCAAGGTACATGCCCTTTACTAGAATCGAACCTGGGACCCCTGAGTCCACAGGCCCATGCTCTATCCACTGAGCCAAACCAGCTAGGGCTCTATGAACTATTCTTCAACCCAACTGGCTTTCCCTTCTGACTTATTTCTATGTGTCAGTGAGCATATTTTTTTCCAAATTGCTAAGATTGAAGCCTTCGGGATTGTGCTTGGCCATGCCCTCTTCCTTGGCTCCACATCTAGTCCTTGTGACCTCAAAATGTCTTTCCAAACTCTCTCTCCATTCCTCCTGCCTTTCCTGGAAACCATGCCACTGTTCCACCTTCCTGGACAGCAGCATCAGCCTGTTCCTGGCCATCACTCACGTCCTAACGGATTAACTGTTTAGACCCTGTCTGTGCTGTTCCGTGGCTCCACTGCTTGCTGAGTTAAATCCAAACACTTCAGCCTGGCTTTAGCCTCCCTCCATATGAAACCACGTGCTGCTCCCCTGTGTATAGTCTGTGCTGCAGCCAGGCGAGCTAACGTACAGTGCTTCAACCACGTACTATCTATCGTCTCTCCTACCTTTGCTTTGTTCATATCACACCTCTGCTTAAATGGCTTCCAGGGACACTTTCCGAGGTGAAATCATGACTGAAGTGCTCCTTATTGCCTCCTATTCCCATCCTCTCCATGAAGCCCTTAACCCAGAAGTGACCTTTCCCTCCCTTCAACCTCCATTATATTGCTTGAATGTTTCCTAAGGCAGTTATAACATTTTCCTTGGTGTTATTTGTGTATGCCTTATCTCTTCTACAGTGTGGAAAGATTCTTTTATTTTTAATGCATATTTTCCAGCTATATTGATATATAATTCACTGGAAAGGTTCTTGGAAGGGGGAGGAAAGTAACATTTGTTGAATATCCACCATGTGCCAGGCTCTGTGACCACTGTGTCTCTTAGACTCTGGTGAATTGCAGTGCTCAGTAAATATTTGTTATGAATGAGTAGACTGATTCTCATTACGCCATTTGCTTAAAACCTACCAGTGCTGATTTGTGGGCATTTAGAATCCCACTGCAGCGTACAGGCCTGGGGGCTAGTGCAGACAGGCCCAGGGAGGCTGGCAGTGCCAGCCCAGATGCTACCTTTAATGGTTATGAAATGCTTTCTTCTCAAGAGAAATAGGACACCCGTGAGGAGGAGCCACCAGCTCACTTTGTTTCTATTTGTATGCTGACCCTGCGGGAGAAAGTGACTAGAAATCAGGGAGAGAGGGTTCTGGTTGGACTTAAGGAATTCTGCCATGCTGCCAGGTCTTAGAAGCTCTCGCTTCTGCCCTGCCAACCCCTACCATCCTACTTATTCCTTCCATCCACGTACTAACCAGGCCTGACCCTGCTTAGCTTCCGAGATCAGACAAGATCGGGCGTGTTCAGGTTGGTATGGCCGTAGAGCATCCTACTTATTCCTTACTATTTAGTTGCCTGGCTACAAAATACCCAAACTAGGAGCATGATAAAAAAAAAAAATTTACAGGCGTCAAAACCGGTTTGGCTCAGTGGATAGAGGGTCTGCCTGCGGACTGAGAGGTCCCAGGTTCGATTCAGGTCGAGGGCATGCACATTGGTTGCGGGCACATCGCCGGTAGGGGGTGTGCAGGAGGCAGCTGGTCAGATGTTTCTCTCTCATTGATGTTTCTAGCTCTCTATCCCTCTTCCTTCCTCTCTGTAAAATCAATAAAATATGTTTTAAAAAATAATAAAAATAAGATGACAACCCATTCACACTCTACCTTTGGCATTTCCTGCTTTATTTTTATCTAGCTAGCACATAGAACCTTCTATATAACTATATATTTTGCTTTTTATTTGTTTATTCAGGCAGTTAGAATGTAAATGTCATAAGGGCAAGGATTTTGAGGCTCTTTTATTCAGTTATATCCTTAGAACCCACAGGGACTGGTTCATGGTAACCATTGAATACATCTTTGTTGAATAAATTAATGAACTCTTGTTTCTATTTGTATGCTGACTCCGGGGAAGAAAGTGACTAGAACCCAGGGAGAGGATAAAGCAAAAAATTCAATTGTAGGTGAACTTCTCAGTGATACTGGGAATGGGTGAATCTGGCTTTTATTAAGTCTTCTTTTGTTTTGTTTGTTAATCCTTACCTGAGGATATTTTTTCCATTGATTTTTAGAGTGTAAGGGAGAGGGAGGAGGAGAGTGGAGGGGGGGGGGAGAAAGAGAGAGAGAGAGAGAGAGAGAGAGAGAGAGAGAGAGAGAGAGAGAGAGAGAGAGATATCAATGTGAGAGAGACACATCGATTGGTTACCTGCTATTCGAATGCAACCGACTAGGGGTGGGGATATAACTTGCAACCCAGGTACTTGCCCTTGACCAGGAATCAAACCTCCAACCCTCAGGTGCACAGGCCAGCACTCTAATCACTGAGTACACCAGCCAGGACTATTAATCAGTCTTCTTCAGCATTTTGAAAATTTTTTTTCTCTTAATATAGGCTGGAGAAAAGTTTTCACTGAAGGATATGACTTTCTCTTTTAATTGTAATTTTGTTCTTATATGTAAAAACACATGTTTCAAATTTCAAAAGGTAGGGCCCAGGCCAGTGTGGCTCAGTGGTTGGAGCATTATCCTGGGCACCGAAGGTTAAGGCTTCGATTCCAGGTCAGGGCACATGCCTCAGCTGTGGGTTCGATCTCTGGGGGCGTGTGCAAGAGGCAACTGACTGATGTCTCTTTTTGACATCGAGTTTCTTTCTCTCTCTCCCTTCCTCCATCTCTAAAATTAAATTTTAAAAAACTTCTTAAAAAATTCAAAAGGTAGGAAAGGAGGGTATACTGTGAAAAAGCCCCTCATCCACCACAGTCATACAGCTCCCTGCTTTAAAGACAATCAGTGTTACCAGTTTTTTTGTTTTGTTTTGTTTTTTTAATTTATTTCGGAGAGGAAAGGAGAGGGAGAGAGAGAAACATCAGTAATGATAAACATTGATTGGTTGCCTCCTGCGTGACCCACACTGGGAATTGAGCCCGGAATCCTAACACGTGCCCTAACCAGGAGTCAAACTGTAACCTCCTGGTTCATAGGTCGATGCTCAATCACTAAGCCACGCTGGCTGGGCAGTGTTACCAGCTTTTTTTTTTTTTTTTAATCCAAAATGTATTTATTGGGATGGTTTCCCACTCATCTTGATTTGAGATGCTTTTAGTGCTGCTTCCTTTTGAAGGAGCATCCTTCTGTGAGCCTTGCTTTTCCTCCTGCTGGCTGACCGAGAACAGCGGAGCAACCAACACACAAAACTACGGTTTGTGTGCGTGGCTAAAGACGGTGGTGATCTTATAGCATCCTGGGCATTTTACATCCATGAAGTAGGAATTGGAGCTCTGCACCAGGTGCTTCTTGTGTTTCCTCTTCTCTTCCGGAGAGGGATGGAGGAGATCCTTAGCGAGAGGCATATTGTCGTGCGGAAGTTGTCACCACCGGAAAAGCACCAGCTTTTAATGTATCCAACCAGCTATTCAGTGCCTAGACTAGAAGATATGTAGTGGGTGCTTTTCTAGCCTACGGGTTGGGCGAAGCAGAACACAGGCCTAACATTGTTATATCAGGATTTCTGTCCATCAGATGAAAGGGTCAGCAAGCAAAGAGGTTTTGAAATTTCCCTCTCCAGAGGACGTAACCAAGATGACTACTGGATGGAGCCTCAGATTTATAATGTTTTGTTGGTTCAGAAGGAAGCAGAGAGAAAAGAAGGTGGGAGTTATGCGGATGGGGGGCTCCGAGGTGGCTGAGGATGGAAGGTTTGACATCATTGGGCCAGTTGGTAGAAGCAGTGTGAGGGCAGACGGTGGTACCTCATGTCTTACGGCGTTGTCTTTTCCTCCATTCCAGAGCAGCTCTCATCGCTCTGTCCTAACGAGTGCCCTCACATTGTGTTTCAAGCCATCTCAGGGCCCCTGGCTGCAGCTACTGCCTCCATCCTCACCAACCCCATGGACGTCATCCGAACCCGAGTGCAGGTAAGACCAGCCTCCACCCCAGCCCTCCTCCCACATTGCCCATTAGAAGTGTGATCTTGAGGCCCTCCAGCCTTCCCCTGACCTCTTGTGGTCATGGCTGTGTAGTTCAGCCAGCATCTCTTGGGTTATGATTTATCATTTACAGAAACCAGCTGAGCACTTTGAAGCAACTAGAATGTTTTACTCATCCTGTCTGCTAGCTCGCATGCTTCTATTCCTTTACTTGCCCATGCCTCTAGGAATTCTTGCTGGTTTCTTACAGCCTTTTATCCTATTAGCATAGCCTACAACCACCTTTTCCTTACCTGCATTTAGAAATACCGATTTCAGTTCATTTCCTAGGTCTGTTTGATTTCTCTCTATGAGCTCAGCCACCTCGGAGCCCCCCATCCGCATAACTCCCACCTTCTTTTCTCTCTGCTTCCTTCTGAACCAACAAAACATTATAAATCTGAGGCTCCATCCAGTAGTCATCTTGGTTACGTCCTCTGGAGAGGGAAATTTCAAAACCTCTTTGCTTGCTGACCCTTTCATCTGATGGACAGAAATCCTGATATAACAATGTTAGGCCTGTGTTCTGCTTCGCCCAACCCGTAGGCTAGAAAAGCACCCACAATTTCACAAGCAGTGAAATTGTTCTTTTTTTCTCCTTTTGTGCTCACCAGATGATATGTTTTTATTGATTTTAGAGAGAGAGGGGAAGGGAGAGAGAAATGTCGATGTAAGAAACATCGATCAGTTGCCTCCCATGTATGACCCGACCAAGGATTGAACCTGCAACCTGGATATGTGCCCTAATTGGGAATTGAACTCACAATCTTTTTATGTGCGGAAGGACATTCCAACCAGCTCAGCCACACCAGCCAGGGCGAGAGTGACTATTCTTGAATAGGTTTCACAGATTGTACTGTGTGGACTCAGCAAAAAACACTGGCAAAGCCCTTGGTAGTGCTGTGCTGAAGTTATAGTTCCTGTCTTCAGTCAGCTCAAAAACAATTTCACAGTACCTAATCCAAGGAAATAGAATTTGAATAATGACATATAAAATATAAATGGCAGGTTTTGCTGTATAAAACTTTAAGTCAAGAGAATAGAAGGTTTTACTATCTGATTTGGATAGCTTAAGAGGCAAGCTGAGGAGGGGAGAGAAGAAAAATATCCATAATAGGTTGGGAGTGCAGTTAGCTTGCCTAATACCAAGATGTTGGGATGGAGGTGGCTGGTAAATCTAGGTGTATTTTTTTTTTAATCTTTTTTTATTTTTCAGTTACAGTTGACACACAATATTGTATTAGTTTCAGGTGTACAGCATAATGATTAGACATTTATATAAATTACAAAGTGATTATCCCACAGCTAAGTCTAGTACCCACCTGACACCATCCATAGTTATTACCATATTCCCTTGCTGTACTTTACATCCTGGCACTATTTTTCTAACTGGCAATTTGTACATCTTAATCCCTTCCCCCTTTTCACCCAAACCCCATTTCATTTGTAACCCAAGCCAGTTTGGCTCAGTGGTTGGATTGTCAGCCCTCGGACTGAACAGTCCCGGGTTTGATTCCAGTAAAGGGCATGTATCTCAGTTGCAGGCTCAATCCCTGGCCCCTGTCAGGGCAAGTGTGGGAGGCAACCAATCTATGTGTCTCTCTCACATCAGTATTTCTCTCTCTGTCCCCTTCCCTTCCACTCTGTCTAAAAATTAATGGAAAAAATATCCTTGGGTGAAGATTTTTAAAAAATATTCTCTGTATCTATGTGTCTGTTTTGTTCATTTATTGTTTTAGATTCCACATATAAGTGAAATCGTATAGTATTTGTCTTTCTCTCTCTGACTTATTTCATTTAATATAATGCCTTCCAAGTCCATTCATATTGTTGAAAATGGCAAGGTTCCGTTCTTTTTTAGTTGAGTAATATTCCATTGTATGTATGTACCACATCTTCTTTATCCATTCGTCAATCGATGGACACTTAGGTTGCTTCCATAACTTGGCCATTGTAAATAATGCTTCAGTTAACATAGGAATGTATGTGTCTTTTCAAATTAGTGTTTTGGGTTTCTTCCAATAAATACCCAGAAGTGGAATTGCTGGATCCTTCTTTGCCTTTGTGATGAACTCCTTTATTCTTGTCTGGGAAAATCTAGGTATTTTTATCTTAAGAAAGAATGCCTTCCCCCACCACACACATTTGAAAATGAGTATGTTGGCATCTAATTCGTTTCTAAGTAATAAGTACACGGTTCTATCTTCATTCTCTCCTGAGCCTTGTCCTGGGTGTTCCACAAGGAAATCCAGGGAAAGGACAGGTCTCTGCTTGGAGGTGCTGTTAGGCCAGAGGAGACAAAGTCCTTATGAGGCCAGAGATTTGGCTTAAAAGCCCTTGACATGACCAAGGATAAGTGAGGGTTAGGGTAGCAGCGGTGGTCAGATGAGAGGACTGAGAGGAAGACGGGGGTGTGGAGAAGGGTGTTAAAGGAGCCAGGGCGAGTGGGTAGATGCTCTTAGCCATAGATGGGACCACCTTGTGAAGGTCATACAGTACAGGAGGAGGTATAGCAAGGAGTGCACCTGGCCTGTCTTGGCTGAGGGTCTGAGTGGGTGATATCTAAAGATAGAGTTTGGTGGCAGGATATAGGGGAAGGGAAAGGGGGCAGGACTGTTGAGAAAGAAAAGATTCCAGGTTTCCAATGTGATAGGGAAGGTAGATGCCTGGGAGACAACAGAGTTAGAGGGGAGGACTCTAGCCATGGGATTTCAGAGGGATTGAGATGATCAGAGTCAAAATCACAGACTGGCAGAGCTGCAGAGGACCTTAGAGGTGACTTAATCCAGCCTCCTTGAGACCAGAGAGAAGCACCCAGTCCAAAGGCTCATAGCTGTGTAGTTTATCTAATGACATTAATGACTAATGCTTATTGAACACTTCCTGTCTGCCTGGTCCTGTGTCCAACTTTTACAAGTAATCTTTTGTTTACCGCTCAGAACAACCATATGGCATAGGGACTATCACTGTTTTATATTCAAGGAAACTGAAGTGCAGAGTGAGTTAAACTACTGAGGTTATGCTGTCAGTAAATTGGGGAGCAGAATTCAAAGTCAGTTTTGCCTAAAGCAGAGGGAGAATGGGCAGAAGAGCTTTGGCTGCAGACCGTGACCCTCCACTGTGTTGACTTTTCCAGGTTGAGGGCAAGAGCTCCATTATCTTGACCTTCAGACAGCTGATGGCGGAAGAGGGACCCTGGGGCCTCATGAAGGGGCTCTCGGCCAGAATCATCTCAGCCACGCCCTCTACCATTGTCATTGTGGTAGGCTATGAGAGCCTCAAGAAACTGAGCCTCCGACCCGAGCTGGTGGACTCGAGACACTGGTAACCTGTGCGAGAGAGAAGCCTGCCGTTTCCCACGCTGCTCTGGGTAGGGGACAGAGTAGGGAGGAGAGCACCCTCTCTGAGCGCCCCTACCACATACCGAGCCCCGCCCTGGGCCGGGTGCCCTCTAGGGGGCAGGAACGGACACTTTGAACTGCTCTTGCTGAAGAGGCTCCACACCTGTGTCTCCTGCCCCCATTAGTAGTTAGTTTTCTTACCAAACTGGCTCCCTCACTCGGTCCCTGTACTCAATCCTTCCATGAGGAATCCCATCCTCTGCACCAGTCCCACTCTATCCCTCCCGTTCCCCCTTCTTTTAGCTTCCCTCTCCATCCGGGTCCCTGAGAGCTGTACATAGAGCTTGCTGACTGCCACTTTTTCTTCCACTTGGGCCGTCAGCCCAGATTCCAAGCAGTTGCCGCCTTTTCCTGCTTCGTCGCTTAGGCTTATTTTTATTTTGGGACTGATTTGCCCACCAGACTACTCTGCTTTTTCCTTGCCGCTGGGGCAAGGTGCCAGGCACTTTTGCACAGGGAGGAGTAACAGCAGCGAAAGCTTCAGAGTGCTCATCCTCTCTTTGGAGTTATTAGATTGGGAGAAATGTTAATACTTTATTTTGTGTGTTTCTATTGTTTTAACATCCGTGAACCAGGTGACTGTCTTTGTCCTACTAAAGCACCTATCCAATCCTGCAGTCAGAGCCCTCCCTTTCCTCAGAAAAATATAATGTAGCTTTTCCTTCGATCTCAGTTCCCTATCCCGGAGCTTCAGTGGCGCAATCAGTTAGCGCACGGTACTTGTAAGTTCCCTATCCCTTCCGTGTTCCTTCAGTCCCTGCAGTCCCAGGACTTACAAGCTGCTGGCTTCCCCTGGCCCAGGTGACTACAGTGCTAGGCACAATTCTAAGTAGATTGGGCTGTCGAGGACACACGGGACATGGAGCACTACCCTGAGAAGTCAGATTGAGAGTAGCTGGCTTGGAAAGGAACAGGAGGGATGTGTGCCCCAGCCCATCTCCCAGACCAGCTGAGCCAGACCTAGGAGAGGACAGTGTAGGTTCTCAGCCCCAAGCAGGTATAATACATACATATCCCAGTCATGACTCATGGAAACAAATGTTGTCTTAGTTTCTGAAACACGGAACTGTTTGTGTTTTCTCCCCAATGTGAAGTCATCCCAGTCATGGCACCCTCTGGAGCAGCCGGTGGTCCACGGACCACTGCTGGCCCGTGAGGCCCGAAAGGTTGGCGACTGCTGCTGTAGAGGGATGCTTGGAAGAGAGACAAGAGCGGGTCAGGAAGTCACCCAACACCAGGACCACACCTACCAGCCTGATACTGCCGAGATTATCTGCTGATGCTCTCAGGAGCTAAGTGATGGACGTTCCTTCCCTCCTCATCCTACCTTGTCTACCGAGCCTGTGTGGCAGGTGAGAGAGGTGCAGCAAAAAGGATGAGAAAAGAAGGCACATCAAACCCTGCACTTCTACCGGAGACATTTGGCCAGGACGATCCTTTAGACCTTCTTATTGGCCCCGCCCCCTGGGAAGGGCCATGATGCCAATTTGAAAGGTGCTAGCTACCCTTTGAAGCTTTGCTGTTTCTTACAGCTGCCCCACATTCTGTCACCCTGGCCAGATCAGAATCTGAAAAACACATTTTTCTACCTTCACCACTGTCACTGCCCATCTTGGTCTTTTATCCTTGAGGGTTATTTTCCCTTATTTTGGTTTGCTTTTCTTATACTTTGTCAAGATTCCTTTCTACCTACAAATGGTCATCCAAACGGTTAGGCCCACAGATCATTGTGAATCTTCCTGCCCCTCAGTCACCCCTTTACCTTAAGAACCACCAACATAATAGAAGCCAGCCTTCTCTCTCTTTTTTGTTCCATTGTTGTTGTTGTTTTTTTTGGGGGGGGGAGACACATTGTTGAGACACATCAGTTGGTTGCCTCCTGCACCCACCCCAACAGGCTTGGAGATTGAACCTGCAGCCCAGGTACTTGTCCTTAACGGTGTCCTCTACTGGGAACAAACTCGAGACTCCGGTGCACAGGCCGACATTCAAACCACTGAGCAACACCAGCGAGGGCAGCCTCCTCTCTTTAAAGTCACTCTAGTGACCCTTTTGGAGATTGTTTTTCAGCCCCACACCTTCCCCTCCCTAGAAAGTTGTCCCCACTGTGGCAAAGTGGGTAAAGTATCATGAAAAGGGAGTAGTCTCCTGCCTCTCATGCCTTAGGATGTTTCTCCTTCCCAGACTCCTTTCCTTCTGATTTATTGTACAGTATTTCATAGCCATTTACTCTCTCTCTCTCTCTCTCTCTTACACCCACCCACCTACACACACACACACACACACACACACACACACACTCAAGCTTCAAAGGATGATGAGTTAGTTTGTTTTTAGTGAATGGAACCCCAGCCCCCTACTTCCTTAATTGGGTTGTAATAAAACATGCCTTGGTGGTACTGGGACAGTGGGTTTCCGCTTTCCCAGGACCATAGAGCGGGCCAGCTGGTTTTGATGTGCCGGTCCGTAGCCAAAACTGGAAGAAACTTTGTGGAGGCCAGGCAAGTCAGGAACCTGATGGGAGTATTGAGGGATCGGGAATGAAAATAGACGCGGTTAACATTTGATAAAGTGAACTCTTGTGAATATTAACTGCGGACATTCATTCACTGTTGCACTGTACGAAGTCTTTGAAGTGTAATTAAAAGTTTGTATTAAGCCCTAAGCTTTTGGCTGGCGCTTATTTTGCCGGCCTGTGGATAAGGACTAAAGTGCGCTACACCCTCCTCACCTGTGCACCACCCCCAGCTTCCGGCAATTTCCCCGCCCCCGTTGGCGACTCGGTGATGGACATTCCGCTACTTCCAATCGGACGCGCCCAATGCCGGGAGCAGCCAATCGGGGGCTTCGGAGGGCGGGACATCCGGGCCAGATATTTGGCGGTTCCAGTTTAACATGGCCGAAGCAAGCAGCGCCAGTGTTGGCAGCGGCTGTGAGGAAAAAGGGCCTGAGGGGTCGTCCCCCGGACCCGAGTACCCTGACACTGCCATTTCGAGGGTCAAGCTTCTCGACACCACGGTGGATACTTTTCTCCAGAAGCTGGTCGCCGCTGGGAGGTAAGGTGAAGGGAGTGGAAGGAGGGCCAATCTCACAAGATGTTGACGGGTGGGAGGCGAACGAAGGTGGGTCCCGGGGGGCGGGTCTGCAAACGGCGGTCACGTGGGCCCCGGGGGGCCGGGTCTGCAAACGGCGGTCACGTGGGCCCGGGCTGGGGGGTCATTGACCGGCGGGCGGGCCGGGCGAGAGCGGCTCACGTGATGGGTGCTGACCGGGAACGGCACCGGCTGGTTCCGACCCAAACTTCAGGGCCGAGAGGAGAGACGGGCTTCGGAGTTAGAACCAAGACCTCCGGCTCTCAGTAAAATAGTTTCTCGGCGAGAGTTTGGAGAACTAAGTGCGCGAAAGGCGCTTGGATAGTGCCTGCCACATAGGAAGCCTTAGAGTTGTAGTTGTTCTGGGAGTAATGCCTCCCCTGGGTGGTTGTGAGAACTAAATGTGTTACAGAAGTGTTTTTCCCGTCTTGATTTTTAATTCCTGTGAACAGTATTGTAACGATATTGGACAGTGAGTTGCCCGTGATCCCTCCACTCGGCGCGTTGATGAGGAAACACTGTTGTTACTTACAGCTGTTTGTTCTCCACCCGGCCCTGTTGGTCCCACCCCTCTCTCCGGTCTCATCAGGAACCAGCTGAGCCCTGGCAGGTGTGAGGCGGTGCGTTAGCGCCCTCGCCTGCAGGGAAGGGTTGTGGGTTTGATTCCCGTTAAGGATGTGCAGGAGGCAGCGGATCAGTGGTTCCCTTCCCCTTTCTCTCTAAAATTCAGTTTTAAAATCTGCTGGGACCGGTTTGGCTCAGTGGATAGAGCGTCGGCCTGCGGACTGAAAGGTCCCGGGTTCGATTCCGGGCAAGGGCATGTACCTTGGTTGCGGGCACATCCCCGGTAGGGCGGTGTGCAAGAGGCAGCTGATCGATGACTCTCATCGATGTTTCTAACTATCTCTCTCTTCCTCTCTGTGAAAAATCAATAAAATATATATATTTTTAAAAATCTTTTAAAAAATACTCCCATCTTCTCCCAATCCTGTCTTCTCCTAACCTTTCCTCGAGTTCTTCCCTCCCTCCTTTCATTTATCCACTTCTTCACACATTGATTCACTGAGAAATACATTTTAAAAATATCTTTTATTGATTTTTTTTTGGAAAGAAGAAGGGAGAGGGATAGAGAGAAACATCATCGATCGGCTGCCTCCTGCACACACACACACACACACACACACACACACACACACACACCAACGGGATCCATCCCGAAACCAGCGCACGTGCCCTGACCAGGAATTGAACCATGACTTCCTGGGTTCATAGGTCAACTCAACCATTGAGCCATCCCGGCCGGGCCACTGAGAAATATTTGTGTGCCTCTTCTGCCAAGTGTTGTCAAGGTGTTGGTGAAGCCTCATGACAGGGCCCATGTTGGAGCTTATATTCAGTGGGTAGAGACATTCAGTAAACAAAATAATCACAGAGCTTGGTAAGGTAATGTGATAACAGGTGATGTGATAAGAGCAACTTGGGAGAAAGGAATGCACTAGCCAGGCTGGTTAGGGGAGCCCACTCTGCGGAAGTGACATTAAACTGGAACTGGAACAATGAGAGAAAGAGCTAGAGAAGAAGTGTATAGGCGAAGGGTACAGCTTGTGCAAAGGCCCCAAGATGGTCAGGGCATTCTAGGAACTGGTTGGCTACAACATAATGATCAGAGGGAGAATAAAATCAGGAAGCTTGCTGAAACGGTTTGGCTCAGTGATAGAGCGTCGGTCTATACAGACTGAAAGGTCCCAGATTCGATTCCGGTCAAGGGCATGTACCTTGATTGCAGGCACATCCCCAGTAGGGGGTGTGCAGGAGGCAGCTGGTCGATGTTTCTTTCTCATAGATGTTTCTAATTCTATATCCCTCTCCCTTCCTCTCTGTAAAAAAATCAATAAAATATATATTTTTAAAAATAAAATCAGGAGGCTGAACAGACAGGTGACTTCCTTATCATTCAGGGTCTAATTTCAACAGTATTGAATTTGATAAAATAATTATTTTTACAGACCATTTATGACACTATTATATGTGCAGGCAAGATTCCTCCTTTGATATTTCCCTACTCGTTTTTTCCCTCATCTCCCTTCCCCATAGGCCCCGCTTTCTTTTCTCTTGACTGTATGTTCTTCATTTATTCATGTACAAATATTTATCAACCACCTGCCATGTCCCAGGCTCTGTTCTAGAAGCTGGAGATATAAGTGATTAAGACAGACATTTGTTGCTCTCATGGAGTAGACATTTTAATGCAATAAAGAAAAATCAGTAAAGGAATAGAAGTGGGGAAGGATTAGTGTGAGTGCAGTGAAGTGACATTTGATTATGTTTGTTTTCTTGTACAATATGTTGTTTTGTGTGTGTATTAAGTTTATATGAATAATTGTGCTACATATCTTTTTTCACTTAACACTTTTTTTTTTCACTGTGCAAGGTTTATTTTGTGTTTTAGTTGGTGTGAACTTGGATAGTTGGCTGCATTCATTAGTAGACTCTTAATATGAAATGGCAGTGTGCACTATTCTGATACATATAATACACAAAGTAATATCCTTTAGAATTATTATGCACAAGATATGCAAACTAGATTTATACATTGGATCCCAGGATGTGATTGATTAGAGAAAAAAAGTTGGAGTAGGCATGTTGGGTAAAGGAACCACAAATTATATAACACACACTAAATACACATCTAATTTGAAGGGCACTATAGGGTCAACACCATTAAACAATTATTTAAAAAATATATCGTTGAAAATATTATATATGTCCCCTTTCTCTCGTTGGCCCCCTCCAGCCTGCCCCTGCCCTCCACGCCAGGCCTTCACCACTCTGTTACCTGTGTCCATGGGTTGTGCATACATGCATACAAGGTCTTTGGTTGATTACCTCCCACCTATCCTCCCCCACCTTCCCTCCAAGGTGCCACACACTGTTCCATGCTTCCATGTCTCTGGATCCACTCTGTTCATCAGTTTATTTTGTTAATTAAAGTAACATGTGAGTGATATCATGTGATACTTATCTTTCTCTGACTTATTTCACTTAGTGTGATACTCTCCAGGTCCCTCCATGCTATCTAAAATGGTAAGAGGTTCTTTTTTTACTGCTGCATAATATTCCATGGCATAAATGTACTATAGCATTTGATCCACTCATCTGCTGGTGGGCACTTGGCTATTTCCAGATCTTAGCTATTGTAAATCATGCTCATGAACATAGGGGTGCATGCATTCTTTCTGATGGTGTTTCGGGTTTCTTAGGATCTAGTCCTAGAAGTGGGATCACTGGGTCAAACAGCAGTTCTACATTTAATTTTTTCAGGAAACTCCATAATGTATTTCATAATGGCTATACCAGTCTGCATTCCCACTAGCAGTCAACACCATTTTTTAAAACCATCTAACCATGTCCTGTAAGTGCATATGGTTCAAAGCTTTTCAACACTGCTGGTCATTCCATGAGAAGCATCCAGTCCTTTCTGCCTCTTATGGACATTTTGCCTCGACAGATTACACTAGGTGAGTGTCCTTGTCCATCCCCTCAGGGAGCAGTGCTCGAGTTTCTGAGGTCTGTAAGGAAAGGAATCACTGGGTCCACCTGCGTTTTGTCAGACTGCTTTCCAGAAACGTCGTTCCTATCTCCTACATCCCCACCATCACTGGGCACCCACCATTCTAACATTTGCTATTCTGAAGTTGTGAAAGAGATATTTTATTATTGTTTGAATTTGCATGTCATTGATTTCCTCATAGGTTTGGGCCTTTCCTCAAATAATTGTTAGTCATTTTGACTTCTCTTTAGCCAATCCTCCTCCTTCTCCCCTCCCCTACTCCTCCCCAGGTAGTTTTAAACTAGTGGCAAAGACTATTGGTGTTCACAGAAAACAGTTCTTCACAGGAAAAGGAGTCGTTAAATGTATAAATAATTCTAAATAATTGCCTCAGAAATATCTTACTTTCTTTGAATGTGCAGATGGTGCGTGCTGATTCATTTCTGAAGTGGGTATGACTCATCAGACTGTGGTTTGCAGCTTCAGCTCCATCATGCTAATTCTGTTCTTCATGTTTCCACTCTACTCTCTACCCCCAGTGTCTGCTTTGCTGAGTCTGCCATCACTGTCACCAGTGCTTCTTGAATCCATCCTCACACAGCAGTCTGAGGAACGCATCTGAAGTTCCAACCCTACTTAGAACCCTTTTCTAGCTCCTTCCGTCATGATACAGTCCAGACTGTGTCTGGCCCTCCCCTGCTTGCTGGGTGCCATGGAGGCAAAGGGCACCTGAGCCAGAGCCAGAGGGCTCCACCATGTTCCAGCTTCATGGCCTCAGGCAAGCTGCTCTCTGCCTCAGCTTTCTCTTCTCAAAGGGATGATGATTATAGAACCTACCTCATAAAGTCAGTGAGGTTTAAATTAGTTACTCCATCCCTGGCAGGTGTGGCTCATTTGATTGAGCGTCGTCCTGTGCACTGAAAGGTTACCAGTTTGATTCTGGTAGGACACATGCGCAGGTTGTCCTGCATCAGGATGTATGTGTGTGTGGGGTGCATGCACATCAATGACTCCCCCTTCCTCTCTAAGATCAATATAAACAAACATAACATTTTAAAGGGAAAAATTATTATTAAAATATATGAGTTACTCTGTGTAGTCCTTAGAATAATGCCTGGCTCCAGCCAGTGCTCATAACTATTTCCTGTTTGTACATTTTTCACACTTGGGCTGTGAGTATGCCCATAGCTACAGAGCCTGGGCTGTTATGTCTCCTGAAATTGGTAGAGTTTCCTTGTGTAGTAGAGCCCAGTGGCTCAGCTTTCCCAGTCACTGAGCTGGATCTTAGGCCTTTTATTGATAGTTTTGGGCATGTTGTCTCCAGCTACAGCTTGTTGGACAGATTTTAGCAGGCTGAAGCTTGAGCCAGGACAGGCCATTCGTATAGAAAAACTGCTGCAGACAGCTTTAGTGGGACTGGAAATTGGATGGGGCAGGTCTCGGAATCACCAGGGCAGAGCAAACAGTGTGCTCCAGGTTTATGGAGACTCGGCTATGGCTGCCAGTCAGCCCTGCAACAGGGGAAGTCCTAGTACAGAAGCAATGACCTTGCGTCCATCAAAGCTGCCTGGTGCTGCGAGTTCAAGTACTAAGTTTGTGCATTGGCCCTTTAAATTGGAACACCTGGTTCTCCAGAGTCCTCGTGTCACCCAGCCTCAATCCCCATAGTTGTGGGGACTTTTCTGCCCAGCTCTGGGAACCTGAGCTTGGGGTCTGGTGTGGGGCTGGGACCCCTTGCTCCTCATGGACAGCCTCTGCAGAGACGATCTCCCTCCTGATTAAGATAACTGGCACATGTGGGTATCGGACCAGCCTGTTCCCGCTTCCACTCTTCCTACCATTCTCAAGGTGTTTTCTTTTTTACTTCTAGTTGAAGACCTCCCGTTCAACCAGCTTTCAGGCGGTTTTGAATGATAGTTGTTCTGTATTTTAGTTGTAATTCTGTTATAGACACCTCTCATTGACACCCGAGAGGTATTACTGGACAAGACAGCCTCCTGAGCCAGGAGAAGGCTGTCCCCACCTTATTCTCATATAAATGAATTTATAGGAGACCCTGATTGCGTTGTGAAAATCAGTTTATTAAAGCATGCATCTTTATTGGAAAAAGGAGAAGCAAAGCAAGCAAACACATATTTGACTTATGAAGCACAGATGGGTTCTCAACTAACTGAAGAGCAAGTTGGGTGGGGGTCTGAGGCGTTTTATACCCTGTCTATAGGCTTCAAGATTGCTCTATTTTGGTATAGATTCTTGAAAAGCACCTGGCAATTTTATCTTACCAAGCTTTGAGACTGCTGGCTTCTCAGCTTAGAGTAAAATGGTCCTTTTTCCCCTTCGCCCTCGCCCCTGCCTTTCTGCATTCTCTCATGAGGGAGGTGGTGTTGTTTTTTTAAAATATGTTTTATTGATTTTTTTACAGAGAAGGGTAGAGAGTCAGAAACATCGATGAGAGAGAAACATCGACCTGCTGCCTCCTGCACACTCCCCACTGGGGATGTGCCCGCAACCAAGGTGCAGGCCCTCAAACCTGGGAACCCTCAGTCCACGATGCTCTATCCACCGAGCCAAACCGGTTTCGGCTGTTGTTTTTTGCCATTGGCTGAGTCCTCAGCTGGGGAAGACAATGGCTTGTTAGTTACAAGCTGGCTGCAAATTGCCCACTCGGTTTGGCCTTGTTTTAACTTTCCTGCCTCAGTCTCTCTACTTCTCCTGCTCTGGAATCCTGGAACGATTTTGATATGGTTGTGGGTGGCAGCGAGTACAGTACAGACATTTATCTTGGTTCCCAAATGACATTTTTAAGTACAGTCTTCATCAAAATCAATGACTTCTTATTTTCATTGAGGGACATTTCTGTTTGTTTTTTCTCCTTTTTCTTCCTCAGTCCTGGGGCTGCCTACTGTACAAAGGATGAGAAAGGGGAGAGGGAAAAAGACAAGAGAAACATTTAATGAAAAGAGCAGCTGTGCAGAGGGTGGAGGGTATGAATTTCTTTCACAAGGACCCCCCTCTATCCGTCCATCGCTAGCTTGAGGCGCCAGTCCCTCACTGCCCTCTGGTGGACAGTCTGTGAAATAGGCCTTCCATTGGGCAACAAGCAAGTTACTATGGGAAGTGTAAGCCAGGGCCCCTGAGCACTTCAAGAGCGCATTTTTACTTGTGTATACCTCTCGTCTTTCCATTCCTGCACAATCTCTCTGCGTATATAACACATGGACAAATCACCAGAGCTTGATTCTGGGCTGAAATATTTTGAAGTCAAATTTTTAAAGTTAAACTTAGTGAAAATTCAATTTATAGTGAGTTTTTAAAAAATGCAATAAATGCTGACAAAGTGAGTTAAAAAGACAGACATGTCTCAAATATTACATAAGTATTTAAGAGAAAAAAAAATAAATGTTAAAATCAGTTAATATAGTCATTTCTGTTTTGAAACTGGGTAAATACCGGGTTTTTAAGTTTACTTTTATTGATGATAAATGTAGCCCTTTTTAGGAGGGGCCACAATTTAACTTTTTCTCTCTAGTGGGGCCAGTCTGCTCTTCCTGCAGCTGGGATGGTTTCTGCACATACAATTGTAATCAGGTTGTATTTTACTAAGCACTTGTCTTCTGCGGGGGAGGAGAGGGTGAGGACTGTTCTTTGGAGACTAATAATAGTAATTGTGGCTAACGTGCAGCGTTTGTGTGCTACTTAGATATGTAACCTTGTTTAATCCTCACAGTAATTTTATGAGTTATAAACACAGTATTATCCCCACTTGACAGAGGAACTGAGACTTGTAGAGGTAAATAAGTTGTCTGAGATGACTCAGTTGATGAATGGAGGCGGCAGGACTGGAACCCAGGCAGTCTGTCTTCAGAGCCAGTGCACTGACCCAGCACATCGCTGGGCGGCCCTGTGGGTACTTGTGGGAGGCCAAGGCTGGGAGACCATGCCAGCAGAGGGCAGAGGGGCTTGGCAGAGAGGCCTGGGGGGGAGGGGGTTGTTGTGGGAGAATTCTTTTTACCCAAATTCTGGTATCCTGGGGTTCAGGTTGGGGGGGAGGGGGGCGGTTGTCAGGGTGGGAGTGGGTCAGTCTGGGGCCAGGCAGTTGCCTGGTCTGCAGCGTCTTGTGTGCTACCACGTATCCAACACTGTCTGGGCACCCTGCAGAGCCCCAAGGACATTTTCTCAGGAAGTTCGCACCAGCATTCACATCATCCCAAGTGTGAGCTCGCTCTCAAAAAAGGAATCACTGAGTGGGGGATGGGGGTGGGGGAAGGAGGGGAAAATGAAGGTAGTCACAATGTACAAGCTTCCCATTATAAGTTTAAAAAAAAAAAAGGTAAGTTCAAGGAATCTAATGTACAACATGACGACTTTGGTTAACACAGCTATATGGTAGATTTGAAAGCTGTTAAGAGCAGATCCTGCTCTAGCCAGTTTGGCTCAGTGGGTAGAACATCAGCCCTAGGACTGAAGGGTCACAGGTTTGATTCCAATCAAGGGCACATATCTTAGTTGCAGGCTCAATCTCCAGCGCTAGTTGGGGCTTGTGAAGGAGGCAACCAATGATTGTGTCTCACATAGATTTTCTCTATCTTCCCCCCTTCCTTTCACTATTTCTAGAACTCAATGGGATAAATATCTTCAGGTGAGAATTAACAAAACAAAAAAGAGTTCTCATCACAAGTTTTTACTTTTTTCTTTATTACAAAAGATAAAGGGTGCTAACTAATTGTGTTGTTTCATAATACACGTAAATAGATCATTATTCTGTACATCTTAGTCTGTATGTCAATTATATCTTAAAGCTGGGCAAAGGAAGGAATGGCTTTCCTCCTGTACTTACTGACACTGGCCTCGCTGGGCCCGCTCCCCTGCCAGCTGCGTGGGCTGAGGAGAGATGTGTCCAGCTCAAACCCTCTGCCTGTCGAGTGGGCTGGGAGGAACGAGCTCCCATATCCAAGCCAAATCCGTTTCTAGCCACAATGACCTGGTTTCGATTCCAGCCCCACGTGGTCAGACATCATGCATCTCTCCACATTCCTTCATGTGGCCAGACTGCGTGGCGAGCAGGGCCAGCAGCAAAACAACAAGATGTCGCCAAGGTTGGTGTGGCTCAGTTGGCACATTGTCCTGTACACCAAAAGGTTGCAGGCTCAATGCCCTGTCGGGGGACAAACTTGGGTTGTAGGTTCCTTCACAAGTTGGGGCATGTATGGGAGGTAACCAATCAACCAATCGATGTTCCTCCCTCCCTCCCTTAATTAACAGAAACACAAGATGTCTGGAATCCTGCTGAGGGTTGAAAGGACGCACATTATCTGTTCTTTGTGTTGTCCTTTTGTTACCCAGGTTTAGCCTCCAAAGTGTACGAACATCAAACATGTACTGCCCAAAAGGCAAGAGATCTGTCACCCTTACCAAGAGGTGACCTCTTGGATGCTTACAACCAGCTCTCAGAGTAAAACCCTGGCTTTCGGGGTTTGTCAGTCTCTGGGGTGTAAGTACTCCAAACGTTGCATTATGTACATACCCCAACCAGGGCCGGGAACTAAGCCTGCAATCGAGATACATGCCCTTGACCAGAACTGAACCGAGGATCCTTCAGTCCATGGGCAGACTCTATCCACTGAGCCAAACTGGCTAGGGAACCCCTTATAGATGATTCCCATGATATACCCTCAGCCCTGGAATCCCAGGGGCCAGTGGTTCTTGTATGTGTCCTGACACATACAAGAGATCAAACCTACAGCCTTGGTGTATCAGGATGACACTAACCAACTGAGCTACCCAGCCAGGGCCTGCGATCGATGGGAATTTTAAAAAGTCTTCCTGGTGACTTGATGCTTAGGAAAGTTTAAAAAACAAAAGGGGTGCCAGGCAAAAGCCACGGCTGATGACTGGTGTGTCTGACCCTTTCCACCTTTGCCTTTGGTTTTCCCACCAGCTACCAGAGATTCACTGACTGCTATAAGCACTTCTACCAGCTGCAGCCTGAGATGACACAGCGAATCTATGACAAGTTCATAACACAGTTGCAGACATCTATCAGGGTGAGTGACAAGAAGCCCAGTAGCTACTGTTGGCTTGGGCCCTGCCCCAGACTCTCAGCCCTGGAGGCAGGGACCCCACCCTCCACTGTTTTCTGTCCTCACTCCCTAGCGTCCTTCATGCTGTCCGGCTGCAGGGGCAGTTTCCCTCCCTTCAATCGTGCGGGTATCTTATAATAAATGCCCTCTGTCCACACCTTTATTGTGTGTTTACATGCTGTCTGCCCACTAGACCTGGGAGTTCAGTGAGGGCATGTCTGGGTCTTACTCTTGGTTTCTCCAGCACCTGGTGCAATGCCTGGCACAGAGGCAGCAGCTAACCAATAGTTGGAACTGCATCCCAGAGGAAACAGTAAAGGACAGGATCCCATTCTCTCTGGAGCAGTGGTTCTCACCCTCCCAACGCCGCGACCCTTTAATACAGCTCCTCGTGTTGTGGTGACCTCCACCCACAAAATTATTTTCGTTGCTACTTGGTAACTGTGATTTTGCTGTTATGAATCGTAAATATCTGTGTTTTCCCATGGTCTTAGGCTCTACAGCAGCAGGGTCGCCTAAGTTATGAAGTAGCAATGAAAACAATTTTATGGTTGGGGGTCACCACAACACGAGGAGCTGTATTAGAGGGTCGCGGCATTAGAAAGGTTGAAAACTGTCCTGTGGCTACACGTCAGGATGGGCTTCTTGAGCATCCACGTTTGTGTGGGATAGCGGCAAGGCCTGCAGCGCTCAGATGGGCAGGAGAGGGGCTTGCTGCAGGCTTTTTTTTTAAATGTCTTCCACTTTGCCAAAACCGGTTTGACTCAGTGTGTCAGCCTGCGGACTGAAGGATCCCGGGTTCGATTCTGGTCAAGGTCAGGTACCCTGGTTGCAGGCATGTCCCCAGTGGGGAGTGTGCAGGAGGCAGCTGATCGATGTTCCTAACTCTATCCCTCTCCCTTTCTCTCTGTAAAAATATAATTTTTAAAAAATGTCTTCCACTTTATCCTTTGGTTTTAGAGAAACATGAGTTTGTTTTTCCATTTATTTATATTTATGTATTCATCAGCCACAACCTTGGTGTATCAGGATACTACACCCAACCGAGCAATCCGGCCAGGGTCCATCTTTATTTCCTTAATGTAAAGGTCACATGTAGAAAAAATAGAATGTTTGTGTAAAGAAACAGAATTTAGCCGGGACCGGTTTGGCTCAGTGGATAGAGCGTCGGCCTGCAGACTGAAAGGTCCCGGGTTCAATTCCGGTCAAGGGCATGTACCTTGGTTGCGGGTACATCCCTGGTAGGGGGTGTGCAGGAGGCAGCTGATCGATGATTCTCTCGCATCGATGTTTCTAACTCTCTATCCCTCTCTCTTCCTCTCTGTGAAAAATCAATAAAAATATGTTTAAAAAAACAAAACAAAAAAAAAACAGAATTTAGCCCAAGTCATACTAAATGCAGTTAGCCTAGTATCGTTATTGCCCTTTCTTCCTTCTCTTCAGGAGGAAATCTCCGAAATCAAAGCAGAGGGAAACCTGGCAGCTGTGCTGACTGCCTTGGATACCATTGTGGAGGAAGGCAAGGACAGGAAGGAGCCAGCCTGGTGAGGAGGACCATGGGAGGCTCATAGAGGAAGGGGCAGCAGCTTAGCATCTTAAAGCTTTTTGTTGTTCTTAATCCTCATCTGAGGATATTTTTTCCACTGGTTTTTAAAGAGAAGGGGAGGCAGGGGGGAGACAATGGTAAAATATGTACACAGGTAATAATTTAATAATAAAAAAAAAAAAGAACGGGAGGGAGAAACATTGATTCCCGCACACAAGCACCAGAATCGAACCCATGACCCTTATGTGCCCAGGCTGACAACCATTGAGCAACGTCAGCCAAGGCTTGAGGGAGCTTTTATGATGGACCCATAGGTATGAGGCTCTGGGTTCACAGGGAGAGGACCCTGTGACAGGGACAGGTGGACACCAAACAACCCCCATCAGTGAGAAGCAGAGCCCCCTCTGGGGAAGAGTCCCAGGGCAAGTACATGTGCAGGGGTTTGAGGCGGACGAAGGGAAACCTTCCTGGCCTGGGAAAGGAGAGGGGGTGGAGGAGGCAGATCATAGGTTTGGAAACTGATGTTCATTAGGCTGGCCCAGACATTTGGGTTTTTTTTGTTCAACAAATTTTAGGGAGCATGGACTATATACCCAATAGGTGCCAGAGATTCAACAAAGAACAGGGCCAAGAAAAGACCTGCCTCTCCTGAGCTGACATTTCAGGGCCAGCCCTGCTGCCTGGTATTTCCTGTGCAGGAAAGAGGGCAGGGCCCTGGGACAACAAGTGGAGAGTTGAGGCCAGTAAGACCAGGAGGGCCCGAGCTTCTGCCTCGCTCCACCCTCTCCTGCCTGAATAGGAGTCCTAGTCCAGAGGAAGTAAATATTCTTTTTGTGCTTTCCAATTGTTTTTATGCTTTGTGATCTTAATACTTAAAAGAATTAGGTTTTATAACTGAAAAATTTAAAAAGAATCTACATGGCTTCCACCCCAGTGCCTATCAGAACTGACCTGTCTCCTCATTCTGGGCACCCGGGAGCCCCTGTAATCTTGCCTCCCCAGGCCTCTTTCCTCATCTCCCCTTGTTAGCGAATACCAGGCCCCTCTCCCTCGGGGAGGGCTCATCCGCTGCCACCACCCCCACCTCTCCAGCTCAGCTAGAGTGAGTGCTCCATCAGAGCACGTGGTCAGCAGCAGCGGGAAGGCTGAAGTCACCTCTACCTCTGGAGTGTTCGAGATGGGGACTGCGTGGGCAGGAGGAGAATGTGGGGGACTGGTAGGAAGGCTAAGACAGGTGACGTGAGAAGGGGCGGTGGATTCCTGGGCACCAAAGCTGAGGGACAGAAGGTTAGCGTTTCCATCAGGAGCAGAGCGACATGATTAGGTCTTAAGAGGTGAGAAGGAACCCAGAAGAGACCTTAGAAGCCAGTCCAGTTTGAGGGGGGAGGTGGGAGGATCACTGACTAGAGCTGGAAGTGGAACCCTCATCCCAGACGTCCTCCACCTTCTTACCCTGTGCTCCTTGCCACGCTCCAGGCGCCCGAGCGGGGTCCCAGAGAAAGACCTGCGCAGCACCACGGTGCCCTACCTCCTGCAGCAGCGGGACGCCCTGCGGCGCCGGGTGCAGAAGCAGGAGGCCGAGAACAGGCAGCTGGCGGAGGCCGTGCTGGCCGGGCGCAGGCAGGTGGAGGAGCTGCAGCTGCAGGGCCAGGCGCAGTGGCAGGCGTGGCAGGTAAGTGCTTTGGCCCTGCCCTCAGGACCCTGTCCCCTCAGCAGAGAAGAAAGCAGACCGAGAGGGGTCAGATGTGGGGACACTTTGGGGCCCTTATTGAAGATGGGCTCTTGCTCTGGGGAGGCCCAGTCTAAGTGGCCAAAGCACCAGCCTGCGACCAATACCTGCCAAGAGTCAGGGGAGGGACTTCCTTCCACGCCCTGCGGGGTCCTGGCATGAGCCGCAGGCCTGGAGGTGAGGACGGCAGATGGAAAGGACTCGGGTTTTCCCTCTCCCAATTTCTACTCCATGGACAGCAGGCTCTGCACCGAGGACAGAAGGAGCTGGTGGCCATGCTGAGGGAGCCGGAGTGAGGGAGCCGCTGGCCCAGGAGCAAAGGTGGCCGAGGGCCCCGTGAAGCTGCCTCTGGGCACAGCTGCCACCGTGCTGCCTCGGCCTGAGCAACGGTGGAGTCTGCGGGGGCGAGTGGTGAGCGTCCCCACTGCCGCTGCATGAGGAGTCACACACACTGCCTTCAGGTTCCTGGTTCTTCCAGCTTGAGGATGCGTGGCCAGATCCCCCTGGACTCAGACACCGTGCCTCTCCCACCACCCCACGCAAGCCTGCGCTGCCTTACCGCCCCCAGGACCTGGCCGGGAAATCTGTTTCCAATCTCCACTGATTGCCCCTTTGCTGGCCAGCTGAGGCCGTGCCATGTCTCTCCACATCCGCAAATAAACTTCCTCTGCTGCACTGTAATCTGTGGGGTGCTTCCGCCGTCTGGGACGCTTGCGGGGCCAAGACCCCCTCCTGGGCTCCCGAGTCCTGACCCCGAGAGGCCTCCACTGCAGTTCACCGAGGGCCCAGTCTCGGGGGGTGGCAGGGGGTGTCTGGCCTGCACGTGCAGAGGGCAGTGACGCTCCTTATCACAGAGCCAGGGCCCCAGGGTCCTTAGGCCAGGACAAGCTTTCCGAGCTTCCCTGACAGCCCTGTCCACTGTGAGCCTGGGTTAACCCTGACCAAAGAACGGGCCTGAGGGCAGGGCCGGAGCACTCACTGGGGCCTCAGCCTCGCTCGGTCTGGTGAGCGTGCACAGAGCAGGCACATAGTCCTCGTTTCTCAGGCTTCCCTCGCCCAGGGCAGAGCATCAGGAGGGGCTCAGCAAGGCAAGATGGTGCCTCCAGACGAGAGGGGGGGGGGGGGGACGGGGACCTCACCCTAACTGGAGAGGCTGGGCTGGGTCTGCCTAGGAGCACTGGGACTCGGGAAGACATCAGGTGGATCAGGTGGCCCTGCTTGCCAGCCCCCCAACCCCCAAATTGAGCCCACGGCTCTTCTCCCCCGGAGCTGCAGCCTTCATCCAGTTGCCCCCCATCCTCTTCCTCCAGCCATAGTGTGTTCCGTCAGGTGAGTGAGGTCACCCCCTCCTCTCCAGGTTGAGCTGAGGTAGAAGCGGAGCTCAGGGTGAGATGGGGTTTTCAGAGGAGGAGCCCCCAAGGGCAGGAAGAGGAGCAGAGGGTCAGGAGCCCCGCTGTGCTCATCTCCCTGCTCCTCAGGGGCCCTGCCACTGACCACCTGGCCTGCCCGGCAGAGGGCTGTCCTTGCCCTCATGCTCAGCGCCCCCTGTGCTACCTGACCATCTCCTGTCCTGGCCCCCAGGGCCTGACCATCGTCAGCCACCCCCACCAGGCCTGCCTTCGGTGTTCAAGGGTGAATGAGGCCACCATGGGCACTCCCTCCCTGGGGTTTGGCTCCTGCCCACGCTGACAGTGGCAATCACAGCCTTGGAGAGCTGCAGCCCAGTTCTGCTCCGATCTATTTTGGATCTCTGGGCCCCCCGCACCCTTCCTGGCCTGTTCAGCTGTGAGGTTGGGTCTCCAAGAGAGACAGGACCGGTGGGCCTGAGTGGCCCTCTTGGGGAGGGACGAGGGGCATCCAGAGGCTGGCAGTCTCAGGTTACCACCCACCCTCCTCCTCCACGCCCAGGGGCCTGCCCAGGCTGCCCTGGTTCCAACCACAACATCCTTTGGGGTTTGGCCTATAGATCTGGGGCGGATGACCCCAAATAGCCCTGGCAGAGTCCCCTGCGACCCGCCTGCACCATGGCCAGCGGCCAGAGAGTATAAATGGTGCTGGAGGCTGGGGGAACAGCGGAGTCTGAGCAGAGACCCGAAGCCACTCGGAGAGACCATGAAGCCCTGCGTGCTCCTCGCCCTGCTGGCCCTGGCTGCACTCTGCCTCGCCAGCCAGACGGGTGAGTCCCCACTCTGCCCAGCCAGTGCGGAGGGAGCACTCCTCACCCTCCCCTGGAGTCAGTCCCTTTGCTGTCTAACCTCCTGCCCTGCCTCTGCCCCTGTGGAAGGAGAGAGGAGAGAGCAGACTGCCAGAGGCAGGGGAGGAGGGGCCTTAGGGGTGAACTGGGGTCCTTTCTTTTGCAGATGCAAAGCCCCGTGGTGCAGAGTCTGACAGAGGAGCAGGTAGGAGGCAGGCCTGCTAGGGGCTTTGTGCCACATCACCCGGTCCTTCACCCTGGCCCCCTCAGTCCCATTTCCCCCTTCCTGCTGGCTCCTCTCTGCCCCCCATCTTATCGCCCCAAACTCACCCCCACCTGGTCCCTGCCCCTCTGCTCCACAGCCTTCGTGTCCAAGCAGGAGGGCAGTGAGGTGGTGAAGAGACTGCGGCGCTTCCTGGGCCCGGGGCTGGGGTGAGGAGAGGCTGGAGGCAGGGAGGGCCCTGGGCAGGGGAGTGGAGGGCAGTGTGTGTGTGTGTGTGGAGGCTGATGCCACGTGCTGGCTGTCAGAGCCCCAGCCCCCTACCCAGACCCCCTGGAGCCCAAGAGGGAGGTGTGTGAGCTCAACCCGGACTGCGACGAGCTGGCTGACCACATCGGCTTCCAAGAGGCCTACCGGCGCTTCTACGGTGTCGCCTAGAGCTGCGGCCCGCGGCCCCCGCTGGCTCCTCTCAGAACCCTTCCCCGCCCCGCCCTGCCCCCTGCCCAGCTGCTCCAGAATAAACTCCAGAAGAGAAACTGGTGGCGTCCGACTCTGTCTATGGAGGGTGGCGTGGTGGGGGTGGTGCTGGGGGGGAGGGGGAAGGCAAGCGTGTTTTACCTCCTTCGGTCCCAAAAAGTGCTTCCCGGCGCCTGTTGACTTTTTTTATTTGTATCTGCCTCGTTCCAGAAGCACTGAGTTGGCTTTCTAAAGTCTAACTAGGATTCCCCCTCAGGCCCAGCACCCTCCCCGCCACCCCAACCCGGGGCACCACCCATGACACACCCTCACAGACCCAGATGCCCAAGGCTGGACATCCTGAGTACACGACTGACAGAACAGACTCGTCACTGCAGGCAAAGAGCTGCCAGCACACAGAGGGGGCCTCCTGGCCTGGTTAACAAGCACTCAGGGTAGGCCTAGGTTAGTCCTGTTAGTTCTCCCTGGGCTAAGCAGACTTCTGGGAGCACCAGCAACGGGACTTGATGGAAGGGCCCCTACACCTCCCCGGCCCAGCCTCTGCCGGGGAAGGGGAGGCTCTCCAGCCCCGACACACACCTCCCCTCTCAGACCCTCAGCACTTCCCCCAAGAGCACCCTCACGACCCTCCTGCTCTCCGCCAGCCCCCGCTCCTCTCCTCGGCCTTTTCTCCTTGGTGCTCGCTCAGGCACTTTTGGGTCCAGGCTCCTATGTGCCCCACACCCTTTCAGCCTGGGTCTGGGCTCCTCCCCTTTGCCGGCCTCGGAGGCAGGCTGAGATAGGGCCTCACTGTTGCTTGGCGTTGGAATCCCCCTCCAGCGGGCCGCCCTGCAGCAGGGGGCATGTACTAGGGGCCCGGAACAGGGAGGCTGTGAAGGCAGCAATGATGAGCAGGTTCCCGGCCACGGCCGAGCCCAGCGTGGCCACTGTGCCCATCAGGCCCAGGGGGGGCTCCTGTGTGGCCAGCCAGGCTTGGCGAGATTCCATATCAGCCAGCACCGCTTCCAGCTGAAAGTGGGTGCCCAGCACCGCACAGATGTGGAATAGCTGGTGGCTGTGGCCTGTGGGGAAGGCAGGCAGGTGAGGGCACAAACCCATCCCCAGGGCTGCCCCAACTCACTCTCTGACCCATGGCAAGTCACCCCATCACCTGGGCCTGCGACTATCCTAAATGCAGGAATAAGAAAACCTGGTTCCAAGAGCCACCAGAAGGAGTGAATGAGCTGATGGGCATGAAACACAATGCCGCCAGCATACAAGCTACCAGTCTGGCTGATACCGGCGAAGTGGGGGTGGGCCTGGACTCTGAGGACCCTCCAGGGCACTGTCTCTGGCTGCACTCGCCGCCATTTACTCAGGTCAACCTCTGGGTTCTGGGAAGCTGTCTCCCCTGCCCTCTCCTCGGCCAGGCGGGGCCTGCTCTCACCGATGTAGTCAAAGCGTCCCGGTGCCAGCCGCTCAGGCAGGTGAGAGGCGAAGAGAAAACCAGTGAGCAGCGCGCACAACAGGTGGTAGCCATGACTGGTGCTCAGCGCCTCTTGCCCACAGCTGTGGCCCCTGCCCCAGCACAGTCCCAGCTGGCAAAGGAAAAGCAGGCTGAGCGGGAGGGATTGGCGATGGACCCACCTGTGTCTGGAATCTAGCGGGGGGAGAGGGGGCGCAGAGCCAGGCTGGGTGCCGGGCCTGGAGGGTGGGCAGCAGGGCTGAGGTGAGATGGAGGGGCCAGGACTGGAAGGGGCACCGAAAGGACAAGGAAAACGAGGGCCTGCCCAGGAGCCCTACGCCCCTTACCCGATAGAAGAGCGGGAGGTTGTCAAACAGGAAGGGGTAGGCGAAAGCGCCTGTGCGGAGCATCTTACTGAGCCCAGGGCTTTCCAGCTCCGGGAACCTGGGAGGCAGGAGGGAAAGGCTGGTCACCACCCTGGTGCTAGGGGGGCGTCGGAGGGGCCAGGAGGCCTCTGACCATGTGTCCCTAAGCCGCAATGCCAATGCGGCTTAGGGACACATGACCCCTCTGTAAATGATCCCATCTGTGAGACGGGGGCTGGGAGGATTAAGGGAAACTGCAGCAGGTACGGCGCTAGCGCACAGGCTCCGACACAGGAATTCTCAATAAACGGTCCCGTGGCTCTTAATGCTGCTCAAGAGCGATCCCAGGTGCAAGCGTGGTGGCGGCGCCCTGCCCTGTCCCTCCGCCTTCCCCCTCCACACTGGCCACGAACCCACCGAGAGTAACAGGAGAGGCCGGTGCACAGGAGGGAGTTGAGGGCGGCGGCGGGCACAAAGAGCTGGCGCAGGCGGCCGTGCAGCCAGGAGGCCGGCATGGAGTAGGCGGCGTAGGGGAAGGCGCAACCTGGGGGCGCGGGCAGGAGCTGAGGCCCGGAGGGCTGGCTCCGGACGCAATACTGCGCGCCACCTCCCCCCCCCCCAAAACCCCCAGAAACCCCACCCCTGCAGCCCCCCCCCCCCGCCCAGAACCCCCACCCCTGCAGCCCCCACCCCGCCCCGGCTCACCCAGGCTGTAGAGGCTGAGCGCGCCGTAGTCCAGGAAGTAGCAGATGTGCCGCGCGCGGGGCGACATGGAGCTGAAGGTGTGCGCGCAGCACGACGCGAACGGGTAGAGGCAGGTGAGCCCCAGGAAGACGAGCAGCGGCCAGTGGTAGGGCTCCGCCCGGAAGCCGGGACCTCCCGCGAGCACCAGCAGGCGCCACAGGAAGTACCTGCAGCGGCACGTGCTCAGGCGGCCGCGCCGTCCCGCAACTTCCGGCTTCCGCCTTCCGCCCGCAGCCCGCCCGCCCGCGCGCGCGCCCGCCCCTGGGGCGCCGGCCGGGGTGGCCGCCTCACCAGGTGGGCAGGAAGTGCGTCCAGATGTTGACAGTCTCGTTGGTCATCTGGAAGGAGCTGAGGACGCAGTCCAAGGCCGAGCTGGTGGGGCGGCGGTAGCCGGACACGATGCCGTCCTCCCAGAACACCTGGGGGTGGGGGGTCACTAGCCGGGCCCTCTCTCCCCGGGAGAGGCCAAGAGGAGGAGTTGGAGAGAGCGCGCTGGAGGCCGCAAAGGCCCCAAAGCCAACCATGTCCGACAGGGTGCTGGGGGAGGGGATTCTAAACCCGCCCGCTCCGGAGGACAGGAAGGGCCTCACGCTGGGAGGGGAGGGAGGGGAGCGAGCTTGCAGGAGGGACTTGAGACCCTCAGTCCCAGGCCGCCCCCGGGGCAGTGTGAGTCGGCCAGTGTAGCCCCTCACCCGGGGAACCTGGTGGACTTGAAGGAGTTGGGGTAGCTTGAGACTGAGCATGGTGGCCTGCACCTCCACGTTGACCTAGAGACAGAGGGTGGCGGGGAGGAAATCAGGTGTCTGCTCCGGTCCACGGACTCTTTCTTATCACCCGGGTCCAGGCTGGGCTTGGTCACGGAGTGCCAGCATAGCTGGCTGCAAGCGGCTTCCTTCAGGCCAGGGGGGGCGGGCCCAGCCTCCCTGACCCCTCCCCATCCTAGCCTGGGGGCACTCAGTTTCCCCTTAACCCAACACAAAGTAGAGGGGCCTCAGCCCCGGCAGGAATACTGTCTCAGCAGCCCCGTCCCTGAGTCCCACCCCCCAGCCCTCCAGTTCCCTCTCAGAAGCCTAACTCATGGAGGTCAGTGCAGAGAGACCCCGAGCCACCCACCAGCACCAAAAGCCCGTGGCCCAGTGTGCAGGCTGAGCACCCAGAATCTGGAGAGGCCAGATGCCGGGACAAGAACTAGGGGGATGCCTGGCTCTTCTCTGAGGACACTTGTGCCCCTGGACAGTCAGGTCTCTGCCCCTGAGCCCCTGCCCCTCAGCCCCAGACCTGTGCAACGCCTCCGGTGGCCGTGGCTCTGCTGCCCCGCCGGCCTCGGGCCGCCTGTCCCAGGCACATTCCTTGGCACAATTGGTGGGGCCGGGCCAGCAGGGCAGATGGAACCACCCTAGGAGGAGGGAGGACACTCCCCCATCTCCCAGGGCCAAAACTTTCCAGCAACTCTACAGCCGAACCCCGCCCCTTTCCTGTCGCCAGCTTCACCCGCTCCCAGTGGGCCTCACACCATCAATCGGGTCCCCCAACAGTCTGGGAGCTCTCTGGGACCGAGCTGGGCACAAGACAACCCTGGTTGACACCCCAAAGGTATTCCTTGTCCAGGAGTAGGAGGGGGGTGGTCTGACCCATGAGCTGCCCAGTGACCTGGGGGAGGGTGGGAAAGCAGGATGCTGGCTGGGCTCTAGCTGCCCTAGGGGTCCTTCCCTTGCGTGGGGTTTAGAGGTCTGTGTGGCGTGTGCTGTAGCCCTGGAGATGAGGGAGGGGCTGGAGCTGGTCCCAATTCCCTAGAATGGTGACAGCCCCAGGTGAGCTTCCTTACCAGAGCGTGACTGGTGCTCCTGAGCAGGTGGGTCCGCAGGCCCGGGTGTCCTGCCAGCCAGGCCAGCGGGAGGGAGGAGAGTGGCCTGCCAGCAGGCCAGGGAACAGGAGACAAAGGAGCCAGAAGACAATCCCAGCCTTGTCCAGCCTCCAGGGAGCAGCGCAGGGTGGCCCAACCCCATTAGCAGGCAGCTCACTGGCCTTCAGCACACAGCCAACCCTCCAGCCTGACTCAGACCCAGAGACCAGCACTGACCAGAATAGGCTGGAGCGCTGGCCAGGGTGCGGCCAGTGCGGTGCAGGCCCCTCAGACCAGGCTGTGCCGCTGTTCCAGTCTCCCCAGGAGGTGAAGGTGGCCCTGCCACAGGCCGGGCAGAGAATCCCAATCTCTCACTCTCGCCGCCTCTGAGCACCTGGTGCTGGGCAGAGTCCAGAGCAAATGCCTTTGGTAAATGTTGGTTCAACCACAAGGGATTTGCCAAGCTTACTCCCCAGACGCACTTAAGGTACCAGCCTTGCAGAGGGACAGGGATTGAATCTGGCTTAGAGGTTCATCCCCTGCTCCCTTGAGAAATTTGATCCAGCAAATATGGCCTCACAATCCTGTTTCACCCATCACCCTTACGAAGGCACCAGCTGTTTAAAGGATCAAGGAACTTGACAATGTCACTACGTCTGGAGCTTTTGCTGAAATGCCAAACTTCTTGCTTTAACGCATTCACCTTGAAGAAACCTTTCCAAACGCCATTTGTTAGCACGCCATCTCCAACCTCCCAATAAAACGGCAGAAAGGCACAGGAGACAGAGTGGGCTTCGGGGTCTTTATTAAATGATGCTTTAGCCTCAGTCTGTCGGAGATTGGGAGGGGGTGACCCTATCCCCAGGTTGTCCCAGACTTGCTGTCTTGGAAGGAGGAGGCAGGATGTCTGCTCTCCTCTGAGAACAGCCTGGGAAGCTAGGCGAGTGCTGGGGTGAGGGCAGCAGAGCTGAGACCCCACCCTCAACCCCTGGGCAGTGGCCCACCCACAGCCCCTCTCGCTGCTCCATTCACTGTCCTGAGCTATTCATGATCTCTGCTTCCACAGTCACCTCCACATCCCAAGAGCGAGCCCCAGGCTGAGCCCACCAGACCTCCAGTCCTGGGGTGGGCGGAGCCGGAAGCCCATCAGGATTGGGGCCCCTGACTGGGCAGCTTCAGAGGCCTCTCCTTCCGCTAGTCCAGGGGGTGGTGGCCTCAGACTGCACCCCCTCTCTCCTCACTGGCATCCCACTGGTGCAGCACAGCAACCAAGAGCACAAAGCATGGTGACTGTGGGCCTGGCGGGCACGAGAACCCTCACGGGCACGAGAACCCTCAGAGACTGCCCGCAGCTGCTGGTGAGGCTGCTCCCTGCCCTGGAGGCCGGGCAGGGGGAGAGCGGAAGTGGGGAGCGGTGTGCAGCCCCAGCGGCACGGGAGCGGTGCAAACCCGGCCCCGTGCAGGGCAGCCAGCTCCGGGCCCCTCTCCTGGCAGAGCCCCCAGAGCCCCAAGCGGCCAGGCCCCACGAGGGGGAATGAGAGCGGTGGTCTTTGAGGAGGGAAAGGGTCTGCAGAAAACCACCCAGACACCTGGCGCCACCTCCTCTTCCCAGGACTGGAGGGTCCGAACTCCTACCCAACCCCCTCTTAGGTGAGGAAGGGCCTTCTCTGCCCCCTTCCCCAGAGGTCCAGGAACCACTCCAGGGAAGCCAGACCCCCACGCCTGCCGCCCGCCTCTGGGGACAGCAGGAGGGTTGAGGCAGGAAGGCTGACTAGGGGCCCACAGGCCTCTCCTGCTCCAAATACTTTCCTCACTTCCTGACATCGTCTTGGCAACAGGGGGCGCCCACCCTCCCAGCTGGCTCCTGGGCCCTCCCTCAGCCTGTGTGCAGCTGGGCTTCCTCCTGAGTGCGTGCGGAGTCTGTGGTAGGGTGACTACAGGTGGTGTCCCGGCAGCCAGAGAGGGCAGGAGATCTGGAGTCAGCCCCACTGCAGGGCTTGGGAATCGGTCTCAGCCAATCTCCTTCCACTGCTTGTAGAAGTCCAGAACATTCTTGATGTCCACACTGGCATGTGCAGCGGCCTGCAGGGCAGCCTGTGGGGGGAGCAGGAGAGAGGGGTGAGTCTCCTGGACTGCGGACAAGTCGCTGAGGGGCAGGGGTGAAGAGGAGGAAAGGGCCCCGCCTGGGTGAGGAGGGAGCACCTCTCCTGCTCCGTCCCTCCCCGCACCCTCGCCCACCTGCATCGGGCCCGAGAGCACGCCGGGCTTGTCCAGTGGGAGGCCTGTGATGATGGTCACCATGCCGCCGGGGTCCTCCTCACCGGCCCCCTGGGCTAGGGTCAGTTGTTTGCAGCTGTCCAGGATCTTATAGAGAGTCCTGGGAGGAGAGGGGGGTGGGCCAAGCCCCATCAGCACAGCCTGAACACCAGGGTTCCCAGGGCACAGGGGAATCTAGGGGAGCAAGAGCAGCAGGCAGCCGAGGCAGGAGGAAGCTGGCACCGGAGGATGTGCCATGGGGAGTGGGCAAAGGCTCTGAGGACACCAAGCCTCGGGATCTGAAGGCCCCAGGGAACCAGATGCTGGAGCAACTCCTTCCTCCAAGGGGAGACTTGCAGGAGGCCCCCGGCTGGTCCTGCACCTGTGCCAGTTCCTTGGCCCTGTCCCCTCCCCCGGGGAGTGGCACGGGGAGCGAAGGAGGCGGTTATCTGAGGGTCTAGGGGGAGGCTGAAACGTTACCAGGCATCTGCATCCTGTCTCTTCAGCTTGTGTCGCTCAAAGCTCTTCCCCACCTCCTTCTGGCAGCGAATGTACCTGCAGAGAACACAGGAGAGTGGAGCTGGGGGCCCTTCACACAAAGCAGACCATTGTGGCTCAGGGCCTGGCTCCACGGGAGCAGGAGGGGCACAGCGCTCCCAGCACAGGTCTGCGGGGAGCCATTCCCAAGTTTCCTGGCCGCTGGCTCGCCTTTCTTCCTGATAACATCAATTCCTCGGTGCCTCCCAGGGCAGGGAGCTGGGAGGGGAGAAGGACCAGATGCTTTTCAAGTCAGGGCTTCTGGAGACAAGGTCCAAACAAGCAGGCTTTGTACAGCTTCCTGGCAGATGCGGGGGTGGGGTGGGGTTGGGGGTGTCAGCTAGCAAGGAGGCCAGAAGGAAAGGCCTGTGTGGGGAGCATCTACCTGCTGCATCTGATCACGTGGCTTCAGTGGGAGGTGGGAAGCCCCCAGCAGCCCCAACTGCCACCCTAACAAACCTTCACAGCCCCACCCTGCGGCAAAAGGTGCCCACAGCCTGGAGCTGGGGTCTGCTCCCTCCTCCCCGGAGATGCTGATCTCATGTTCGCCCCAGAGGCAAATGGTCAGCAGGTCAGTGCCCGTCCTGCCACTGCCCCGCCCCCCGCCCCCCCCCCCCCCCGCCAGCTCCTGGCCCCTCCAATCACCCTCTCTTTCAGCACCTGAGACCTTGACTTATTAGGTCTTCCGTTTTCCCTCCCAGCAGTGAGCACACTATGCGCAGGGTCTCCAAGTGCGTGTTTCGTCCACGAGTGAAACAAGCATTTGCTGAGAGACACGGGGCTTAGCAGCCCGCACTCACCTGTTTCCTTTTTTAAACTCTGCCTCTAGGTATCGGATCCCGTCCCGGGCCCCTGGGTGCTCCTTCTTCAGCAGATCCAGGCCGTCAATCACTGTGGGCGAAGGGGGCAGGGGGAGGGGAGACAAAACAGATGAGCTGAGTCTGTGACCGGCTCTCAGGAAGCAGCTGAGCTCCTCCAGCACCCACTGCAGGAAAAGACGGGCGGATGGGGCTCCGACAGGCTCCTGAGGTCCTTCAAAAGCATAACCTGCTGCCAGGCATGTGCGTGGCAATTCACCAACTGCTTCCATTTAGATATTCTCCTGTTCCTCCCAACCATCTTGAGAGTCAGGATTTAAGAGATCATATCCATTTCACGGATGAAGTGACTGAGGTTCAGGTTGGAAGCACTTGACCAAGGCCACTGTGTAAAGTGGGCTCCAAATAAAGGTCTCAACCCCAAGCGCAGAGTTCCTTTAAGCCACCTTCTATCCGTCTTCCCGCCTCCTCAGTGTGCTCACCTGTCCTTGGGATGATGACAATGAAGCGGCCACTGGTGGCCAGCTGGCGGATGATGGGGAGGTGGAGGCAGAGGGCCTGGGTGTCAGGAACGAGGTAGGGTGACATTGCTGACTGGGCCTTGGGCTGCTGGAGGCTCCCTTCCAGCTGAGAGACCTCGAGCTGGTGAGAGAAGGCATAGTGGGTGGAGCTGTGTGGGCTCCACAGCCTGGCAGGGGGAAATGGCTCTCAAAGGGGCTCCTCCTGCTGCCCCAGGGACAGGGGCCTCCTACCAATGACCTCGGAGGTAGAAGGTGTCAGAAACAAGGCTTAAAGCAGAGAGAGAGAGAAGAAAAAGAGGCAGAAGTGAAAGCAGCAAGACGCCAAGGCTCTGTGAAGAAGGGGCTTCGGGAGGCCACGAAGGTAGCAATCTGGGCAAAGTGGGGGCCACAGGGGAACAGGGGAACAGCTGGAGGGGTGAGGGTCTGCCAATGGGCGTTAGGCAATAACCATATCGGGAGGAGGAGGAGCACCTGAAGCCGTAGCTGGGCCATGTCTCTCATGAGCCGGTTCCGCCGAGCTTCCTCCTGCGCCTGCAAAGGAAAAAGCAAGTGCTGAGAACCAGGTGCGGAGCTTGGGACGGGAGCTGAGGCTATGCTCCTTCCTCCAGCGATCAGACCAAGCAGAGTGCTGGGTCTGAAGTAGGACGGCTCTCTGCTGATCCTGCTAAGTGAAGAGAAGAGAAACATGGGAGAAAAGCATGGCTTCTCTGTTCCAACACCAGGAGAGAGGCAGCAGCCAGTGGGCACTGTCACGGCACAGGGTCTGAGCTCTGCCGTCTGCCTTCTCCCTCCCAGGGGATAAATATCCATGCACCCCTCCCCCTGTCTTTATCACCATCCATTTGCCAATTTCGTCTTATACATTTTTACTGATTTCAGAGAGGAATGGAGAGGGAGAAAGAAACATTAATGATGAGTGAGAGTCACTGCTTCCACTGAGGATCAAGCCCAAAACCCAGGCATGTGCTTTGACCCAATTCACAGGTCGACGCTCAACCACTGAGACACACTGGCCAGGCCACTTGCCAATTTCTTTTTCTTTTTTTAAATTTACAGTGCCTTTTATTTAATCTTTGCCATTATTTTCTTTTTTTTAAAAATATATTTTATTGATTTTTTTTTTTTATAGAGAGGAAGAGAGAAGGATAGAGTCAGAAACATCGATGAGAATCATTGATCAGCTGCCTCTTGCACACCCCCTACTGGGGATGTGCCCGCAACCAAGGTACATGCCCTTGACCGGAATCGAACCTGGGACCTTTCAGTCTGCAGACCGACGCTCTATCCACTGAGCCAAACCGGTTTCGGCTTTTTTTTCTTTTTTTAAATATATTTTATTGATTTTTTACGGAGAGGAAAGAAGAAACGTGTGTGTGTGTGTGTGTGTGTGTGTGTGTGTGTATAAAATGAGGATACAGCGCCCACCTCACAGGGCTCCTGAGAGGGTTAAACGAGAGGTCACATGCAAACCTAGGTTTGCACATAGAAAGCTCTCGAGAAATGACAGATGGCGTGGCAATGACAATGACCACGCTGCTGCTGCTGCTGCTAGGGAATAAACCCTTGGTGCAAGCCTGAGGCTCGGGCAGAGCAGGAGGCAGGCAGCCCCAAAAGGTACTGTGGCCCACGTCCAGCTTGGTCTAGGGGTCCCACACTGCATGAGAGGCGCTCTCAGATCCTCCCTGCCCCCAGGATGAGTCTTCAAGAACTTCAGGCTAAAGGAAATGCCTGCAGCCAAAACCGGTGTGGCTCAGTGGATAGAGCGTCGGCCTGTGGACTGAAGGGTCCCGGTTTGATTCCGGTCAAGGGCATGTATCTTGGTTGCAGGCACATTCCCAGTGGGGGGTGTACAGGAGGCAGCTGATGGATGTTTCTCTCCCATCAATGTTTCTAACTTTCTATCCCTCTCCCTTCCTCTCTGTAAAAAAATCAGTAAAATATATTTTAAAAAATAAATAAATAAATAAAGGAAATGCCTGCAAATTTTCAACATTTTTTAAAGCTGTGCAACTTCCCCGTAGTTATTTTTGTAACCCCGTGTTTTCCCCTATGGAACAGCAACGAAAGCCTTAACACAAAGCGTTTGTTTTTAGAAAAATGTCCTTGCTTTTAAGACAAGGAAGGGAGTTTCTGGGGAGCCTGTACCCCTTCCCACAGGCAGACCATCCGCAGGAAGGGTGTGCTCGGAGAGGCAGGCAGGGAGCCTGGGCTCAGGAAGGAAGAGCATGGGCTTGCCCAGCCCCGTGGGCCACGCCTCCCGTGCCAGACACCACTGCCCGCTGAGCTCAGGGAGGACACACAGCCCAGGACGGTGCGGGCCCCGCTGTGGAGCCGGGCTGCTGTTCAGAGTAATAGCCTCACACAACAAGCTCTGCCTTGTTCGGGGCTGTACCCCCGTGACCAGAATACTGACAAGCCTGACCCAGAGCAGACTCCCAATGAATATTTATGGAATGAACTGCTGAATGGAAAAGAGGTGACACAGGCCGCCTCCTCCGGTTTGGAGTCTGTGGGATGGATCAGGCCTGGGATGGAGGCTTCTGCATGTCTGATACCAAGATCCCTCCGCTCCAGGGCGGGAACCGTTTTTCTGCCAGGGGCCACTGGATATTTATGACATTATTCGAGGGTCATACAAAATTATCAACTTAAAAATTAGCCGCTGGCCCTGCTAGGTTTGGCTCAGTGGACAGAGCATCAGCCTGAGGACCAAAGGGTTCCAGGTTCGATTCTGGTCAAGGGCAAGTACCTCATCTGCAGGCTCCTCCCTGGCTGAGTCCTGGTCAGGGTGCATGCAGGAGGCAACCAATTGATGTGTTTTTCTCACATCAATGTTTCTGTCTTTCCCTCTCTCTTCCACTCTCTCTAAAAATTAATGGAAAAATATCCTCGAGTGAGGATTAAAAAAAAAAAAAAAAATTAGCCCGCTAAGCCAGCTGGTGTAGTTCAGTGGCTGAACTCTCTCTCCCTTTCTCTCTGAAATCAATAAAAAGTATTTTTTTTTTAAAGTAGCCTGCTATATTTGGCCAAACATTTAATTAACTCACTCCTACTGCCTTGGCAGGTCTCACATGGCCTTTGGGCTAGACTTTCCCCCCTGCTCCATACCTCTCCATCCCTCAGCCTCCATCCCTCGGGAAGGGAAGGGAAGGGAAGGGAAGGAGCATTTGCTGTGATAATGTGTCTGGTGCCTCACAGGTATATCATTCCATCTTCACAACAATCCCCTAAAGCTGGTTCCACTGCTCCCAGTGACTCACTCCGTTCAGACACAGAGGACAGAGATGGCCTCACCCCCGGCAGCCTGGGTACTGGCCCAGGACCATCTGCCTCTGCCTCTGCTCCGGCAACTCTCATTCGTGTCGTCAGCCGATCCCTCAGGTCCCCTCCCCGCCTCCTCTTCCCCAGGCTCGGTGTCCCCCACCCCAAGCACTAATTCTTCAGTCAAGGCCACCCGTTTGGGGCTCTTCCTCGGGCTTCTCAGGGAGCCCAGTGGGAGCAGAGCGGGCCAGGTGGGCTGACTCACCATGCGGAACTGGGCCTGGGCCTGCTGCAGCAGGCTCTCCTGCTCCGACTGCGCGGTGCTGACGAAGATGCCCACCTCCGAGCTGAACTGCAGGATGCTGCCTTGCAGGCGGGCGACGAAGTGGCCGAAGCTGCGGATGCAGCAGATCCGCACGACGGACTGTGAGGAGACACACAGGAGGCTGAGCAGGGCTGCCCTCGAGGGCTCCCGCCTCCTGCCTCCCTCTGTGCCAGCCGCCTCAGCGACAAGTGCCCCTCGAACAGGCTCACGGTCTGCGGGGGGAAAGCGGAGCACCGAGGCCCAAAGCCTCCAACTGCCCGAGGAGGGGTGAGCAAGAAGGGCCAGGAGACACAGGGACCCCAGAACCAGGGCTCGGGCTCAGAAGGAAGAGCCGGGCTCTGGGCTGGGAGTGAGGAGACCTGGCTTCTAAGGCCACCGCTCTCCTGAGTTTCAGTTCCTCGGTGTAAAGTGAGGGACTGAGCTCCACCAACATCCCCCACCCGTTTTTTTTATTAACAGAACCCTCCTTCCCCATCGAACAAAAATCTTATCTGAACCTTAAAGCATGAAACAGACTAAAGCCCAGTTGCTCTGGCCACAGCGGGAGCATCCAAAAGGTGCGTGTCAGAGGCCTGGGAGGCCGGTCTGCTTGCTTCCCTCTGCTGCCCCCAGATGGCCCATGTGGTGACTCAGATTCAAGGGCAAAAGTCCCTGCACTGAGTGGACAGCGTACGCCCTCCCAGCTCCAATTCTCTTAACTGCTTGATGTTCAATGCAGAGAGGGATGGTGCACAGTAGAAAGAAGCTGATAAAAGATTTCAAAGCCCTAGTAATTCTCCTGTTCTGTCCTCTACAAAAGACGGAAAAGGGAGGAAGGCTTGTTCTACAGCAGGAGACCACCACCAACAGACCCAGGACAGTGTGCCAAGAGGAAAGACAGCTCCAGCTGATAGACTCAGCCTGTAGCCCCAAGGACACTCGCCCTGCCTAGATGGGTGTGTGTGTGTGTGTGTGGGTGTGTGTGTGTGGGTGTGTGTGTGTGTGTGTGTGTGTGTGTCGGGGGGCAGGGGATGACTCCCTGCCCGCTCCAATCTGAGCCCTTGCTTTGCTGCTGTGTCTGACTAACAACACAGCTGTGGCTGAGAAATAACGTCCTCACCTCCTCTAAGCTGCTGAGCAGGGGCCGGTCCGTGTCAAAGTTAAAGCGTCTGTGGGCCGCCCGGAGGGGAGGCAGGTTGCGAAGTGCCATGTCCTCCGGAAGCAGCAGGCTAGCGGGGAGGTCAGGCAGTTCACAACCTTCGAGAAGCCCATGGACCTCGGGACACAGGGCTAGGCCTGGGGAAGAGAGGACACATGAGGCCACTTGCCCTGTGGGAGCCCCAGGCAGAGGGACGGGCCTTGTTTGGAAGTTCCCAGGCTAATGCAATAGGGCGCCCCCCTCGGGCGGAATGGGGGAGATGGCAGGAGGAAAGGAGGGAGAAACACGTGGGACTGTCAGAGCTCTAGAGGCCCAGAGCTGGAAGGGCTGGAAGAGAAGGGCAGGTGGGAGGACCAGGAGGCCTCAGGCTAAGGCTCCCTGACCACAGGGCATCAGTTACACTGGGATGAGAGAGAGGAGGGGCTCTGGGGGATAGCCCTGGGTGAGTCCGCTGGGAGGAGAAGGTGGAGATTTCCCATTAGAAGATGGTAGGAGGAAACAAGCCGCACAGATGAACTCTGGAGGTCAAGGTCAGTGCTCAATGACCAAGGCACCAGGGCGGCACCAGCAACTGGGCTGGCCTCCAGGCTCCCCTCGCTCTGCTCTTGCCCACTCCACCGCCATCCCCAGGGAGCACCCTCCCTGGCAGACCAGGCCACCCGCCCCCAGTGAGAAACCGGAGAGGCCAAGGCCACAATGACTGCTATGTGTGAGGGAGGCCTGGCAGTGAGTCCCATTAACCTCCTTACCCCAAGGGCCGGGTTACCTGGAAGGGGGATGGGCTTCGAGGGGCCAATGAGGAAGAGGGAGAGGCGAGGAGTGCCAGGGACTCACTCACCAGACTCTTGGAGCTCGCCAGCAGCTGGCAGCAGATTCAACAGCACGGAGAGGCGGTTCCACAGACTCTGAGAGCTCTGGGGAGAGAGGCAGGAGAGGCCTCAGCCAGGGCGTGGGGGATGAGCAGGAAAAGCATGCCCTGCGCCAAGGGGTCTGTGGAAGACCAAACAGGGAGCTGGTCCCGTGCGGAGCTGAGGAGCCCAGGGAGCTTTGCTGGACTTTACCACCAGCGGAAGGTTTCCCAAGAGAAGGCAGGAGACCAGGAAGGCCTCTCTGGACCTTGGTGAGGGGTGGAGGGGGAGCCAGACCATCTGAGCACATCTCCCTGTCTAGCACGAATGCCCACTGGGACACTGCTTAGGGATGTGACCTCCATCTCCATCTTACCGCACCTCCTCAATGACAAACAGTAACTAAGTAACTAAGCTGCCATCAGGCGTAAGCACACACCCAAGGTTGTGCCTGCCCTGACCCTGTCTCATCTAGGGCAACCTGCAGGGAGAAGGGACCACAGGGCAGTGTGCTAGGAAGGCAAAGCAACACTGGATAAAAGCCTCCGGGAACTAGAGGCTCTTATCCAGACCAAGATACTGGACCAGAGAAGGCAGCCATTGCCCCCGCCGGCCCCCAGCCATCAGCCCTGACATCATAAGCTATTCTCTGAGCGGTCGTCCTACCCTGGTCTGAACTCCCACCATTCCCCTCTCCCCCACCCCTATTCAGACGCTCTCCTTTCCCGAGACTCTGAATACATCCTCTCATCAACATGAATCCCAATGGCAGGCACCACCTCTGGCACTGGAGAGACAAAGCAGGGTACGCAGCTCTCTCTCTTTCCCATCCACACAATCTGCATTCCAGGGCGAAGGGCAGGCCCAATCCTTCTCCTGCGGAAAGCGGGAGAGCCCGCAGAGACGGGGTGCTTGGCAACAACTCTTACCACACCATCGGGTGGGACTCCTGGGCCGCGCCCTGACCTGAGGAGGCCGCGGAGGGACACACCTGTGCGCACACGATGATGAGGTCGGGGTTGGTGCGGAGCCAGTCCAGGAAGACTTTCACAGCAGGAAGCAGGCCTTCCGCCATCAGGACCTGCAGCTTCTCCTGGATGCTGCGCTCGTTCCGACAGGAGTGCCCACTGGACTCGCTCGCCTCTGACTCGGAGCCCTCCTCAGAGGCTGGTGGGTGAACAGAATGTGATGACTAATGAGTCTGTGACAGCAGGCTTTCGCTCTGTGGGGGGACTAATGGCTCTGAAGAGTTCGGATATGAAAGGAATTACAGACCCCTGCCTCAATTTTGCAGGCCTGTAACTTTTTACTTTTTGTTTCTGAGAGGGAAGGAGAAACATTGATGCGAGAGGGTAACATCGACCAGCTCCCTCCTGCACGCTCCCTACCAGGTATCGAGCCCACAACCCAGGCATGAGCCCCACCAGAAACGGAACAAGAAACCTTTCGGTGCGTGGGACAATGCTCAGCCAACTGAGCCACACTGGCTGGGCATTAGCGGCTGCTTTTAACGCATAAGCCTGTGCCTTTTCTTGGGCCTGGTGTCTTTTAAATGATCCTTTTAGCCTCAAGCTAATTTGTGAGGCTGGTCTACAGCTATCCTCAAAACAATATTTATGAAGTGCCTACTCTGTGCTAGAAGGCAGGGCAGATAGAAAGCTGTAGGGAGGGAAGGAGAAAAGTGGCACAGAATTAAAATAACTACTTGTAGCTCCTAGGTCTTCAACTTTGTAGGTTGAACACAGACTATTTCCTCATTTCTCTTATTCAGTCATTATTTCCTACACTAGGTACTGTTAGGTACCAGGGATAAAACATATACCACCCAGCCCTCAGGAGGCTCACAGGCTAGTAGGAGACAAATCGATAGTTCCACTAGAGGGGAAAAGGCCAGAAGTGTCCTAAGTGCAGAGGCTAGAGGAGCCACAGAAAGAAAATCTAACCTAACTGTGAAGGCCCAAACCAAGTAACTTTCAAGCTAAAATCTATATAGCGAGTGAAAATTAGCCAAGCAACAGGCTCCGGACAGGAGGAAAAGCGTGTTCCAGACCGAAGGACGACGCACAGCAACTTGGAGGTACAGCGTTTGGAGGGACAGTAACTCCCCCGCCAGATTGCCGTGAAAGTTCAGTAAGACAATCCCTGAGGAAGTCCAGCCTGGTGCTTGGCATAGAGTAGCCTCAAGCAGTGCTCGCTGCTGTGCTGCTGGGCGTCCCCTCTGCAGGCAAGACACTCAGCAGGTCAGTCTCACTCTAATCCACAAATTTTTCTAACTTTCAGGAGCCCTGGCGGGAGGACCTGGGTGGCACCAGGTAAAGAAACTGTAGCTGCACTTGTCATGTGGAGGCAAGCCCCAACCCACAGGGCAGGGTGAAGGGAAAAGGTATAAAACCATGAAGGAGGCTGGGGCTGGGATGAGGAAGTGAGCGGGAGAAGAGCTCAGGAAGAAACTCCTGGCTGTGCAGAGGACCCAAGAGCAGGCAGCAAAGGGGGGGTGAGGTGCTCAGACGGGACAGTGGCCTCTCGGATGAATGCTGAGGGCATGGAGGTGGAGACAAGAAGCCCCAGTACCTGGCTCTGAGGGCTTATCCACATCCCCATTGACACAGGGCCTGTGGCCGGCCAGGCCGTGCGGGTCCGCGCTGGGCTGGAGGAGCAGGTTGCTGAAGGTGGGGGCCAGTCGGAAGCAGCGCTTGGTCTGGAACATCTGGGTGGACATGGCTTGTAGATTGCTGGCGATGCTAGCCTCACTGGGGCCCAGAGGGCCATTGAGGGACTCGGGAGCCTCTGACCTGGCCCGAGGGGGTTCCAGGGCTGGGGACCGTGTCCCTTCCTCATCCTCCATGTCTTCCAGGTCCGATCGGGACTCTTGGCTGTTCATTTCCGAGTCTGTTTCAGCATCGAAGGCCGTTCCCCCGCCTTCAAGACTCTTGTCGGAGCCACTGTCGGAGCCCTCACTGGCCCGGGCCGAGTCCCGGCTTGAGTCAGATTCAAAGCCCTCACTCAGGTCGCTGTCATCGCCAGCTTTGGGCAGGTGGCGGTGGCGGCGGCGGCGGCGGCGGAGGCAAGAGAGGCGGGAGAACTTCCGACTCTTTCTGACCTCGCCCTCCTGAGGGGCCGTGGGAGGAGGCTCTTCCTCCTTCTCCAAGGGTTCCTTGGACTCTGGTTCATCTGTGGAAAGAGGCTGGTCAGGGGCCTAGGGACAAACTGGAGGCGGAAAGCTGGAGGTCACCACACACACCACCCCCGCCAAGCCAGTGTTCCCCTTCCGGGTCCGCACGCTCACGTTTCCAGTCACACCCTCCCCAGGCCTGTACCTGTGCCATCGCTCTGGAACGCCGGGACGGGATTCTCCCCCTCTTCCAGTTCAGCCTGCAGCCGTATGTTGACATGATTGACGAGGTGGGAGAAGAGGGCCAGGGTAAAGGCAATGGCTGCACTGTACTGCTTGGACCCTAAAGCCAGGAAAGCCAGGCATTAGGGGCTCAGGGCCCTGAGAGGGAGGGGGAACCATCCATTCCAACCCACATCACTTACTCTCAGTCCTCCCGAGGATCAAACTCTCTCTCAAAGCTTCTAAGGTAAAAAGAAATTCTCAGGTCTCTGCACTATTATCCTGTAATCTAGAAGGTGCCAGCTCACCTGGCGCTTCCTCACGTAAGCGTATCCTCTCGTCCATCTCCTCCTCACTCGCTTTGATGCCTCCACACGGGCTCCTCCCAAACCCCAAGCACCTTCACAACCAGCCCTGCCTCTCCTTTCCTTCCTTCCAACCTTGTTCCACATTAAACCAGGAACAGTTTGCAGAACTGACCCTGTGTCTGCCTGGGTCCTGGGCAGGGGTGTGTGTCTGTGAGAGGGAGTGAGGAGGAGGGAGAGGGACTGTGCTGTGCCTTGTTCATTCATCGGGAGGTCCCTCAGGGTAAGGCGCCTTGTCCCTTGCTCTCCCACAGCCACGCAGTGCCACAGGAGGGAAAAGGCTGTTTGTGGAAGGAAGGTGATAAAGAAGCAGAAAAGGGTAGTGAGGATCCCAGAGGCCAGTGGAGGAGAGAAGAGGGACCAGGAAGTTACCTGCTCTCTTCAAGCTGTGCACACTCATAAGGCAGATGACGACCATTTGGAAGATTAGAAGGTCCGGGAGGAAAGCGTATCCGCTCTCATACTCCTCCTCGTCCTCACTGGCCAGGCTGAGGTTGGGGGAGGAGGGCAGGTAGAAGAGGCAGAGGTTGAAGTCCTCCAAGACTGACTGGCAAAGCGTCGTCAGCTCTGAGTCCACGGAGCTGTGGGAGGGCAGAGTAATAGGGAGGTTAGTGATGGAGGAGGAGGCAGGAAGAAGAGTTGGGAATACAGGATTCCGAAAAAAGACTAAGGAATCCTGCAGGGAAACTTCAGAGCACAACAGGGGACTCAATGCTGCGCTGATCTCTGCAGCAAAGGAACAGGGAAGGGCAGGCACAAAGTGGAAGAGATGTGAGTGGGCTTCCATTCAGTTGCTCTTTCAACATCCAACAAGAGCCCATTCTGAGCCAGAGGAAGAGCTGCCCAGAGAATGGGCAAACAGTGAGGGATGCCAAGAAAAGGCTAACCAGATGGAGAATTTCACCCGAGAAGCAGAATTCAGCAGCTCTGCCTCCTCCTCAAGCATCCTCCGAAAAGAAGCTGTCATGGACGGGCTCACAGGACACAGCTCCTGCTCATGCTCTCTTCCACTCACCTGCTTTTGGGCTGCAGGAGGCTCTGCAGGTACATGAAGTTCACCAGCAACCTCTTGATGTCTTTACATCTGAAACGAGAGGAGCCGGGGTGAATGCTGAGTGGCTGCAGAGTCCGCATGGCCCCGCTGCACCCAATGCAGCCAGAGCCCCTCCTCCCGCAGGCTCTCACCGCTTCTTGCTGGGAGAGAGTTTGCGAGTCTCACACTTCTTCAGCTGGTGGTACATTTTGGCTGCCTTGTCAAATAGCCTCTTGAGGTTCCCATAGGCCCCCTCAAAGGACACTTCTGATTGGATGCTGAAGGAGGCAGAGGAAGCTATTCAGTCTCGGCAGGGACACGGGAGAGATGGGGTGGAGTAAGGTGGGGAGGAGTGAAGAGGGAAATGTCACTCTGCCAAGGATTTATAAAACAATGTTTCTAGTAAATAGAGGCTGTCCCCTCCCCATTCCATATACACTCGGGATGGGTGTCTCTCTCCTAATAAAGCACATGCAAACACCAATTTTTATCGTAAGAGCTGAGTGTCAGATCCAGGGAAGCTGGTCCCCTATATATCATCACTGTCACCTCAAAACACTGAAACTACAATTCTGAGGTTCTCGTCCGAGGATACTTTGGTAACATTTCATCAACTCTGCCAAATTTGTTTCCTTCTTTAATAATATAGTGGACAGCTATTTTAGCTGCCCAAGTGCCTACAAATTCAGATGGCTGTATAAAAAGCAGCAGGAGTGTCAGGGGGCCCTGACAGGAGGGACCCCTCAATCTCAGGATTCCCCTATGTCAGGCAGGAGCTAGAGAAGGGAAGACGGGAAGAGAGAAAACGAAGCAGGGATGGTCTGGCCAAGAAAACAAGGCTGGGGAGAGTGGCAGGTACTCACCAGCGCAGGTAGCAGTACATGGCTTCCACGTTATAGTACTTGCTGCCCGCAAGGGTGCCCAGCTGGTTGAAGGGCATTCCTGGGGGGAGAGAAGTCACACAGCTTGTAGCCACAATACTCACCAAAGCTGCCAGGCCCAACCAAAGTAAGCATTAGAGAACTCTTGGGGAGGAAGAGTTGGGCTTGCAAGTGTCTAGGTGACTAGCAGCTTAATCTTATTCCTCCAGGAGATTATTGATTATAGACTTACTTCCTATTAGCCTATTCCTGCCTGGCCGGCCAAGGAGTTCAGCACTGATGGGTCCTATTCCTTCAGCGGTAGCTGTGACTCTTCCAAGGTTGACAGAATTCCATGGAGCCTTCTCCCCGAGCTCCACTCAGTTTCTCACCTCTGCTATCTCCTTCCTCTAATCCCCATCTCTCCCTGCAATGGAGCCTAATCCTTTCTCTTCTGTCTCCTGTGGGGGCAGATGAAATTCAGTCTCCTCTTTCTACAAAGACTTCAGGGACAGGAAAGCCCTCTTCTCTCTTCCTCCTCTACTGCCTCCCTCCTTCTTAGTTCAAGACTTTCCCATTTCTCTTCCCCTTCCATCATCTTCTGAGTGTGCAGTACAAGAGGGAGAATGCTTAACCAAGGTGAAGTCCTAGAGAACTGAGTGAGGTAAGGACCCAGGGGAATGAGTATGGCCTACCTGCCATCTCAACATTAACTTCCTCTTGGGAAATGATGCTGGCTGGAAGGCCCAAGCAAGGGTCCACTTACCAATCTGGGGAGCTACCGACAGGGCTTGATAGTAAAATCTCTCAGCTAGCAGCTCGGTGTCCACGCCAGCTAATTCATTCTGATATCGTGCTGCAGGAGAGAGGAGGGAGAGAAACACGATGATTCCATATTTCACAACAACCTCCCTCACCTGGGAGTCCCCTCGGAGGAGCTGTAGTAAGAGCCTGGAAGGAGGACACCTGAGCTAGGAGGCAGGCTGCTTGGAGCTCTCACTCTCTAACTTCCTGATTTGAGAGAGAAAGAGAGATAGACTTATTGTTCTACCCATTCATGCATTCATTGGTTGTCTCTTGTATGTGTCCTGACTGGAGATTGAACCCACCTTGGCATATCGGGAAAATGCTCTAACCAACTGGAGCCACCAGGGCTCTCTGGCAAAGTCTTTTTTTTTTTTCTTTTTTTTTTTTTTAATTTATATGAGGGAGAGAGAGAAAAAAAAAAGAAACATCAATGTGAGAGAAAAACATAGATCAGTTGCTTTCCGTAAGCACTCTGACCGGGACCAAACCTGTACCTGGGCATGTACCCTGACTGGGATTCAAACCTGCCACCCTTCGGTACAAGGGACAATGCTCAATCAACTGAACTACGCCAGCCAGGACTCTCTGGCAATCTTAAATGTGTATGGCTAAGAGCGAATTATTCAATTTTCTCCTCCTCACTGGTAAATTCAAAATGTAAAGAATATTTAGTAGTGTAAAGCAAACAGGCTCTTTTTGATTATCTCTTGCCAATGAAGGTAAGTGTATATAATTAATTGGAAGGACCTATGATAACTTGGTTCTGCAAGGCAACTGCTCAGTTCCAGAGAGGAGACATTACTACTGATCCTTGGTCAGTCTAATGAGAAAGGCTGATTCTTTGCACATCCTCCTCTTGAGGGCTCCGGGAGTGGGCTTGGGGCAGGAAGAGAAGCCTCAGGTCAACAAAAGATAATGACCCAACAGCCACACACCAACTGCCTAAGGAGGACCCTTTGTCTGTTAGGACTAGAGACCCAGGAGGCATAAAGAAACTACTTTTCCATTCTGAGAAATATCTAAAGGCAAGTAAGTCCTCCCTGAGGCCTGCCTTCAATTCCTCTAAGAGTCCACAGAGATTTTTTTTTTTTTAAAGGAGACAGGTAAAGCTTCCTAACACACTACTAAAACTAAGTTATCACCCTGACTTTCTCAAAATTCGAAAACATTTTCCTTCTTCCTGTATCCACTGATCCTTTCCAACTCACAGAAGAGCCATGAAAAGAAGGGAGCATTGTAAACAGATGAAAAGGAAAAGGTTATCAGGCCCAAACTATTTCTGCTCTTAGAGCAAGCATGTCAAACTGAAGCAGCTTGAGCCTGTCCTGGACCTAAACAGAGAAAACGAAAGGTTCATGCTTACACAAATCGCCCAGGTACACTAGACATCGGTGGCATGCCATCTGTGCCCAATCCATCTCCTTCCCCGAAGCAGACACTGGCTTCTTGCATCCTGAGAGAGCAAGGAAAAAAACTTATGAGCCTATCCCTCTTCCCCTACCTATGGGGAAGTACCTTTCCTAGGTGGAGAAAGGAACTCATAGGACGAAGAAGACACTCATCCAGGACACAAGTAGAGACACAAGTTTGCAGGTAGGACTCCTTCACAGGACAGGAAGAAACTGAAGAGAAGGGCTAGGGTTCTCAATTTAGGATAGATCCCAGGGAGAAGGGCATGTGAAAGGTCATCCTAGGAAGGCTTCTTTCAAAAGGAAGAAGAGGTGAGGCTCAAGTGTCAGGACAGTTGTGGGTGCCCCGGGTGGAAGATCCCCACATAAAGGCAAAGGGTTTGGGTAAAGAAGGGAAACTTGCCCAATGGAATGTGACTGAGAGCAAGGGAAATGCTCCTGGCTTCTGCCTAGGAGAGGAGGCCACAGGGACACGGCAGCAGACTGCAGTCTACCCAGGAAGGAGACAAGGTGCGCTGGCCTTGCCTGAGGAAGGTGGTGGAACTTCAGTTCAGAAAGCCTCAGCTTGCTGAGAGGCAGTTCCTCCTGTGCTGGGTACTGGTCTACGTGTCTTACATTAATTTAGCTGAGTTCGCCGAAACTGGTTTGGCTCAGTGGATAGAGCGTCGGCCTGCGGACCGAAAGATCCTAGGTTCAGTTCCGGTCAAAGGCAAGAGGGGGTGTGCAAGAGGCAGCTGATCGATGACTCTCTCTCATCGATGTTTCTAACTCTCTATACCTCTCTTGTCCTCTCTATAAAAAAAAAAAAATCAATAAAATATATATTTTTTTAAAATTTAGCTGAGCTCACAGGGGCCCCATGAGGTGGGTTAAGTGTCAGAGCCAAGATTCAAAGGGTAATCTGGCTCCAGAGACATCCTCTTGTCTATTCCACCTTGCAGCCCTTCTCCTGGGTGTGCAGTTCTGTTCTGAAAAGCTCTTCCTATGTTTTCTTTTTTTTTTTTTTTTTTTTTTTTTTTAAATATATTTTATTGATTTTATACAGAGAGGAAGGGAGAGAGATAGAGAGTCAGAAACATCGATGAGAGAGAGTCATCGATCAGCTGCCTCTTGCACACCCCCTACTGGAGATATGCCCGCAACCAAGGTACATGCCCTTGACCGGAATCGAACCCGGGACCCTTCAGTCCCCAAGCCGACGCTCTATCCATTGAGCCAAACCGGTCTCGGCATCTTCCTATGTTTTCTACAGAGACACCTCTTAGTTAGCTGAATGGGGAAAATGTCAATAAAAAGAACTAAAGTGGGTTTGGGAACCAACTTTTTGAAGTAAGGGTTAGTCGTCTTTTTTAGGCTATGAACCCTCTAGCCATCTCGTTTAAAACCTATGCATGCTGTCTCGGAGAAATGTTGTTTCGTTTTTAAAGATGGTTTTAAATGCACAAAATATAGAGCTATGCTGTGCTTCTGACCAGAAAGTGCTTCCGGGTGGTAGCACAAACGCAACCTTCATCTCTGACACACAATGTCCATGGCCCGGGGAGGGCAGGGTCAGAGGGCTGGGGAGAGAAGGGAGTATAAAAAACAAAGGGAGTTGGAGAAAGAGGGAAGGAGCACTAACCAGTGGCCAAATAGAAGAGAAAATTACCAACTAGAAAAGAAGGTATAAACTAACTACAGCTGCCAGTGCCTGCGATGGCTGAAAGAGATTTGCATTATGTTGAAAGAATGGCCATAATATCCTCAAAATTCCTAAAAGTTTTCCATACTTTCAAACACTGGGAAACAATCTCTGAAGTTCAAAGAAACAGTGCCAGCCAAATTCAACGGGGAGAAGAAAACAAATTCTAGTAATACTTCCTTCCAGTGCCAGATCATTCCACCCCTCCTCATCACTCCGCACCAGTCCACAATCCCAGATCAACAGAGGCCTCTGTCTTTTCTTAACATCTTCACCCTAACCCGTCTGCTTGTTTGGATCAATTCAAACTTCATGAACCATTTGTAGGTCTTGCCAGAATGCTTTCTGCCTGGCTGGGGAATAAGACCAGAGACAGAGGTATATGAACTCAAGCCCACCTTCAGGCTTCACTAACCTATGAGGGGGTCGGTGACATGGGTCCAGTCGATGCAGCATTGCAGTTCCAGCTGGTAGTGGGACTGGATATAGAGAAGAAGATGCTGGTAGAAGCCAATACCAGCCACCAGGTGTGTCCTGTAGGCACATTCCAAGGTGCTCCGGCTGTGGATATGCTAGAGAGTCGGAAAGGGAAGGGGCTGGCTAAGCAACACGCTCAGAGTACTGCTCCCCTCTCCATAACTTTTTCACCTCACTGAGGAAATAAAACTTCTCTTCTTGGCTCTGGAACCTTATCCATGTCTCCTCTCAATCACAAATTACCCCAACTCCATTTGCGGTCTGGGATCAGGCTCCCTCCTCCTCAATCCTAATTCTACCTCGTGCCCTGCCTCCTTTCTGCCATCTCTTCCGTAGGCCCCCATCTCCAACTACACTCTGGCCCACATTCCTACTGTCTCTTCTTCCTTAGCTTCTCCTCTTTAGACAAATTTCTTCCCAAGACCTAGGATCTCCCCTTACCTTTTTGTTAGTCTTGATAAGCTGGATAACTTCGTAGTACACCTTTCTCCATAGCAGCTCCTCAGCCTTCCTCCCATAGTCCACTGGGTGCAGGAACATAAGCTTGACGCAGAGCTCACGCAGCCTGGAAGGGTGCAGAGGAGCATGAGAGAGACTGCCCATTACTTGGTGAAGGACACAAGAACCGAGAGCAAGGAGGCATTTGTCAACACCCTACCCACAAATCTCTGGCCCCCACAACCGACATCCAGACTCAGTGAGTCTGACCCAGGACAAAGGTAATGCCAGAGGCAGTAGGAACCCCCAAAGACACAGGAGCAGGAAGAATTTTCTTCCCCTGCACACTTCTTTCTTCTCTGCCTATTTGTCCCGTCATTTTTCCCCCAGTTATTGAACCCCATGGCACCAGTCTGTTAGATGCAGAAGCTGAAAACAGAGTGAGGGATCCCGGCTCCCCTCTTAGGAGGGCCAGAGGCTCCACAGCCCACTGCCGTGCCGTGAGGACAGAGGTAGGAGGGAACATGTGTCTATCCATGTGTGACAGGGTCTTAGATGACGAGAGACAGAAGAACCTCTGCCGGCTTACTTGTTCCTCAGGCTCACGTTCTCTGGTTTGAACACGTCTTGATAAGCGGTTTTGTTGCAAAGGATGAGGTCCAGTCGATGCACAGCCTCCACGACAGCCCTGCCAGGGAACACAGCCAAAGAGCCCCTCAGCCATGTGCACGGTCCACCTAGGACACCAGGGCACGGACCCTAAGGCAAAGCTAAAGAATCGGGGGTGGGGAAATGAGGACGTTGCAGGTTGAGCTCCATACAAAACAAAATGAAGTCTCCATCTAGATAGAGCAGCACGCCCGGGGGACAGCTGGCAATGACAGAGACATTTCTGAGGGTCACAACTGGGAGTAGGAGGAGATGAGTTGCTACTATCATTTAGTGGGTGTTGCTAGACACCTCATAATACACACGACAGTCCACCACAGTAACCATCCTGCCCAAATGCCAAGTGCCACGGAAGAGAAACCCTGTGTTACTTGGAAGGTAGACTCTTCCAATGGGAAGAGCATTGGCTGTGATCCCAGGCAGAAAAGCTAGGGTCTGAGCCCTGGCTGTGCCTTACTCTGTAACTTTGGGCAGCAAATTACCTGACCCCTTTAAGCCTTGTTACCACATCCATAAAAAGAGACAAAATAATAGCAGCTACCTACCTCAGAGTGCTATTGTGAGTACTAAATAAAATAATTTCTATACAGTACTGGTACATGGTGGGCATCCAATGAACAACGGTGGAATTAATAAATTATTCTATCTCTGACAGAAAGGAAAGGCATCCCTAGTATAAAATTCTACTTTGGAATAGTGGAGTATGGGAAAATAGGGTGGAGGGTTCCTGAGCTGCCTTATCGTAAGGTCTCCTGGATTCTGATGAAGGACTTGTTTAATACAGAGACTAGGTTATGGAACCAGGCTGCCAGGTTCTAATGTTATGTTACCAACTCTGTGGTCTTGGGGAAAATACCTAACTCCCTTATGTCTCAGTTCTCCCATCTATAAATTGGGAATAGCATGATCACCTATTTTGTGAAGATTAAATTAGTTAATATAAACAGCATTCATAACTGCCACACATATGGCTAAGTGTTCAATAATAAGTATAAACCCCCATCTTTCTTGCTGGAAGGCTGAGGAGGAGGCCCAGACACTACCAGAAAGGCCACGGAAAACATCTGGACGGCTAAGAAGCGCCAGAGGTGTGTGTCAGCTCCGGATGAGTAAGACCCCGAGGGTGACAGACAGCAGCTGTGAGGACAGATGAATCGGGCATGGCTCTGGACACAACAGCAACCACAACCAAAGAGTGGTGACTCCTATCACCAAGACTGTTTCTGATCACTGAAACCCGTGCTCTGGGGGGAAGGTGAGCACCCCGTGGGTGCAGGTGGCATGGCACGAAGAGCGGCCCTTTCCAGGCAAAGCGAGCACCAGAGCCCAGCTGAGTGGTGGGATGGCAATCGAGGCCTTCTCACAGGCAACGCTGAGAGCTCAGCTTCTCCGCAAACACCTGTGGGCTGCCTAGAGCCGGGAGCCGAGCCCTTTAGCCAGCCTGGCCCTGGACGCCAGGGCAGCAACATGCAGCCATCCGTGATTTACTGCACACCAGCTCAGTCCTCAGGGCAGGGTAGACGCGTACACGTGTGTGTATTTTTATGGACAGGCTCCAGAGCTCTCCTTAGATTCTCAATCCCCAAAAAAATGTTACAACCACTACTCTAAGGTCAACCAACTGAGCCAACTGGTTCAAACTCAAAATTCTTTTTTTTAAAATATATTTTATTGGTTTTTTACAGAGAGAAAGGGAAAAGGATAGAGAATTAAAAATATCGATGAGAGAAAGACATCGACCAGCGGCCTCTTGCACACCCCCTATTGGGGATGTGCCCACAACCAAAGTACATGCCCTTGACCGGAATCGAACCTGGGACCCTCCAGTCTGCAGGCTGACGCTCTATCCACTGAGCCAAACTATCAAGGGCCTAATTGCAAATTCTTTTTTTTTTTAAACATTTTTTAAAAATATATTTTATTGATTTTTTTTTACAGAGAGGAAGAGAAAGGGACAGAGAGTTAGAAACATCGATGAGAATCATCGATCAGCTGCCTTTTGCACACCCCCCGCTGGGGATGTGCCCGCAACCAAGGTACATGCCCTTGACCGGAATCGAACCTGAGACCCTTCAGTCCGAAGACCAACGCTCTTTCCACCGAGCCACATCGGTTTTGGCGTAACTGCAAATTCTTAAACCTGAGAGGACTCAGGACTTCCTTCTCCATTCCCCATCAGACCAAAAACTCCTCCACAAAAACTATCCAATGCCTCATGCTCTACTATAATCCCAGGCCAAGCACAGTGTTAAAAAATATATATTTTAGAAGTCAATTGGCCTAATTAATTGGCCTAATATCCCTTCCAGCATCCCTTCTCCAGCTGCCTTTTCTTCTGAAGTGCTTAGACCATTTCAGAATTTCATTTCTATAAACAGTCACTATGGGAATGTCCCAAATGTACTAAAGCTCAGTGATAAGTCTAACAAAATCCTCATATTGGGCAGAGAAAGCAGATCTCCCTCTTCCACTTCCTTCCACCAATCACCACTGCTATAATAAAAAATAAAAACAGCCGAAACCGATTTGGCTCAGTGGATAGAGTGTCAGTCTGCAGACTGAGGGGTCCCGGGTTCCATTCCGGTCAAGGGCATGTACATTGGTTGCAGACACTCCCCGGTGGGGGGTGTGCAGTAGGCAGCTGGTCGTCGATGTTCCTCTCATCAATGTTTCTAGCTCTCCCTTCCTCTCTGTTAATAAATAAATAAATAAATAAATAAATAAATAAATAAATAAAATATATTAATAAATAAATAAAAACAGAGTTCTGCTGCTTCACATTCCCACCCTATCAAAGCCAACAACACACAATTACAAGCAGAGATACTACCCAGGGGCACACATGTAAGCCACGCATCAAGCATGTCAGCTTCAATCGGTCAGTCCTGGGAAGGTAGTGACTTGAGAAAGAACTACATTTGAGAACGATGAAGGGACGACCAGAACCATTACCAAAAGCAGAAGACAAGGAATCCTGCAGCCCCTGCCCACGCTGTGTGTGACAGGCAGCACTGGCGGCAGCAGCGCCAAGCACACGTGCCACCCCCCAAGCCCACTGCTCGGGGCAGCCCACAGTGGGACTGTGGGATTGGGTCACTTTTCTATTCTGGGAGCTGCCTGAACACCCCCGTCTTCTGGTTTATAAAGCCAGAGCAGGCAGCTTGCCTACTCAAAGCGGGAAAAGACAGCATGCTCTTGACTCTTTTGCTCTCAACATGGGGCCCGAGAGCTCTGAGAGGGAGGGTATAGTCTTCTCACCCAAACAGTTCTGTTCAGTAGGGCCTGAGCCAAATGAAAACTGCACTCCCTGCTAGAAAGCAGAGAACTCCACCTGATCTGTGTGTCCATTCTCTTTCCATCCAGTCCTACAGCCCATGTCCCAGCTGCCTCAAACAAAAAATCCTTGGCCCCGGGGTGGGAAGAGTCCACACTGAGGGCTGAAGACTGAGGAGTGAGCCTAACACTGGAAATCAGAAACCAAGCACGTAAGTTGCCTGGCGAGGGACTGTGGTCATGAGGTTGGGAGGAAGGCAGGCGGCGGGAATCCCCAGGTGCCCTGACATGGGCTCCCATGACCAAGGAACACTCTGGACTCGAGGTCCTTGATGGCCCAGCACGCAGTCTTCAGGCCTTCCTTTTCATTCAGATTCCCAAAAACTAGCGCCATAAGAGGTCAACATGTATCAAGTGGAGATCTTTCCTTTTAAGGATGAGGAAGCTCGGGCCCAAGGTCACACACACAGTGCGAGGGGGTGAGGCCAGGACCCGCACCTGGCCCTCCTGGTTTCAGTTCAGGGCTCTTCCCAGGAAGTCAGTCCTACGCGGGGTTCTTAGGGCCATTCTCCGCCGGGTTTTTCTCCATCTCTGACTCCACCCTTTAGCTTCCCAACCCCTCGGTTCCCACCTTCTCACCCCAAACCCGCAAGGCGCGGCGCCCGCCCCGGGCTCCCCGCGCACCGCGCAGGCGACTCCTCCACGTGCTTCCGTCCAAACCTCCCTCCCACCCACCCAATTCCTCCTCCCCGCGCCCGCCCGGGTCCGGGCCCCGCCCCCGCCCTCTCCCCGCGGCTCCCTCCAAAACTGCACCCTCCACCGCCACCCGCACCCCAAGCCCCGCGCCCGGGGGCCGCCCGCCGGAGGCCCCACCCCTCGCGGTCCCCTGCTTCCCCCCGCAGGTGCACGCACGCCCCGGCCCCTCTCACCGGTAAAGCCGCTTAGTGTGAAGGACTTTTGCTTCGGGTTCGCTGCTCTCCCCTGCGGCGGGGCCTTGGCTCATGGTGCCCGGATCCGGAGATGGTGCCCGGTCACAGGCTCCCGCCGCCCACCGCGACAGCCGCAACTGCAGTCTCCGGCCGTAGCCGCCACCACGGCCGGCCCTGCTCGGCCGCCATCGCTGTAAGGCGGCTGCCCGCGACAGCTCCTCCTCCGCCCGGCAAGTCTCGCGATACCGGCTGCACCTTGGCCGGCCAGTGACCTGCTGCCCCCAAATCTCGCGAGACTCATTTTCCCTCCCGGGAAGTTGCCCGCACTAACTCCGGGCAGAGAGGCTGCTTAACCTTCTTCCGGCTCCTTCGAGCCCTTAAGAGAAAAAACTTTATTGATAAAGCTATCAGGAAACGGACAGTGGACCCAGCTGAAACGAAGCGGGATGGGGCGGACGGGCTCCTGCTAGGAGCTAGGAGCGTGACTTTGCCTTGTCCCGTACAGTCGTTATTTAGTCCATCATTCTGCTCCTCCACCCATCCCCCTACCAGTTGCACCAAGTCTCTTTCAGATTACTGGTTGGTTAGAGTGATTCCAAATCTCCCTTTTTCCCTATTATTTAAACAAAACAACAGAAGTGTATGTGAAAGTGTTCTCATGAACCTTTTGTAAGTGCCTCGGCCCTTCAACTCTCCTTCCCTAAGATTTCCAGTCCAAACATGGATTGCACAGAGGGGCTGTTTTCCAGCCACAATGCTGGGTTCTGGGGACACACCAATGAGCAGCTCAGACACCCTCCCTCCGTCCCTCCCAAAGCTCAAATGACTGGAGAGGATAGGCCGCTCCCTCACGATTCTGCCCCCTGGTCCTCCCACTGGAAAGGTCACGTTGGATTTCTACTGCTTTCTTGACCTTAAACCTAAGCTAAAAAGCAAGGGATGGGGGAAGAGGGGAATCAGGAAAGCTGTGTACATGTTATGGGAACAAATTCCCCCTCGACCAATATGACCCTGTTCCAGTCATTGGCTTTCTTTCTGTTCCTGAATCAGCCTGTCTTTCCCACTCATTGGGCTTTCACTCTCTGTTCCTCTGCCTGGAACATTCCCACTTCCCAATTCCCTTCAGGTCTGTCTCCGCTCAAATGGCCCCTTGGCAAAGAGGTTTTCCCTACTGAAGTGGTCTTATTGAGTTAGTTGCTAGGCTTCTTTATTATTTGTTACCCCAATAGCAGAGACCTTGCCTGTCGTTTTGTTTTCTTACCCGTCTGTGCCTAGAATAGTCTAGTTAATCATAGGTGCCCAATCAATATTGAATGAATAAGTGTACAAATGCCACCTCTTTTCTGGGTGTTCCCTACTCCAAGCACCCTTTGATGTACATACCCCATGATCCCCCTCTGCTTTCCTAAGCTGGGAGCTCCTACGTGTCCTCTTTCTGCCTAGAACACACTCTTACTTTTATGCCCACCTGCACCCCCACTTACTTCTGTACCCAGCTGCACCCCCACTTTCAGAAAGGAGGACGTGCTCCTCCAATGCTTTTTCTGTCGGCCGATTCAGCAGGGCGGGGCCTGCCCCTTTAATCTGGGCCCCACCTGCTCTGGTCAGACTGGTTTGGAGACACAGGTAAAGGGAGGGAGGGAAAGGATTACTTGCAGAGCCAGCAGGGAGCTGGGCAGCTCCTTCTCAGACGCTGGGGACCCTCCGCGTCTCTCCAGGCTGAAAGTAAGAGGGTGTCATGGGTCCAAATGGCAAGGGGGAGGAGGCCCCTGAGGAGGTGGCGGGAGGGGATCAGTCCCACCAAGAAGCAGTGAGACAGAGGACGGACGGCAGGGAGAGGGGAAAGGCAGAGGAGCCATAGAAAACAGCCATGATTGGACCTAGAAATCAATCAGAATGCAGACGTACAATGGTTGAGGTACGCTGTTGGGGAGTTTAGAAATTGTCCAGGTACTCAGGCTGGAGACTAGAGACTAGGGCACGCTGCTACTGCCAGTTCCTTGGGACAGGTTTGTTGGCAAGTCACTGGTATCAGTTGCCGGGAAAGTTCCAAGCGGGTATCTACGGGAGAAGGGAGGTTTGGAAGGGAAGGGGCAGCCTCTCTGGGATCCTTAGTGGGAAAGGAACTCTTAGCAAAATTCTAGGCGCCTCCTCTTCCTCCCATTCCTGCATGAGGGTGACAGTGACCCCAGGCATTTTGGTGGAGGCGGTAGAAGGCATGGGTGGGGACTGGCCTGTGCCCCCTGACTCACCCTTTCTTGCTGGATTGAATTTAATGTCAAAAGGGTTCTTCCATTTCAGCTGCTCACTTCCCTCCTGCCTCCCTCCCTTTCAACACCCTCCTCTGTGCCATGTTCTTCTCAAGGTCCCAGAAGAGAATAAAGCCCATGAGGCAGGCTGCCCTGGAGCGTTCCAGTTCTTTCAACCCATCCTGAGGGCCCGGGGACAGGAGCTTCGGACAGAGCTCTCCTGCTGCTACTCTCCGCAGTGACATGAGCTCAGGGTAGACTCCGGAACCGAGGCCCCAGGATGACAGAGCATGAAACCCTGACGCTGCTGGAAGTGAAGGGTCCCGAGGCCCCGGAGAAGAGCCCACCCCAGGCCTTGGTCCCCAATGGCCGGCAGCCGGAGGGGGAAGGCGGGGCCCCGTCCCCTGGTGCCGAGTCCTCTCGCGCGGAGACTTCAGCTGGGTCTTCCCCCGCGGAAGAGGGGACCCGAGATGGTCTCGACAGCACCGTGAGCGAGGCTGCCACCTTGCCCTGGGGCACTGGCCCGCCGCCCAGCGCCCTGTTCCCCGACCCCCCTGGTTGGCGGGACATTGAGCCCGAGCCCCTTGAGTTGGAGCCGCTCAGCAAACTGGAGGAGCTGCCCGAGGATGATGCCAACCTGCTGCCCGAGAGGGCGGCGCGGGCCTTCGTGCCCATCGACCTGCAGTGCATCGAGCGGCGGCCGCAGGAGGAGCTGGCCGTGCGCTGCGAGGCGGGCGAGGGCGAGCGGCGCCGGGCCTTCCTGGCCGCCCGCGCCGTCCAGCCCGAGCCCTGCGAGCGCAAGTGGGCCGAGGCCGTGGCCCGGCCGCCCGGCCGCCCGTGCGGGGGCTGCAGGGGCCACGAGGGCCTGAAGGCCGTGGCCTCGGTGGGGGCCGCCCTCCTCCTCTTCCCCTGCCTGCTGTACGGGGCCTACACCTTCCTGCCCTTCGATGCCCCCCGGCTGCCCACCATGAGCTCCCGCCTGGTCTACACGCTGCGCTGCGGGGTCTTCGCCACCTTCCCCATCGTGCTGGGTGAGCTGGGCCCGGAGGAGCCAGGGGCATCGGGGAACTGCCCTTGAGGTTAAGGCCGGCCTGGCTGGGGAGCAGGGGTTTTCCTTCACTCAGTCTGGACCCTCAGGCCTCACACACCCCGCCACCCTGGGTGCCTGGCCCCGCCCAGGAGCCAGAGTCCCTCCGTGGGGAGGGGAGCCTGTGCCTTTGAGCTCTCCCTGCCCGGCTTCCTGCCTCCTGCTCTGCCCTGACCCCGTGTTCTCCGCCCCCGCCCCCCCCCCCCAGGGCTCCTGGTGTACGGGCTGAGCCTGCTGTGCTTCTCCTCCCTGCGCCCCTTCGAGGAGCCGCGGCGGGAGGTGGAGATCCACCGGCAGTATGTGGCCCAGTCGGTCCAGCTCTTCATCCTCTACTTCTTCAACCTGGCCGTGCTGTCCACCTACCTGTCCCAGGACACCCTCAAGCTGCTGCCCCTGCTCACCGGCCTCTTCGCGGTGTCCCGGTGAGTGGGCCGCGGGCAGGGCCCAGGGCAGGGGTGGTGCCAGAGGGACCGGGGGCTGGCTGTCCGCAGAGCCGCTCAGGGACAGGGCGCTTTGGGATCCTGGATCAGCCCGAACGGGTGCCCGGAAAGGCGAGTCCACTTTCTCCCTCGCAGCTTGCCTCCCCTGGGGGAGCAGCTCGAATGTCTTCTCGCCAGAAGCTGATTTCAGAGGCGCTTATGCCACTAAAAGCGAACGGGCTCCCAGGCTCCCTGGTGTCAGAGCCCCACCTCCACGCGTGACACTGATCAGGTAGCCGTTGGCCTCCAGGATGCTCCCTATAACCAAGGGCTCCGTGCTTTAGAAGGCAGTCTGTTTCGTTTTTCAAAGGCCCTCATTCTTACAAAGTTCCTTATATTGTGCTAAAAACCCCTGCCCTGGCTCTGATCTCTGGAACTGCCTGGGATAAAGCTGGATATTTGAGAACAGCCTGCTCCCCTAGTGTTTACTTGCTAGGTGACCCCGATTTCTTCACTGTCCGGAGTCCTTCCCTCTGGGTAGGAAATTCTCCTACTTGTCCTATGGGGTGGGGAGGCCTGGCCAAGGGTATTGTTCTGTTCATACCAACCACATTAGTCCTCATGGCTGCCTCGTTACTCTCATTTATAATTTACAGCCACCTGAAATCTTAAAGGTGCTTTCATGTCAACTGTACTGTTAACCCAGAAGGTACCTTTGAATTTGTCTTTACATTTTTTTTCTCTAATACATTTCCTTTGGTCCCTTTCGATATACGATTCCAGATTGATTTAACTGCTAAAGCACTGTTCCAATTGAGCTGAAATCGGTCTTCCTGTTCCTTCTGGTATAGTCTAGTGGTCATCTGTCCCACCAGCCCTGTATCACACAGCCCGCATTTTCTCCCAGATCTTTCCCAAGATAAATGCTCCTGCCCATACATGTCCACTTCCCACCTCCCTCTCGGGGAGTGCTGGTTTCAGATGAAGTTGGTTTAAGCTGTAGGGATCATCAGGGAGCTAAAGAAGAATCAGTGATTGTCTCGTCCATCTGACCCAGTTTGTACAGAGGAAATCAGGACAGGCTGGGGAGGAGAGTCCCTCAGGTCAGTCAGCATAAGTGGCAGGACTAGAATTCAGGGCCCTTTCCTCCCTCATCCAAGGTCCTTCCTTTTCTACCACAGGCAAGTTACTTAAGCATTTTTTTAAAAATCTTCACCTGAGGATATGTTTTTGACTTTATTTTATTGATTTTTTTTTTCAGAGAGGGATAGAGAGTTAGAAACATCAATCAGCTGTCTCCTGCACACTGGGGATGTGCCCGCAACCAATGTACATGCCCTTGACCGGAATCGAACCTGGGACCTTTCAGTCCGCAGAACAACAGCTCTACCACTGAGCCAAACTGGCTTTGGCATATTTTTGACTTTAGAGAGAGGAAGGAGGGGATAGGGAGAGACAGACAGACAGACATCAATGTGAGAGAGAAATATTGATCTGTTGCCTCCTGAACTGTAGTTGCTCCAACAGGGGACCAAACTTGCAATGAAGATGTGTGCCCTGACCAGGAATCAAACCCACAACCTTTTGGTGCGGGGTGGGGATGAAGCTCCAACCAACTGACCCACCCAGCCAGGGCTATTCTCCGTTTCTTTTTCTTTTTTTTCTTGGAAAAAAAAAATATTTAAAATTGATTTCAGAGAGGAAGGAAGAGGGAGAGATAGAAACATCAATGATGAGAATCATTGATTGCCTGCCTCCTGCATGCCCCCTATGAGGGGCCGAGCCTGCAACCCAGGCCAGGAATTTAACCATGACCTCCTGGTTCATAGGTTGATGCTCAACCATCGAGCCACACTGGCTGGGCTGTGTCTACTTTCATCACCCATTTCGTCTGTAAGACAAAGTTGTGAGGATTACATGAGTTAATTCACGTAGTGTATACAGTAGCCTGGCACTCGGTAAGGGTTTGCTAAACGTGAACTTTTACTGTGATAACAAGCTGCAGTAGAGAAGCAGTGGTTACTCTTCCCTGTTTATCAGGTGTAAACGTGGAGGCACATCAACCTGATAACAAGTTGTCCTTTATATATTGAGGGAGCTGCCCTGCTCCCCCACGGAGAGGTATGTATTTTAGTGGATGTTCCAAAAAAAACTCTGGTTGTGGCTTATCCATCCCTCTGGGCTTGAAGCCCTCTGGGCGCTGCCATCCTTACTCTTCCTCTGGCTCTGAAATGGCAGGAGGAAGGGTAATGAACAGGCTTAGGATCAAATCACAGTTTTACTATTTCCCACATATGTGACCTTGACCTTGGTTGGATCAGTCTTAACCCCTATGGAATCTTAGTTTCTTCATCTACAAAAGGGGAAATAAATACAATGGAAAGTACAGCTGTAAAAGAATGAGGAAACTGTCTATAATAAAAGCTTAATATGCAAATTGTCCCCTCGGGAATTTGACTGGGAGTTCAACCGCTTGCTATGACATGTGGTGACCACCAGGGGGTGGTACAGGGGGAAGGAAGGCCCCGATCAGCCCTGACTGCCAGCCAAGTCTAGGGACCCTATGCGTGCATGAATTTGGTGCACCAGGCTTCTAGCACACTGATAAAAATAATCTCCAAGATATATAAAAAGAGGAAAAAGTGTGCAGAACAGTCTAAATGTATGCTACCAAACTGCAAAAGGGGTGGAGAGGAAAACATCTTTTTGTTCAAACATGCATATAAAACCACTTTTTTTACACAAGAAACCATAATATTGGATACCTGGGGTAGGGGTGGAGGTAGGGAGGGACGGAGGGATGGAGGGGAAGAAAGAACAAAAAAGGTGGCAGGATCAGTAGAGGGAGGAAGAGATTTAATACACGCATTAGTACCTCTGAATTTTGAACCATGTAACTATATATTGCCTACTCAAAAAATTTCAATTAACATTTGAGAAACAAAAGAGGGAGGGAAACAATAAACTCATCTCATAGAGCTACCCGGAAGTCTATCGGGAACAGTGCCCCTTGAGTAACGAGCATTGCGCCTGGCACATCGTACATAAAGCATTTCTGCCTTCAGCAGCATCCGTCATACCCACCAACCCACCAACCTCCCTCTCCGCCCGTCCTCTCCTCGCCCGGTAGGTTGATATACTGGCTGACCTTTGCCATCGGCCGCTCCTTCCGCGGCTTTGGCTACGGCCTGACGTTCCTGCCCCTGCTGTCCATGCTGGTGTGGAACCTCTACTACATGTTTGTGGTGGAGCCGGAGCGCATGTTCACTGCCACCGAGAGCCGCCTGGACTACCCCGACTACGCCCGCTCGGACCACAGGCCCCGGCCCTGGGGCTGAAACAGTCTGTCCGCTTGCCCCAGCCTGGGTACCCTGGTGAGATGACCCCGCTCTGACCCGACAGGGTCTCATCCAATCAGAATTTGGATTGACTGACTGCCCTCCACATCCCCACCCCCAGTGCTCCCCCATTGGGGGCTGGCCTTCACCTTCAAAGCCCAGGACAGGCACGAGGGAGGGAAGGAGGGAGGTAGACCAGATGCTTCCTTGCAGGGAAAGGTGGACAGTTATGTTCCTTAAGGATGCCGAGGGAACAGGGCCAAGACCAAGGAAGCCTCCCTGAGCAGCCTGCCTCCCACCACAGCCTCGAGCGCCCACCACTGCCACGAGCGCCCACCACTGCCACGAGCGCCCACCACTGCCACGAGTGCCCACCACTGCAGAACTCTTTCACTCTCCAGCCTCCTGGGAGGCCGTGGGCGGAGGCACAGCCAAAGCTCTGACCATCTGTGCCAGCTGTCTAAGCAGAGGGCCTCAAGGAGACTGGAAATACTGCTCTTGCCTAAAGACATAGGCTGGGCATCAGATCAAATGGGACTTGCATGCTGGGTAAAACCACCCTGGGGCCTGCATCGAGAAGCCTCCATGACTGGCCCTCACAAGCCCATAGTCTCAGTCAAGACTATTACAGCTGCCCCAGCACAGAGCTGCTGCCTCCTGCCTCCGACTGATTAGGCCCCTGTAACTTCCTGCTTCCTAACTGCCCAGAAGAGAGGAGCAGACAGGGAAGCCTGCCTCCCGAGACGTGTGTGTGTGTGTGTGTGTGTGTGTGTGTATGCGTGTCCATCCGTGTCCATGCATGTGGTGGCTGGGAAGTGGTTGGAAGGCACAATGGCTGGTGTCAACCCCGTGTGAATGTGTGCGCGGGGTGGGTGAAACAATAAATGACCACCACAGTCTCACTGGGCTCCTTCTTCGTCTTTGCACCCTGTTCTCAAGCGTCCCTTCCTTGTCTGCTTCACACTGAATCAGACACCTCCCTGCTCCGCACGATGGAGAGTGGCTGGCAGGAACCTCGAGAGGGAGAACCAGACCTGGTGGGAAAATGGGGCCGTTCACAGACACCTGCCTCCCACGCCCATCTCTAAGCCCTTTCATTCCCTGGAAGCAACCCAACAACATCCACACAGAGACACGTCCTGTGAAAACACACGTCTATTTCAAGCCACACAGCAGCAACCAGCCAGCCAGCCTTTCGTTTTGGCCTCCGAGTCCTGTCCAAGAGAAATGGGGTTGGGGCGGGGGGGTGGACAGGCTCCAAAGAAGGGCGCCCTCCCTCTAGCAATAGCCCTGGTCCTGGGCCCTCTACGGAATCTGAAGGAAGGTCCACCTGGTGGTTCCCAGGAGTTGAGGCTAGACTCAGGTTCTGCGGAAAAGCGAGAGGGGAGAAAGGAGTAGCTGGCTGGGAACACTGACCCTCAACCTGCAGAGGTTTTAAGACACGGCATGGAAGGGGGGCACATAAGGGGGGTGGGGGCAGGAGTGGGGAGGGGTGGGGGATGGGAATGGGGGGGGTGAGGACAAATATGTGATACCTTAATCACTAAAGAAATTAAAAAAATAAAAAACCCACGCAGCACGGCAGGTCCAGTATTGTGTTTCCGCCTAGAGCGCGGGCCTCAGTTTATGGGCTGATACTCTGAGTACCGCTTGGGGCCCAGCAGCAGAAACAGGCCTCCTGCAAGCAGCATGAATCCCGGAGCGCCCAGGGCCACTGCCATGATGCCCAGCACTAAGGGAGACAAGGCATCGGCTGGAGGGGTACCCACACCGAGGAGCATCGACCTAGAGCAAGCGGAGTGAAAAGGAGAGGTCAGCAGACTTAGGAGGAGAGGCTCAGAGGCCCAGCCCTCCTCCCGCTTCAGCTTCCCGGGCCTCGGCCCCGGACCCGACTCACCAGCTGAGGTAGTGTTGGTCCCAGTAGCCAGGGCCTGCGGAAGCCCCAAATGTCAGGTTGAAGGCACAGAAGTTGTTCTGGGGTCCGAAGAAGGCTCGGACAATGGGCGACTGGGGGAGAGGGTACTCCAAGGTGGGATGAAGCGGGGAAGCCCGGCAGGGCAGGGCTGACTCTCGGCCCCCCTGCTTCTGGGAGAAAGCCACTGGTCGCCACTGCGCAAAGCCCGATGGGAGAGAGCCCCACAGCAGCTGGTCCAACTGGGGAGAAAGGCAGACAGCGCAGCGTGAAGAGGACTAGCCTTCGCCTGACCCTTCTGCCACCCCCGGCCTTCCTCAGACTGCATCTGGCGCTAGTCATCCTGAGTCCTGGCCTGGTCCTAGGACTCACAGGCTGTTTGCACTGAGTCCTCAATCTTCACTCTCCAGAGAGGGGAGTTGGGCTGGATGGACACTGACTCTCTGCAAGCCTGCACCCAGGACCTACCTCCGGGCTCCTAGGCCTTGCACATCCCCCTTGCCAGAGCACTGAGTCCCACTGCCCTGCCTGTCTTCTGTCTTCCCACTGAGGGCAGAGACTGGGCCGAATTCATTAGCATGGCACCCCGTTCTTAACGGAGCCGAATACCGTGTTGCTAAATATCAAAACAGTTGAATGACTGTCTGAGGTCCTAATAGGGGTTCCATCTACATTCACCCCCTCATCTGTCTCTCCACTGGGAGCCTGACCTGGAAGACAGCAGGTGCATATTCGTCGTCGATGGAGTGCTGCTCCTGCATCGAGGGGCAGTCAGGGCCCTGGCCCAAGGTGGCCACCTCCAGCCCAAACAGGGAGCCGTTTCCTCGGGGAGAGGCCCCCACCAAGGCCACCTCCAGTTGGCAGGTGTCCATGGTGTGCAGGAGGCGAGGCGGCTGGGCTGGCCGGCCGGACCTGGAGAAGGCCTGCACCTAGGAGGGAGGAAGCCCGGGGGGGATGGGAAGCAGGTGGATGCCTGCCCCTGAAGGCCACCACCATCACTAACTCCCACCCTCATAACCCATGCCCTTACCCTGAAGGCCAGGCTGCCATTGGCAAAAGCCCGGGTGGGGTCGTGACTGGGGTGGCCTCGGAATGTGGCACTCAGGGTGGCAGGATCCAGCAAGTCAGAGATGTTGTTCCAGGAGAACTCGGCCAAGGAGTACGGGGGATACGGTTTCCCCGGAGGCGTCGCTGCCACATCGGACGTGTTGGTGCTGTCAAACTCAAGCAGCTGGTAGGTGGGGTGGGACAGGACTGGGCTTGCCTGAGTCCAGCTTTCTCCTGAATCACCCACTCCCACCCCTACCACTCACCAGACCCCATGCTCCGGCTCTCAACCTGACTCTACTTCACCCACCCGGCTTCAGTTTCTTCCTTCAATTTGACAAACCCTCTCCTCTCTCCCTTGGTTCTCCCCCAACCTCCTCACCCTGGTAAAGACAAGGGCAGACGAAAACTGGATGCTGTCTTTGGGAAGCACCATCAGGGCCCCATCAGGCTCATCGGAGAGCAAGCGGCTCCAGTTGACACTCAGGTTGCTGTGGGGGGTGTTGGTGGCCACCAGCAGCACTGCTGGGGGCCCCAGGCTGCTCCACACACAGTGCAACGTGGAATTAGTGCCCACTGCTCGGATATGAAGCAGGTTTTGGGGGAGCCCCATCGAGTCAGGGATGACCTCCAGAGTCACCTGGAACATGGAATAATGGGGAGTCACGAGAACAGGATTAGGGAGAGACAGGGAAAAGGAGAAGTGTGGGGACCTGGAAAATGGGGGGGTGGGGGGTGGAGCCTAGATGAGAAGTTCCTGTGGGAGGTATGGGAATCTTGGTGTAAGGGAAGGGGGGGGGGGTAAAGGAGAGGGCGGAAGAGCCAGAATTGCCCTGACCCTGGTTGAGATCAGCGCGTAGAACTAAGAAGAGGAAGAAAAAATAACATTGCCTGGACCTGGTTACTCAGGGCTGAGTCAGGATCCAGATTTCTCAAGATGACAGGAAGCCCTCATACCCGCCCGGCTCCACGGCTGGCCCCAACCCCAAGTTAAAGAACTCTTCTCTACGCAACCACCCGCCCCCGTCCACTCCACCCCTTGATTGCCCTGGATTCCAACCACCCTTCAAGCCTAGCATTTCCTCTGCTGCTCTAGCCCCTCACCTGGCGGGTCTCCTCCCCCAGCAGGCCCAACGGAGCTGCCAACAGAAGACTCAGGAGGAGAATGGGGCTGGGGGCACAATGCCCCCAACCCCAGCGGGGCTCCTCACAGCTGCACATGCAGCTCCAGCTTCAGAGGACGGAAGACACCGAGTCATGTGACTTACAGACTCAGCTGATCTCTTTAAAAAAAAAAAGGCGGAGCCATCACACCAGTTCTTAAAGAGACCGCCTCATGTAACCCAGCTCTAGGCCAGAGTGAGAACAGACTCAGAATGGTTAGAAGTTTGTTATACCCAGCCCAGCTGGGTTGGCAAGACGTCTGACTAGACAGACAGGTGGACATATTCCTGACCACTCATACCTAACTGGTCCCACTGAACAGTTACCTAAAAGTGGGCATGATGTGTATATTCAAGTTCCAAATGAGATCCCCAAAAATGACTCTGGTACAGGAGGCACAGAGGAATTTGAAAGAATTCCTTGGGGAAAACAGCATACTATAGAACCACGGTGGGCAAACTGCGGCTCGCGAGCCACATGAGGCTCTTTGGCCCCTTGAGTGTGGCTCTTCCACAAAATACCACGGCTTGGGCGAGCCTCTTGAAGAAGTGGCCTTAGAAGTTTAAAAAATTTGGCTCTTGCCAAAACTGGTTTGGCAAAGTGGATAGAGTGTTGGCCTGGGGACTGAAAGGTCCCAGGTTCGATTCCGACCAAGGACATGTGCTTGGTTGCAGACACATCCCCAGTAGAGGGTACACAAGAGGCAGCTGATCAATGATTCTCCTCTTATCGATGTTTCTAACTCCCTATCCCACACCCTTCCTTTTCCTTTCTGTAAAAAAATCAAATATATTTTAAAAAATAAAAATAAATTTCAATTCTTATACTGTTGATATTTGGCTCTGTTGATTAATGAGTTTGCCGACCACTGCTCTATAAGGTTCCTTTTGTCAGTTACTATTTACTGAGCCCCCAGGTGGAACTAAAGAAAAAAAGATAACTCTGAAAATAGGTTATGAGAGCAAAATATTGTCATGTCCAGCTGAATTAATGTATAATACTTTGTGTTGTGCTTGGGTTTTGCTTTTTGCTTAATCTTAAAATTATTTTCACTAATAATAAATGCATATGGTACAAAATTCTCAAGGTACCACAGGGTATCACCCCTATTCTCTAGCAACTTGGTTTCTTCCCTGAAAAAACTATTACCAGTTTGTGACCTTCCAAAGATACTCGATGCATACTCAAGTATATAATACATTAGGTACACGTGTAAAATACATACAATGGCATCCACTGTTATGCTTTTTTTTTTCACTTGTACATTGAACACTGTTCAATATCAGTGCACTTGGAGCGGTCTTAGTCTCCATGTATTTCACTGCAGGAGGATGTTGCGTGGACATATTTAGCCAGAATCTTCAGAGTTCTAACATTTTGCTATCACAAATAATGCTGAAAGGAATATCTCTGAAATGTTTCATATATATTGTTTTTTAATGTTATTTTAAAATTTGATTTGAAAAAAAAAACACATCGATTTGTTATCCCACTTACTAATGCATTCTTCGGTTGATTCTTTTTTAAAACATATTTTATTGATTTCAGAGGGAGAGGGAAGATGAGAACATCAATGATGAAACTCATTGATCGGCCACCTCCTTTATGCCCCCTACTGGGGATCAAGCCTACAACCCCATCATGTGCCCTTGACTGGAATCGAACCCAGGACTCTTCAGTCCAGTCTGATACTCTAACCACTAAGCAAACCATCCAGGGCTCTTTGGTTGATTCTTCTATGTGCCCTGATCAAACCCACAACCTTGGCATTTTGGGATGATGCTCTAACCAACTGAGTACCCGACCAGGCCAGTATCTCATACGTATTTGTAACCAAATCCATATGGTAAACACCTGAGGAATGGAATTACCAGGTCAAACTGCCCTTTGAGATTTATCAATTGCTGCTCAAATTATGAGCTGAAGGCCCATTTCCCTACATCCTTGCAAGTGTTTATCAAACTTAATTTGCATTTCCCTTATAAGGGTGAGCATGTAATGTTTTACAGTAATTTACTTTTGCTTTTCTGGAACTATTTACAAACTTTGCCTGTTTCTACAGGATATATATATATATATCTCCTGTATATATATATATATATGATATATTATAATATATAATATATATTATATATATATATATAATATATATATTATTTTTTAATTGATTTTTCAGAGAAAAGGGAGAGGAAGAAAAAGACACCAATGTGAAAGTAAAATATCAATTGGCTGCCTGCTGCATGCCCCCTAGCGGGGATTGAACCCACAACCTGGGCATGTGCCCTGACCAGAAATTGAACTTGTCAGTGCACAGGTGCATAGGACAAATCCAACCAACAAACCACATAGGACTTCCAAGTCCCAAAAGCTGTTTCAAGAAATTAACTTTGTATTGTTGAAACATCCTCCCTCTCCCATTTGTCTTTTACTACACAACATTTTTTAAAATATATTTTTATTGATTTCAGAAAGGGAGAGACAGAAACATCGATGAGAGACAGTCATTGATCGGCTGCCTCCTGCACGCCCCCTACTGGGGATGAAGCCAGGGTTGCTTATAGTTTCCTTTTCTTATATTTAAATCTTTCAGCTGCCCAGAATTAATTTTGCTGTAATGAATCAATAGGGATCCAATTTCACTTTCCCCTCAAGTGGCTACTCTAAGATGAATGTGTTTCCTCAAAAACTTTCATTTTTCTGGGGAAAAAAGTAGTACTTGTATTCTGAGGCACAGGGAGAGTAAACACAAGTCTGGGCTTAATACCGAGGATCTAGTGGTCAGGAATTCAAGTCTCTCTATAAAAGCAGAAGGGAAATAGAATTTTGCTGAATCTAGGAGTTTGACAGTAGGAAGAACCATGAACAAAAAGAAGGCAAAATTTAATCACTATGTTAAATTTAGGCTTTGACAGACAGAGAGTACAGATTGATCTAACATAACCAGAAGGGATTCCCATAGGTTCAGGAGATGCTTAAAGGGAAAATCGCCATGTACAGTTACCCAAGTGCTTAACCCTTAAGGGGTGAAACTAGAATCGACAGGGACAAATGGGGAAAAAAGAATCCACACAGTGTGACTAGCTTTCTTCCTCTATCATTTAGCAGGTCTTATGAGTACTGTTTCTTCAAGATCTTTTTTACTTGAGAATTGACCTAAGGTCTTATTAACACCACAAGGTTATTATTAACACCACCAGAGGGAATTATCACCACCACAGGAGGCAGGGATTTCAATAAAAGGTTAGGTAGGCTGGATGAGGACTTCAGACTGGGCTAGGCAGGAAGCTAATACTACCCTGTTTCCCCGAAAATAAGACAGTGTCTTATATTATTTTTTTCTCCCAAAGTTACGCTAGGTCTTATTTTCAGGGGAATGTCTTATCTTTCCATGCGCTAGGTCTTATTTTCGGGGAAACACGGTAGATATAAACAGAGCAAAACTCCAGAAGCCCCCTTACTAGCCATTTTCCACCTTATACCTCAATCCAGCCAGCACAGCCAGCTCTAATAACAGCATGTCTTCTACAGCCAGACTACCTACATAGAAAGTCTAAGTCTACCACTCACCAGTTTTGTGACTCTTGGACAAGCTTCTTTATCCATGGCTTTAGATTTCCCATCATAAGGGGAACAGTACATATCCTATAGGATCCATGTGAGGAACAGCTAATATATGCGAAGTGATTAGAGCATGTCTATGATACAGTAGACTATTATTCTACCTACTATTCAACTTAATATAAAAGTAAATCCTTTTAGTCTCAGGAAGTATGAGATAAAGGCTAATTATATGAATTATAAGGCCAAAGGGTAGAAGGCCCAATAGCCAAGAGGAAGGAACTGAAGAAATCAAAGGCGAGGCTTACCTAGGCTCCCACAAGCCAAGGCCATTACTCAAGTCTTTTCCTTGATAAAAACAAAGCTCAGCCCTGGCTGGTGTGCAGTTGGTTGGGTGTCATCCTGTGCACCGAAAGGTTGCCAGTTCAATTCCTAGTCAGGACACATGCCCAGATTGTGAGCTCAATCCCTGGTAGGGTCCTGAAGGAGGCAGCCTATTGATATTTCACTCTAACATCAATGTTTCTCTCTCCCCTTAAAAGTCAGTTTAAAAGTCTTATTTAAAAAAAAAAAAAAAAAAAAAAAGCACAAAATGAGTTTTATTTTGTTTATGCTAGTAGGGAGGGCAGAGTAATCCTACTATGACAAAGCATGCCCTGACAATAAGCCAACAAGTCAAAATATAGATCAAAATCAGGAAGAACATTGGGAGAAGGCAGAGAAAAAGAATTCCAGCTAAGACAGGAAGGATTCTAAAAGCTACAGAAAACAGCTGAAACCGGTTTGGCTCAGTGGATAGAGTGTTGGTCTGCGGACTAAAGGGTCCCGGGTTCGATTCAGGTCAAGGGCATGTGCCTTGGTTGCAGGCACATCCCCGGTGGGAAGTGTGCAAGAGGCAGCTGATCGATGTTTCTCTCTCATCGATGTTTCTAACTCTCTATCCCTCTCTTCCTCTCTGTAAAAAATCAATAAAAATATATTTAAATAAATAAAAATAAAAGCTACAGGCTACAGTCTCAGAAACAGACGTTCTACGTGCTTTAGGACACATCTGAGCCCTGCCATGAATTGGGTGTTGCTCTACATACGACGACAGATGAAAAACATCCATGGTTTGGACAGGTTCCTCCTGTTCTTTGAGTGGTGAATGCAAGGTGAAGCTTCTTTAAACTTTATAGTATCATCCTTTGAACTTTGAGTCTTTCCAACCAGCATCTACTGAGAAGTCTGAAGAATACCCCTTCAACAAGGCAAATAAAACCATTTAATGACCCTATTCCCATCTCCCTTCCTCCCCAGTGAAGAATTCTGCCTCTTCCTTCTTTGCCAGGAGGCAGAGATATAACCCAAGGTTGAAAAACACATAACAACTGTCTCAAATGACTTAGATTTAATCATCGGAAGCAAACTAAATGGAAAGCTTACAATAGAGAAGAATTACATGTCAGTGCCTTTTTGCAAACTGAGCTGGGACAGAACGGGACTGGGGCTGCCCCTCAATCTGATCCTTTCCAAACAAAGACATCCACAGTGTCCCTGCCGTCTGGCTCAGGCAGGGAGGAGACTGTTGGCTCTGTGTGTTGAGGTCACTTTGCCCACCACTCACTCCTGGCCACCATCAGGAGGCCCGCACTGCTGGCTCTGGTCATCGCCCTTCTTTTTGTGGCCTGAGACGATGTCATCAATCCGCAGCAGCAGAACGGCAGTCTAGGAGAAAAACCACAGCCCCAAAGAGGTCAGTAGAGAAGGGAAGGGCATTTGTTTTCTTTTAGACATTATCACCTGGCTCCTCCTCCACAATTACCATTTTATCTGAAAGCTATCTTTTCAGTCTTAAATTAAAATGCAGTTCTTCCTAAGCCAGGAATGCAGCTTGTACACCTTGCTTTTTTATTAATCCTCACCAGAGGATATTTTTTTCTACCAGACAGAGGAAAGAAAGGGGGAGAGAAACATTGGCGTGAACAAAACACATCAATTGGGTTGCCTCCAGCATGTGCCCGACTGTACTGAACCTGCAACCCAGGTATGTGCCTTTGACCAGGAATTGAGCCTGCCACTTTGGTGCTCAGGCCAATGTTCTAACCACCAAGCACCACCGGCCAGGGCACCTTGCCTTTTTATACGAGCTAAAGGTAAGTAGGGGAATGGAATTCCTTGCGGATCTTTGTGGGAATACACTGCCTTCCATACCCCATCCCTTCAGGATGGGACTGAACACACTGGTTTCTGGTTATGTGGGCATAAACAGTATAGCATACGCCTTGGGGTGCCTCACCTCCACTGCCGTCTTATATATTTGCAGTTTTACAGCCAATGGCTCCCAGATGCCCAGTTCTTTCATGTCCACCAAAGTACCGGTTTCACCATTTACACCCCAGGTCTCACAGTTCTCCTGGGTATGCTTGGCCTGTAGTTGGAACAAGCATAAACAGTTAAAGGGGAAAACACTGGGAATAAGTAAGCTAGCAGGGAGCATTAGGTAAAAACTAAACCAAAAACACTAGATTGGTAAGGAAACGGTAAGAGGAAATGTCAACGACAACAAACAAGTCAAAAATTAGGAGCAGATATTAACAAGCTATAAAAGAAAACCTGGATAGACAGATGTCAACCACCAAGAGAACAGCATGAAAAGGAACTCACCCGAAGAGAGGTAAGGAGACGAATGGTGCTGGCTCCACAGTTCTGGATAAGGGTACGAGGGATGATCTCCAGGGCCTGAGCAACAGCCCTGTACGGCCACTGCTCCACACCAGTCATGGCCTTGGATTTTTCTGTCAAGGCATGGGCCACAGCCATCTCACAGGCCCCACCCCCTGGCACCAGCTGAGGGTCCAGGAGAACGTTGCGGCACACCTGCATGGCATCCTGGAGGTTGCGTTCTACTTCCTTGGAAAAGCAAAGAGATAATATGAAGCAATTATGACTCAGGGACAAATAAGAGGTGCCAAAGGACTTCCTGACTGCCAAGTTCAGTAACCCACCAAGGAGGGCAACTAAGAAAGGTCCTTGGAATCCCTATTGGGCAAGGCAGATGCTAGTTACCTTGGGCAAACACAGTAACTACACTGCAAAAGGGCTGGGGTTGGGATGGAGGTGTCACTCTGTGGAATTAGGTTTCTTACTAGTTATGTGCCTTTGGGTAAGTTACGTAACCTCATGGGGGGGGGGGGTAGTATTTATGCCCTGGCCACTAGCTCAATGGTTAGACCTGCATTCTGAAGGGTCACAGGTACGATCCCATACCCCAGTTGGTGCATGTGTGGGAGGCAACCCAGATGTCTCTCTCTCACACTGATGTTTCTCTCTCTCTGCTTCCACTCTCTCTAAAAATCAATGAATAAAATATCCTTGTATGAAGATTAACAAAGAAAAAAAAATAATTTCAACTTAAAGATTACCAGGGGTTGGGGATTGGGGAATGATGAATCACAATTCAATGGGCATTATCTCAGTTTTGCAAGATGTGTTCTGGAGACCTGTTTTACAAGAATGTGAATATACTTAAAAAGTAAGCAGGCCTGACAGGTGTGGCTCAGCAGTCAACCCAGAAACCAAGAGGTCACTGGTTCAATTCCAAGTCAGGTCAGGATACATCCGGGGTTTCAGGCTTATCCTCAGGAGGGGGTGTGCAGGAGGCAGCCAAATAGATAATATTTTTCTCTCACCGACATTTCTAACTCTATTCCTTTCCCTGCTCTAAAAAAATCAGTAAAAACTTTTTTTTTTTAAGTAAGCAGGAAAGACAGATGTGTGTGGCTACCGATCAAAACTAAATAGCTACCCGTGGACAACAGGGTGATTTTAAGTCCTCTGGGAAACTCAAGAAATTCAGTCACACTTTCAAGGCTGACTCACCGAGAGAATCTCTTTGCTGGCCCCCCGGAGAAGAATGGTACAGGCTTTGGGGTCTTTGCACTCAGTGATAAATGTAAAGTACTCGTCTCCGATTTTCTTGATTTCCAACAGGCCCGCTCCTGTTCCAACATCTTCTTCTCTCAGTTCCTCTGGCCGGCTGACTATCCGGGCCCCACAGGCTCTATTGATTAGAGGAGGGAGTAGGAGGAACCAGATGATTTCAGATATTTATACTCATCTCCCGAGTCCCTAGAGTCTGTGACTGGGATAAGGGCAAAAGTGGATTGCTAGAAACATTGCTACCCAAAACTCAGGAGGTCTTGGCTGCCTGGTGAAATAGGTTTTCAAACATGTATTGGTGAAGTTTCCCTAAACTAATACGGCTTTATAAATAAAAGTGTATCCAGCTAAGGCAACTACTATAACCAGATACAGTTTGGACAATGAGCTCTTACAGGCATCTAACATGAACATACTACAAAATAGTCATTTCTAGAAGAATTCATTCTGTATCACCTAGTTAGATTTCAAGGCCAATAATAGGACTCTACTAAAGATGATACAAAGGCAAGTAAGGAGGAAGGTGAATAAGTACCCAATTTTAATAAATGCAGGACTAATATTGTATGACAATCAACTAAGTATATGTGCATATGCCCAGAGCAATTTCAGATACTAAATTCAATTTGGATCTATGATATATTCTGTGGTGTTGGGGCAGGCTTATAAACAGGCTACTCTGCAATGGACCCCTACACCAAGGTAGTGATCACAGATGTCTAAGTAGAAGTTGGTCACTACTGGTTAGGAGCAATACAGAAATGACAACTGATGGATTAGATAAAGGACTTCTGAAAACAGCAGACAGCTAAACCCAGGACCTATAACTGATTTGACTGATTATATCCTATGTTAGACTTTTTCGGGTAATGACTGCATTATGAAGCTACAAAATAGAAATACTTGGAAAGGAAGAATCTTATTTTTACCTGAACTACTCACCTAGCGATGCGATTATTGTCTGTCTTCCGGACTCTGCGGATGGCTGTGATATTGGCCCGCATGAGGTAGTGCTGAGCTAAATCTGCAAACCCAAGAGCAGAGGTAAGCTCAAAACCAGAACTCCTGGGTTCTGAACCGGTTTATCCTCAGATCCTCAATATACCCTAAGCATCAGATGTTTTTTATATTCAATCTATGCCAACATGGGGAGAGGGGAATCACTGTCTCTCTTCTACCTCAACCAATAGTAGGTTTAAAAAATGATTAGAGTCCAGCCCAGCAGGTGTGGCTCAGGAGGTCCTGGTGCAATTCCTGGTCAGGGCAAAGGCCCAGGTTTCAGGCTCGATCCTTATTAGGGAGCATGCAGGAGCCAGCTGATCGATGATTCTCTCTCTCTCTCCCCATTCCTCTCTGAAATCAATAAAAATATATATATATATTTTAAAAGAGTGTATTCCTACCTGAGATGCCCTTTTCAGTGATGACCACATCGGGCTTCATATGGATAATGTCTTCACAGAGCTGCTGGATGTATTCTTCTTCCATTTGGAGGATTCGGGTGAAGTCTTCCTCTCGTGTGATCTCAATGTCAGTCTGTGTGGTGGATAAATTGATTCTTATTCACAATCCTTATTTAATAATTTCCAACTACTTTATCTTTCTTTAGCACTTCAAAACTATATTGACTACTATTCTATTGTTGCATTAGAAAAGGTAATATAGTAGTGTCGAGTTAAGGCCAAACAGATCTGAGTTCAAATCCTGATTTGACCAGTATCAGTTGTGTTCCTTAATCCAACTTTTCTGATCTTTAGATTCCTCATCTGTTAAAATGGAAGTCAAAACCAACTGCCTTAAAGGGTGGTTGTTGTGTGTGTTTTTTCTACCAGGAAACAAAAAAGTAAAGTTCAGTATCACGACTTATTCTATACCTTATTGCCCATCATGAACATTTAAAACTCTGCCTTTTGTTCCTGAACCCTCCTCTGAGAAAACCAAACACACTGCTACTCAAAATTCGCAGAGGACTCACAGACCAAAGGCATTCACTGAATTCAGGTTACCAATGGAATGTTCCAAAATATTAATGTACTGTTGGGTAAGATTAAAATGATGACTCAGAAGACCCAGCATTCACGACCTCTCCCATCATTCATGAAGTTGAACACAGGCACAGCTGAACTGCACGTTAGCAAACTGCCAGAACTCTGTCTAAGTCTATATAACGGCTTGTCTCATAGAGGAGAGCACCGGAATAGGTTAGACTTTGTTGCTATAGCAAGCTCAAATTGTGTCAGACAGTGTCGATCATCTGCCACAGAGTGTTGCTTGCAATAAAAGTTGTTTTTAGAATCAGAAATTACATATAAAGGTCAGTAATTGACCTTTTAGTAGGCATGTAATAAACATAGCTTTTATTTCCCATGTACATATTAATAGTTAGGTTCTTATTTGAGGAACAGAACCAGGAATCTCACCTGGCTCTCTCCTTTCTTGTATTCCAGAGAAGAATCCAGCAGCACTATGCGGGGGTTCTTGATATAGCGCCGCATTCGGGGATGGGTCACATCTTTGTTAATCATGACGCCACGTAAAACACAAGAGTCTTCAATAATACCCCCAGGAATCTGCAAAAAGATCCACCTTAATTCACAACCAGGAGAGACAATTTCTCAACTCTCTTCCCAATGTTCATCTTTCCCGAAGGATCACTATTTTGGGTTTCCAAAGTATCTTTCTTCCATGAACCTCAAAAACAAACTGTTACAATCACATTTTTTTTTCCTCTAGGAAGCACAACAATCTTGGACCATAAAACCTAATTTGAAGGTCAGGTGAAACCACAGACACAGAGACTGACAAATATTTAATCTCAAGGGGCTCAGACTTCCACTTCCTGAAAGATATTTCCACAGAATTTTAGGCTCGGGGCTCCATCTACTGGCCACAAGGTATTAATGCTATTTTTTTAAAAAAATGCTTTTATTGATTTCAGAGAGGAGATATATAGAACATCAATTCCCACTGGGGATTGAGCCAGTCCCCTGACCTGGAAACAAACCGTGACCTCCTGGTTCATAGGTCAATGTTCAACCACTGAACCACACTAGCTGGACTATTAATGCTACCTTTTAATCTTAAATTAATAATAGAGAGATGCAGAAAGCATTCTGGGGTTTATTAACAGAATATTGTAGAGCCTTTCTTTATATACCAATCAAGTGGCTGATATGTACACAAATACACAAACATGGAGACACCAATAAACCTTTCTTTAGCCCCTATAAACTTTGTGTACAGATAGCAGAGGTAATAGAATTAAGGTGGATATACCCTCTTTTTTAATTTTTTGTTTCCCAAGCAACAAATATTCTTTCTAGTTATCACTATAAAGATATATTGTTCTGATTTAAACTTATTTCCTCCACAAATGGGATGACTCATGCTAGGAAACAATTTGTCTCCAAAGTACTAATTAGAAGTTTACCTTTTCCACCTTTGCATATTTCTTGATATCAATCTCCTTCCGACCGTTCTCCTCAAACTGTACAGTTTTGACAGCATCCAGGGCAATGCTGCAAGCCAAAGAGGACCACCGACTGATTGCTTTGGTAGTAATGGAGCTGTTGATGATGTTCAGCATCATATCTCGGTTACTGGTGTCGACGGGAGTACTGGGGAAAAGAAAAACAGGTAATATGCTCAACAGGGGTCTTGTACATTTAAGAAAAACCCCACATCTCAATGACTCCAATAATGGGCCAAAAAGTAGAATTAGGGAACCTGTTCCTTTGTAAGAAACTAAAAGTGACATCAAGTAATCTTGTCCATCCTTCTGCCTTTTCAGCAAGATTACAACTAACCCATCCCTGAAAGGTACATCAAATCCCCCAAGTAACCTGTTCCCTTGTTTGACAACTCTTCTACACTTACATACAGACCTTCAGTAAAATAACTTGTTCTTCACCTTCTGCTTCAAGTAAAAATTCTAAAACTTTTACAACTTGGGTCAAGAAATGTTTGGTCTGCCGAAACCAGTTTGGTTCAGTGGATAGAGCATCCGTCTGCTGACTGAAGGGTCCCGGGTTCGATTCCGGTCAAGGGCATGTACCTGAGTTGTGGGCACATCCCCAGTAGGGGGTGTGCAAGAGGCAGCTGATTGATGATTCTCTCTCATCGATGTTTCTAACTCTCTGTCCCTCTCCTTTCCTCTCTGTAAAAAATAAATAAAATATATTAAAAAAAAAAAAAAAAAAAAGTTTGGTCTTTGAAACCTGACCCCTAGCAAATTCTATTTCCTCTTAATTATCAGCCTCAGCCCTGGACAATATTACTCAATGGTTAGTCAGGCCATGCACCAAAGTGTCATGGACTTGATTCCCTGCAAAGGGAACATAATTAGGTTGCAGGTTCAATTCCCACTCCATCTGGAGTACATGAGGGAGGCACCAATTGATGTGTCTCTCTCACATCAATGTTTCTCCCCTCCAGCTGAAACCGGTTTGGCTTAGTGGATAGAGCATCGGTCTGCGGACTGAAAAGTCCTGGGTTCGATTCTGGTCAAGGGCATGTACCTTGGTTGTGGGCACGTCCCCAGTAGGGGGTGTGCAAGAGGCAGCTGGTCGATGATTCTCTCTCATCGATGTTTCTAGCTCTCTATCCCTCTCTCTTCCTCTCTGTAAAAAATCAATAAAATACAGTAAAAAATATTAAAAAGTAAGTAAAAATAAAAAAAATAATAAAAATTAAAATTATTATTATTTTAAATCCTCACCTGAGGATATTTTTCTATTGATTTTTAGAGAGAGTGGGAGAGCGGGAAAGACAGAAAAATAAAACCGATGTGAGAGAAACACATCGATTGGTTGCCTCCTGCGTGAGCCCTGACCCGGGCCCAGGTGAGGGAGGAGCCTGCACCTGAGGTACGTGCCCTTAACCAGAATCACACCCGGACCCTTAGTTCCACAGGCCGACACTGTCCACTGAGCAAAACTGGCTGGGATGGCTCTACAGGCTTATAAAATTTATTTCGTAAAAATAATTTAAATCAAACTCCTCATCCCCTAAGAGTGCCAAATAGATTATATACTTTATTAATAGCAGGCAATACAATACAAAGCTTACCAAATTACTAGATACTTATGTACCCAATAATCCAACTATATAAGGGTAGATCATTATAGAATTTATTCTTAGAACAATTTATTTTTAATCAAAAGAATTTTGCATTCTGCATGTTGTGATTTAACTAACATTCCCTAAAGTTAATTATTTTTTAAAATGTTTTTATTGATTTTAGAGAAAGAGGGAGATAGAAAAAATATGGGTGAGAAAGAAACATCAATTGGCTGCCTCCTGCACATCCCCTACTGGGGATTGAGCCTGCACTTCAGGCGTGTGCTGACTGGGGTGCAGTGACCTCAACTGAGCCACATAGGTCAGGGCATAACATTCCTTGAAGTTAGAATTCACGCATTTCTATATTTCTTTCATTATCCCATTAGCACTGAACAAAAAAGATTAACAAAAAGTTCTTCCATTACTACATGGGATTTAAAAAGCATTTTCAGTCCCAGTCGCTATCCTTCACAGCATTTTATTAGAATACTGGCTGAATTAGTTATAATCATATATATGGTAGGATATTTAAAAACCTGTTATTAGTTACCCAACTCCTTATTCTTCCCACAAGAATCTGAACTATGCCCTGGCTGGTATGGAGCAGTTGTTTGGAGAGTCATCCCATTCACCAAAAGGTTGTGGGTTCAATTCCCTGTCAAGGCACAAGCTTAAATTGGGGGTTCAGTCCCTGGATGAGGTGCATACAGGAAGCAGCCACTCAACGGTTCTATTTTTCTAAAATCAATAAACATAATCTCGGCCTGGCAGATGTGGCTCAGTGGTTGAGCGTTGACCTCATGAACCAGAAGGTCACAGTTCAATTCTTGTCAGGGCATCCGCCCAGGTTGTGGGCTCAATCGTCAGTATGAGGTGTGGACACAGCTGATCAATTCTATCTCATCATTGATGTTTCTACCCCCCCTCTCCCTTTCCCTTCCTCTCTGGGGACATACACACATACACTCTTTAAAAATAATGAGGTAGTTAAACTCCTTTCTTTAAAAAAACAAAACAAAACCCTAGCTGGTCTGGCTCAGTGGATAGGACTAAAGGGTCCCAGGTTCAATTCCCGTCAAGGGCACATGCCTGAGTTAACGGCTTATGCAGGAAGCACCTGATAAACGATTCTCTCGCATTACTGATGTGTCTCTCTCTCTCTCTCTCTCTCTATATATATATATATTTATATATATATTTTAAATTATTATTATTATTTTTTATTTTTAAAGAATCTAAGCTTTTAGAAGCTATTTTATTTTATTACTACACATTTCCCACCACAGTGCCTACCTAACATGGGAACCAGAAGACAGCATGTAATCAAAATGTTACAAGGAATTAAACCTAGTTCCTTTTTACTTGGCTGCTTTTATTCTTTGCCATTTTCTAAAACTTTTATTTCACTTATCCTTTACATTTTGTTCTCCCCTTTGTTCCTCCTCACAAAATAATACAAAGGGTTAAACCACAATGTGTGTGACATATCTGGACTTTTTTACCGAAGAACAGATTGTTCTTCCATGCCTCCCATATCTGATACTACCCACTTCTGGTCGTCCCCTAGTACCTGATTTTCTTAAGGGTGTTGATCATATCGTCCAATGCCTTTCGATAAGCACTGATCACCACCGTTGGGTGCATCTGCTGCTCTAGGAAGTGCTCAGCCACAGAGAGCATCTCTCCCGCTGAAAAAGGATACAGACACTATAATGTTTTAAAAAGTACCTGGATATAAAGGCAACTTCATTATGCTTCTAGAGATACCTTACTTTTCGTCCTAAAATACAGTCCATTTGGCTGTAAAAACTATCCCAAATTGTATACTTTGTACAAGGCAATTAATAAAAAATACCTTCCTTGTACATATTATAATGATCAAAGACTGATCCTAGGGTTTATTTTCTTGATCTATCTATGTATGTTATCAGTTTTAAACAAAAGGAAAACATTTTCCCAAAGATTCTAAAACAGAAAGAAAAACACGTAACAGAAAATTGACTTATTATTTCAACAGGATGCAAATTGCTGGTACTAAAAACAAAAACCGAGCACGGAAACTTTACACCTGGAAGAATACCCCAAAAATGTACAAAATTTTCGCTCTGGAAGGGGGAATTATTAGTAAAATGTCCCTTTCTTTTCAAATTTGTCTTTACTTTGTAATTAATACACACACAAAATAAACACAAAGCTTGTTTCTAAAAAATAATTTAACAGGAGAAATGTAAATGTATGTTTTTTTTCTTTTTTCACTACAATGTTCTGGCCGAGGGACGCCACCAGAGCTCAGTGTTAATAAATCAACAATATTAGATAAAATGTCTTTAAAAAACACAAAAACAAGGTGTGTGTGTGTGTGTGTGTGTGTGTGTATTTACTAGTTGAATGTGACCAGAGGCTGGCAGGAACCTAACCCTGTATTTCCCCCCGGAGTGACTGTTTAGTATTTGCTCATTTAGTTTGTGGTGACTTTTAGAATATAACTTACTGTGACTTACGAGGATCGACTGTATTTATTCAATCAGATTTACACAGCCCATGCTATACTATTGATTAATATTTTATACTCAACTGGAGAGGATACATGGATAATTAGCAACATGTTATTTAAATATTTGTAACTAGTACATTGGTAACAATTTCCTTCTTAAAATTAGACAGACATTATTGCTGGCAAAAATCTTCCTGTTTCAATCCTATTTTCCTTATCAAACTTCCATTCTTCTCTTACCAAGAATAATTACTGACGTGGTCCCATCTCCAACCTCTTCATCCTGTGTCCGGCTAATTTCAATCATGGACTTGGCTGCTGGGTGCTGAACTTGAATCTGAAAAGAAAAATGTAGACTGCCACTAAAAACACTACTCAAAGATCTTTTCATCTATTCTGCTTGGCCCTAATTCTTAAGCTTCTTGCATCCATACTTATTCGCTTTTCCTTTGTTTCACCATAGCTTGGAAGATTAAAAGTGGCCCCCAAGCCCTTCACGCAACGCACGTTCATGGGGAACCTGGTGCTAAACCATTCGTAGGCGACCTGCTTCTGGGTCGGGGTTTCATATATAACAAAGCAGCTCCCTCACTGCGATCTATTGAAAGTCAGCCCTCGACACAAGAGTATAAATAAATAAATAAAGGTGGCCCCAAAAATATCTAAGTCAGCTTTTCAAGTCCCTTTTTTTAGGGAAAAATGTAATATGCCAAGTGAACTACTCAAGTTTTTTGAGAACAGAACAATAACTTACAGCCTATTTACTGGGAACACCACTGTTGCGGTTGAATGATGTCCTCCAAAAGGACATGTTGAAATCTTACCCTCCTGCAACTGTAAATGTGACTATATTTGGAAATAGGGTCATTGCAAATATAAACAAGTTAAGATGAAGTCATACAAATATTACGGTAGGCTCTAAATCCAACCACTGGTGTCCTTATAATGAGAGCCACAGGAGAATGCCATGTGACAACTATAGAGGAGACTGAGTTTACAAGCCAAGGATGTGGTCAACCATTAGAATCTAGAAAAGGCACAGAAGGATTCCTGCTTCAAGTCTTCAGGAGCATGACACCTTGAGTTCAGATTTCTAGCCACCAGGCTATGAAAGCCTAAGTTTCTGTTAAAGTCACACAGGTTGTGTTAATTTGTTCCAGCAGCCCTAAGAAACTAATCATCATCTACACATCTCTTTTGGGGTACTTTATCAAATTGTTAGAAAGCATAATGAAAAGTCTCACCTCTCGAAGAATGGCATTGCCGTCATTAGTCATCACAATGCCTCCCATTGGATCCAAAAGCATCTAGGACAAAAGCAAAAGTTGTATTTCAGTGTTCCAGTTAAGAGAAAATCTATAGTTGATGAGTTTCAATAAGAAATAACCTTACCTTCATCATAGACTTGGGTCCCAAACATGTTCGGATGATATCTGCAATAGTCTATTAGGAAGGAAAAAGATAAGTACAAATCAGAGGATGATGTCAGTGTGTGTGCTAAGAAAGGGGCATCAGTAACCCACAGGCCCAGCGTTTTACCAGCATCACCTCTAAAGTAGGGCTGGCAGCCTCTTTAGATATAGCATGCCCACAGCCAGATTCTGTCCTTTGTTTTTCCCTTTTGGGAATACTTTCAGGGCAGATGTAGAAAGAAATGACTTTTCCCAAGAACAATGGGGACAGGCCTTCCAGAGCTTCAGTTTCCCAGTCGTCCAGATAAATGGAAATCCATGTCTTAGTATTTCTTTCCATGAAAGTGGCCTTCACACCATGCTAAATCAGTCCTAGAGCTATTTCATTCAAGATTAATTAAATACCTACCCAGGATCTACTGTGGCACTAGGAATACAAAAGGGAATTAATATGACTCTCCTCTTCAAGTAACTCAGTCTAGTATGGGAGACAAACACAAACCCTATATAATAAAGAGCTAATATGCTAATTAGACCCAAACAGCAGAACAACCATCTGGACGACCTTCTGGAGAAGCTGGGGCTGCGAGGGCGGGCCAAGGCAGCTGGAGCTGCAAGGGCCAAACCCCTTGCACGAATTTCGTGCACCGGGCCGCTAGTAGAATATAAAACAATACGCAGCAATGGAATTATAAAAAGTTACTATGAGAAAGCTATTAGACCTAATTCCGAGACGGAGGACTTCCTTCTCCCTTGCTGTAAACAGATACAGAAATACTAGGAAAGACAATTGGAGGAAAGACTTTAAACAAGTTCAAAGATATGCTACCTTGGCGGCATTGATGTTTCCAGATTGAACTTTTCTTCCAGATTCACGCTTTACGTTCTGGCCTAAAATAGGTAAAATAAAAGACAACAGCTCATGATTGTACTATTGTATATAAGCCTCACCATTGGAAAGAAAAACACACAAGTTTCCTAGGTGCATATGTAGATGAAAGCAACTGGCCAGGAAGCTTATTTGGTTAGACCGTGGTCCCGATATATCAAAGATCCAGTAGGACTCATACAAGAATCAACCCATGAATGAATAAATGGAACAACAATGTTTCTCTCTCTCCCCTCCCCCTTCCTCTCTCTAAAATCAATAAATTTTAAAGATAATTTTTTAATTGTACTTCAACCCCTAGTATACTAAGATAGCCATAATGCTTCAACTTTGGAATCATGCCATCACTTTCCCATCTCAGCAAGGATGCATAACTGAGATCCATGAATGGGCCTCAGTAGGAAAGTGAAATCCCTGAGATTATATGAGAAAATGGGATAATGTACTTTTGTCTGGGAAAACGATCTATAGCTTTCAGTGAATTCTCAAAGAGCTAGTGACCCTAAAAAGCACCAATCACAGCTTTATGTAAAAAGGGAGAGTTTGAGGGTTCATATTTTCCTACTTGGATAAGGAGACTCACACTCTTTACAATGTTTTTAAATATATTTCTTTTTTTATTGAGAGGGAGAGGGAGAGTTAGAAACATCAATGAGAGAGAACATCAACTAGCTGCCTCCTGCACACCCGCTACTGGATGTGTGCCCGCAACCAAGATACATGTCCCTGACCGGAATCAAACCCGGGACTCTTCAGTCTGCAGGCCGACGCTCTATCCACTGAACCAAACTGGTTAGGGCTCTTTACAATAATTGATCGTGCTCCCCACAGTGTCCTGTGGAATGAGAACACAGTTTGCAAGATATACGGTAGTCATTTCATGTTTGGATGTAATAAGAACGCCTCCCCCTGGCCAGTGTGGCATCAGCCTGTGACTGAAGGGCCCTGGATTAGATCCCAGTCAAGGCCACAAGCTCAGGTTCTGGGCTCCATCCCCAGTAGGGGGCGTGCAGGAGGCAGCTTATCAATGACTCTCATCATTTATGTTTCTCTCTCTCTCCCCCTCTCTGAAATCAATAAAAATCTAACAAACACCCCCCCCCCATTTACTATCAGTAAGACATGTGTGTATATTTTAACAGGGGGCCCCAATGGTTACAGCCACCAATGTCAGGGGTAAATGCAGACCTAAAAAGGCCTTTGCCATGCACCACTCCCCCTGGGCCCTCTCAGTGGAGACAAGCTGGAGGTTATAACCAAACCAACAACCGTACCCTCGTTCCCCTCCTCCCTCCAAACTATACACCCCCTACAATTTAAATCTGTAGAAACTTCAATCCAGGAACCTCCAATCCAAACGTTCACAACTCTCAGGATGCAGGCTCCCATTCCCGGCTGTGGTGAGCCAGCAGGAACCTTTCCCATCAACTCATCAGAAAGGTGTGTTTTTCTGATGAACAATAATAGCGGTTCATTGTAGTAGAGTCGGCAATATGGGAGGGGAACGGACTGACTGTTCTCGGGGAAAGGGAGGGAAGAAGAGACTGAACATAAACTGTGCACCTATGGATGAGGACAATGGGGGGATGGGGAGGGGGCGGAGGGTGGAGTGGGAACCTAGTGGAGGGGGGAAGAAATGAATAACCTTTGTAATAATATGAACAATAAAGATTGATTTTAAAAAAAAAGTGTGTTTTTTTCTGGGTGAAGTGAATTTTTTTCTTCTTTTCTGAAAACAGTTATTTGCAGGAATAGAGAAAATGGATGAACTCTGAACAGAAGTTGGGAGGCCAGGGAAAACGGGCAGCTGGCCATCTGAGGTGGTCCTGCAGATGCCACACACAGAAGTTCCACACAGAATGGAAAGACAATGACTGAGGTGCGTGTTCAGTCATAAGGAAACGTGGGATGTTCCCAAAGGGTAAAGAGAGCCGGCTGGGACGTTTGGGGAAAACTCGGGCCGCTGGCGGCAAAGGGGACCACGCAGGGGACACTGACCGCCGCCCATCCATGGCAGCCCCGCCAGTAACTCAGGAAAAGGGAGGGCGGGGGTCGCGGGCGGAAATGCAAGAGGGCCGATCCTGAGAAACGAACCAGGATACCTACTTGCTGTTGGCCACTCTTTTAAGCAGTGTATCTACTTAGTCATTTGATCCTCATGATTCTACGGGGAAATACCGTGAACGCTGATGATACAGAGTTAACACTCAAGTCAGCCAACATGGCCGAGGCCACATCGGCTACTAAGGGATGGACCGAGGTAAACTAAAACAACAACAACACATAAACATTATCCATTTACCTACACACTGACAATCCCGTAAGAAAGGGGTCGGGGGAAGGAGTGGGGGAGGAAGAAGGAAGGCCCAGTGGGAAGGATCCCAGGCCGAGTAGCCGTGAAGACCAGGGGCCAGGCGAGGGGGAGGGCAGTTGGCGTCAGGGAAGACGGGGATGGGTTAAGGGATGGCAGGAGCGAGGGAGAAAGGGCTTCCTTCCCAAATAAGGAGGCTGACGGGAAGCCACAGTGGCCGGACCGCTGCGGGACCGGGCTGTGGCACCCCCCCGAAAAGTATGGCCGAGCGGGAAAAGAGGGGGGCCTCTCCCCCGGCTTCCCCACAACTCACTGAGCACGAGCACGGGACGATGGCCCATCATGGCGGCGCGATGCTGAGCCCGGTTCCCAGAGCGGAGGAGACCGGCAGAAGCTTCTGGAGAGGGAACCGGAGAGAAGCCCAGAAAAACGTTGCCTCCGCAAGGCTTACACCTCAACCCGCTACCTTCCGGGTTGCCACCAATCACCGCACGCCCTTCCCTGACTGGCACGGAAATGGACCAATGGACATTCTCCGCCCCGCCTTCCACGCAAGAACGGCACGGCAAGCTCGGTAGAGAGCGCGCGAGGCTGGAAGCGGAGAGCGCCGGCGCTTGCGCAATAAGGTGGCCGCTCCCGGCCGCGTGCGGTGCGCAGCTAGGGCGCAGGCGCGGAGGCTCGGGCGCTGAGCTCGCACGCCATTGCGCATGTATTTCAGCTACTGGGTGGGTGCTGGGTGGGGTTGAGGCTTTCAGTGAATAACGCGGGTAGGTCATTGGGCAGGCTGGCGGCTCTGCATCTCTCGGGCCGCAGGAAAGGCGAGGCAGTTTCATGCCTTTCGCTCCAGCCTTAGCAAAGTGGAGGAATAAAGGGGCGGGACTTCAATGGCGGCTGAGGGAAGACCTGGCTGCGGGGTGATATGGGAGTTGTGGTTCTCTGGGGCTGGCCTAGGTGGTCAACAGCATTGCTTGGAGGCGCGCTGCGAGTTGTGGGTTTGTGGTTGTTGTTTTTTTTGTTTTTTGTTTTTTTACCTCTGGACCCGTTGCTGTGCTGGGGCCTAACCCTATTTGAGCAGATGTTTAAACTGAGGCCATGAGTGGTACCAGAGGGTGATGGCCTATTTGCCCTCTCTCCCGAATTATTCTATCCAAAACATTTTCTCAAGTTCCCTGGAAGGCTTTTGAGAGTTTCTTTCTCCATACCTATTGCCTCCCCTATCCTTTTCATCCACTCAACTGCTGGTCCATTACCTTATAGGAAAGGAAAAGGCCTGATACTGCAAAAATTAAACGCGGAGAGAACACAGAGAGTAATTGCCCGTTCGTAGGACACTGTTAAGGTTTAGTTAAATTTGTATGGTTTTGTTTTTTGTGTTCCCACCCTCAGAAAAAAAGGAAACAATAATAATGAAAACAGCTGTTTTCTAAACCAGTGAAAGCATGAACAGTACAGGAAGCACAAACAATACAGGAATCACATGTTTGACTATGAAATAGAAGAGAGCACCTTTCACACTTTTCCCTCCCCAAACTGCCTAAGATCTGCTGGAGAGAACTTGTGAAATTGTCAATAGTAAAATAATAGCACAGGTTGTTGATCATGTGATCCTAAGATTCTTTCCCAGGCACCACACCTATTGGTGTTCTGATAGAGCCGGTACTAGTCATCCTATTAACAGAAAAGGTGTGTCAGAGGCCCTGAAGGGAGAGGGATAGTTAGAAACATCGATGGGAGAGAAACATCAATCAGCTGCCTCTTGCACACCTCCCACTGGGGATGTGCCCACAACCAAGGTTCATGCCCCTGACCGGAATCGAACTCGGGACCCTTCAGTCCGCAGGCCGACGCTCTATCGACTGAGCCAAACCGGTTTCGGCTATTTTTGTTTTTTCATCTTCTGGCATTTATAAACTATTTGGCAGGATTTTTGTGCATAGTCAAGTCACCAGTTTCAGGTAATGACACAAATTAGCCCTAGCTGTTTTTTTTTTGTTTCGTTTTTTTAATTTTTATTGAACACATACTGTATGCCAAACAAGTTGCTAAGGGCGCCATCTTTTTTTTTTTTTTTTTTTAATATATTTTATTGATTTTTTTACAGAGAGGAAGGGAGAGAGAGAGCCAGAAAAGTCGATGAGAGAGAAACATCGACCAGCCGCCTCCTGCACAACCCCCACCGGGGATGTGCCCGCAACCAACGTACATGCCCTTGACCGGAATCGAACCCACCTTTCAGTCCGCAGACCGATGCTCTACCACTGAGCCAAACCGATTTCGGCAGCCCTGGCTCAGTGGATAGAGCATTGGTCTGTTTACTGAAGGGTCCTGGGTTCGATTCTAGTTAAGGGCACGTGCCTGGGTTGCTGGCTTGATCCCCAGTGGGAGGTGTGCAGGAGGCAGTTGATCAATGATTCTTTCTTGTCATTGATGTTTCTATCTCACCCCCTCTTCCTCTCTCAAATCAGTAAAAATATATTTTAAAATGTGAATGAATAAGTCAACACATAAATGAACAAATGTCTTAACTCTGGTGCTTTGCTACTTTTTTCTTTTGTTGCCCATAACACTGGAGAAAGTTCATTGGAACTAAGGGAGCCAAGTGGCTTTGGGGTTTCTAAGCCAAAATAGCAGGGAGTGGGGAGGAGGTGACCCTGATAAAGGGCAGCTCTAAGCAACCCCGAGTTACTCAGTAACCTGAGCCCCGGTCCCCATGGATGGCCTGGCCAGGCTGAGCCAGGGCAAGCAGCAGACACCGGTTCCCCTTGGCTACCCTTCAGGTGCTCAGCCAGTCCCAGCTGAAAAGTAGAGATGGAAAGTGGAAGATTGGACAGACCCCAGGCCAGGCAGGCAGGGAGCCGGTGACAGAGTCAGGGGCCCCAAAGACTCCTCTGAGGTGGAGGAAGGAGTGGGAGATGAGGCCCCCAAATCCATCAGAGCTTCCAGGGCCAGAGGAGGCAGGAGGGGGCACCTGGAGCTTGCCATCGCTGGTTGAGCTGAAGGAAAACCATGGACTGAGCCTTCCAGAATAGGCAGCGGGCCAGGGAAACCTCCACAAGGGTCTTGCTCTCTGCTGGACCAAAGGGTGAAACTAGCTGGTGCTCACTTGTTGTTAAAATACCAAGATCGTCCCATGCAAGTTGGTCAAGAGATGTTGGCCAAAGGTCTCCAAGTGTACCCTCCTTCGGCTGGCCCAGCTATCCTAGCCCTTCCAAGGGCTCCCTCTCCTCCTCTCCCCAATCCAGCACATAAAGGGTCAACACCTGCTAGGGTAGGGGGGAGGGTACTCCAGGACCCAACCCTGTTATGGTGCTGACTAGAACCCCAGCCCAGGATTGGCACTAAATGGGCAGTTGTTGAATGAATGAGCAACAGAGGAGAGGGAAAAACAGAGATCCTGAGGAATTTAGAAAAGCTGAGAGAGTCAGCAGGTAAGAAAGAGATGGAAGAGGCCGGAATCAGAGGGGAAACTCCCAGAGATGCTAGGAAGGCCCAGCTAGGAGGCCTTGCTCTCTCTCATTCTGCAGCTCCTGAAGACTCTTCCCCTGTAGGGCCTACCCAGACCCAGAACAACTCCTACACCCAAACCGGGCTCAGAAAGCAGGCTGAGTCTCTGGAGCAGAAGGCTGAGCCTGGGAGGCTATCCAGATGCTGAGTTACCAAGAATCATTACCCAAAGGCTGTTGACCAGACACTCACTGCCCACACCACTCCACTGAAGGAGCTGGAAAACAGCTTTCCTGCTGATCAGTAGAGAGCCTCTGGGCCAGGGGCCAGGGGCCAGGGGCCACTGGTGCCAGAGAGCATGCCCGGCCTGCTCAGAGCAGAACTACCAGAGGCTGCTGCTACCCAGCAGTTGACCCCCCCACCCCCTGCCTGCCTGGCTGGGCACTAGGTCAGGCGGTTGGTCACCTAGAATGCCACGCTGTCCCCCAGAGCCCACGCTGGCCAGAGGCTCAAGCCCGTGAGGGGAGGTGGGGGAGAGGCGAATGGGGGAAGGGAGGAGGATCGGGGCCTCCTGAGAAGGGGCAGGGTCGTTCTTGGGAGGAGCTCACTTCGTATCTGCTCTGGGGAGTGGCTGGCCCTGTGGACCCAGACCGCATCTCCTGGGAATGGCAACTCTGCCCTCAGCCAGGGCTCTGGAATCTGGAACGCCTTTGCAAACACCCACAGGCCATGCTGGAGGGGCATGTAGGGTGGGACAGAGGGCCTCCCCTCTCACTAGCCCCTCTGACACTGGCCTTCTGCTTCTCTTCTTGGAAGAGCCTCTTGGCCTGCAGGTGTCGGAAGCAATAGTCCAGCTGAAACTGGTTTGGCGCAGTGGATAGATAGAGCGTCGGCCTGCAGACTGAAAAATCCCAGGTTTGATTCTGGTCAAGGGCATGTACGTTGGTTGTGGGCACATCCTCAGTAGGGGGTGTGCAAGAGGCAGCTGATCGATGATTCTCTCTCATCGATGTTTCTAACTCTCTATCCCTCTCTCTGTAAAAAAATCAATAAACTATATTAAAAAAGAAGAAAAAGAAGAAGCAATAGTCCAAGTCCTCCGTCTGTTTGGAGCCTCCAGCGGCCCAGCAGCCACTGGGGAGAGGCCAGCCATGTGCCTTAGCAGGGCCTTCAAGGACTTTTTAGCCACCCCATCCTCAGCCTCAGTTCCTGAACACACTGGACACTCACACAGCCAGGCTTGTGTCTATACTGAGCCCCTTCTCAAAATGTCCCTCTTCTTTCTTCTCTTGCCCCAGTTCAGACTGCCTGTGGACATCCCTCCCAGGAAGTCTCCTTTTCGGTCCTCTCCCTCCTCTCCTGTGGGTTCTGCAGCCTCTCCTCCTAGGTCCCCGTTGCCCCTGTGCTTCCCAAGGTCACATGTCTACCCCAAGGGCAGTTCAATTCCCTGCTCTTGTCTGTCTCTCAACTGGACGGGGGCTCCTGGAGAGGAGTCATCCGGTTCATCTCTAAAGCCTGGCTTGCAGTCAGTCTCCTCACGGTCCGTCTGCCACCCCGGAGGATGCAGATCCCGCTCCTGTAACAAGGACTGTGGACTCCTAAGTGGGAAGACCCTCCTTCCATCTGGCCTCCCTTCTCTACAGCGGCTGAGGCAGCCCAGAGCCTCTCAGACCCTCACCGGGCTGCCTGGGGGAGCCCCGTGTCCATGAGGCCCCGGCCCAGCCCGCTGCACTGCGGTGGGTGCAGGTTGGAGACCGGGAGGCAGAGGCTGGAGCAGGGTGAGCACCTGGCCTGCTGAGGCCCAGACCTCCCTGGCTGGGTTAATCACCAAGGTCTGCAGAGCCATCTCTTTATCTCTGTTCTCCATCTCTCCTTTGGAAAAGCCTGAGTAACCCCTCAGCTCTTTCTGGTGTGAACCCTGGAGGGGCCTGGCCAGGGCCTTTAGCATTTTTCTTTACTGATTTTGAGAGAGAGAGAGAGAGAGTAAAGGGAGAGGGAGAAAGAGAAATATCCATGTGAGAGCAGAACATCCATCTACAGGGGTTCGAGCAAGCAACCTGAGCGTTTGCCTGACGGAAACCCAAAGGCCTTTTGGTGCAAGGGACCACACCCAACCCACTGAGCCACACCGGCAGGGGTTGGTGCGGCCTAAGGGGCACTTACTCTTTGGGAAACACTCTTTAAACTAACACAGGTTTGGGGGGGAGGGAGGGGTTGTGGGTGTGTTTTTTTTTAGGGTGCAGGCCCCCTCCCTTCCTTTCCCTCACTGGGTCCGCCGCTGTGCCCCAGCAAGCACAATGCATACTGAGCAGAACAGCGCCCGGATCAGCTGAGCAGAAACAAGATCTGGGGTCCGAACGCCCCCATCCCTCCAGGTCCTTGCTCCCCCTCGGGCCTCTGGCCCAGGACACCCCCACCCCCAAACCCCACCCCTACCCCCCACCCCCAAGCCCCGGGAGCTGCAGAGGGCTAGGTCTCCTCGTGGGCGTGGGCAAGGCCTCGGGGGAGGGCCCTGCAGGTGGGCTGGCTCTGGCTCCGGCGAAACCTGCCCGGCACGCCCGGGAGAGCCTGTCCTGCGGGCGCCCAGCGCGGAGACAGAGCCGGGCATGGCCGGGCCCCCGCGCCGCGCCCGCCGGCGCCTGGCGCTGCCGCTGCTCTGCCTCCTGCTGCAGGCCGCGACCGCCGTGCTCTTCGCCGTGTTCGTCCGCTACGACCGCGAGGCCGACCCCGCCCTGTGGCCCCGGGGCAACCACAGCAGCGCCCACAATGAGTTCTACTTTCGCTACCCAAGTGAGTGTGGCGGGGGCTGGGGGGCAGGGACCCCAAGGAGGGGGCCTGGGGGTGCCCAGGTCTGCCCTTCCTCGGGGTAGGGGGGCAGCCCCCTCGCCCTGAGATGAAGATGCCCCAGATTTGTAACAGCACCTTTCCCCAGCGTCTGCCATGCGCCAGGTTTGTGCTGAGGGCGGCACCTGCATGATCCCCTTTAGTCTGCAAACTAGACAGAGGTGGGGGGCCTGGGGCTCAGAGAGGTCCAGGGGCTGTTCAAAGTCACGCTGTCAGAACCGAGGGAGCCGGAGCCCCAGCTTTGACGGCTCCCCTGTCCCTCTCCCAGCTCCCCGTCAGCGGAATGAGGTGTGCGGGCTGGTGCAGAGAACCCGCCTTTCCTCAGTCCTCCACCCCTAGCGCAGGGAGAACCTCCTGGGCAGGGGATCAGGAGCGCGGCGGGCAGCAGGTGGTAATGGCAGGTCGCAAGAAGGCAATCTGGTCTAGGGGGGCTCTGGCACTTCTCCCCTGGTTGCCTAGCGCTGGGCCTCCCAAAGTCAGAGAGAAGAGGATGGCAGGGACCCACCTACCAGCCGACCGGAGTGGCGGTCCGTGGCAGGCAGGGCCATCAGCCCGTTTCACCCGGGAGAAAGCAGAGGCTCAAAGAGGTGGTGGCTTGCTCATGATCCCCCACCGTGTGAGTGGCAGAGTGGGAACCGGGACGCGGGCATTCCAGGCTCCTTGCACCTCAGTTCACCTGCCTGCTGGCAAGGCCGGGGAAGGGGAGGGTTAGTGCCTGACGCCAGCTGGGATAGAGCCTCTCGAGGGTGGGGGCCCAGCCTGGAGATGCAGGCCCTGGGTGACTGAGACCAAGGACATCAGAATCTCAAACTTCACCGCCAATGCTTGGCAGGTCTCCTCTGAGCCTCAGTTTTCCCATCTGGGCATTGGGGAGAAGGCTGCCTCATTTGAAGGATATACGTGCAGAGAAGGCTCAGAGGGTGAGAGTTTTCTATAAAAAAAAAAAACAAAAAAAAAAAACTCACAGGCTGCTATTACTCTCCTGTCCGTCAGCTGTCCCCACCTGACCCTCTCCCAGCCCCAGCGAGACAAAATGAAGCTCACAGTGCCGAGGATCTGGAGGGTGAGGTGGAGGTTTGGGCCTGGGCATAAAGCCCCCAGACATCCCAGGCAGAGCGGGGAGGAGGGACAGCCCCTCCCTCAACCCAGCCCTGGCTGGACAAGGTGAGCCATGGAAGCTGGGATCTCAGCCAGAGCCAACAGGCTGGAATGGAAGACTCTTGGGGTCACGCATTGTCCGGAGAGACAGGGCGTTGGGAGGGACCAGTTCATAGTCCGAGGGAAGTAAGCTCTTGTCCGAGGGTCTGACCCGGCTGTCTACCCTGAACCCCCAATGGCTTCTCCCCTGGGCCTCCCTGGAGGCCGCCAGGCTCGGCCTGTCTCCACGTCCTCCCTCAGCCCTGCCGGCTCCTCACCCCGCGGTGGTGGTGGGCTCGCCTCGCGGTCAGAGGAACGGCAGTTGGGAGTCCTCCCTCTTTCTCTGCCCCAGGTTTCCACCCCCGTGGACTTGGGACCCTGGTGCGGGGGAAGGTTGGGGAGGAGGGAGTGTGCGGTCCCGGAGCCCATGGCTTTGATGAGCCGGGTCTTCGCCTGTCCTTGTGTACAGGGGACGGGATCGGGGCCAGAGGGGGTGTCGCCACCTCTCTTTGATTTGGGAGATGAAAGGGAATTCTGCAACTGTTGGAAGACCAGTGCCAAGGGCACGGCCGCTCTGAGGGTCTGTCTGTGTTGTCTGTGGGAAGGGCCCTCGGGGCCCATCGGGTGGATTCTCCCGAGATGTGGGGGGAGCCAGGGAGAGTGTGTGGCTGCCCAAGACCGCACACAGCAGGTTGGCCAGGCTGGGGCCCGGGCTCTGGGCACCCCCTCTGCAGCCTTTCCCCACGTTCCTGTCCTGCTGAGCGGGTATTGGGAAAAGGAGACGAAAACCCAGGGTTGCAGGGACCACAGAAACGAAGATGAGGAAGGGGTCCGAGACAGAAGCAGAGGCAGGACCTTTTCCCACGCCTGCTTCCGGGCCCTTACTCCCGGGAGAAGACTAGGACAGATGGAACCATCTTGGGAGAGGCGGGGCAGGGGGTGTGGCCGGGATGGAGTGGTTTGTGTGACCTCTTCTAGGAGAATGAACATCCCTCTGTCCCCTTAAGGACTGGAGCAGGAGAGTGGGGGGGGGGGGTCCCCATCTTGACACTCGCTTTTCCTGCTCCTCCTATTTTGCACCCCCACTTTACAGAGGAGGAAACGGAGGAGGTTCAGAGAGGGTCTGTGGCTTGTCCAAGGTCACAGAGCTAAAAGGGGAGAGCTGGAATGTAAACACAGCTCTGTCAGATGCTAAAGCCCCAGCTCTCACTTCCCTTGTCCCACAATCCCAATCCTGTTCAGGCGTCTTCCATGGAGAGGGGCTGGGGAGGGGCAGTTAGGAAAAGAGAGAGAGGGATGGCTCTATAGAGCTTTTATCTTCTCTCCAGCCAGCTCTCCTGCCCCCTCAGGGACCCTCTGAAGGGCCCGGGGAGGTTCATCTTATCCACCGCCCCTGCCTCCAGCTGGCGTAGCCCAAGGAGAGTGTCCGTGAGCAACCTTCTCCGCGGAAGGAGACTTCTTGATGTTTAGACTTCGGTTGAAAGGCCAAGGGATTGAGTTTTGGTTCCAAACACTCCGGAGGTGGGAGACGTAAATATTGTTGCCATTTAAAACAAGTCCTGAGAGGTTTCGGCGGGTCATGGGCACAGAGCCCCGGGACCCCGCCCCCTTCGTTTATCTTTCCGTCTGTCCTTGGGCAAAAGAACGACACACGGGTCCCCTGGAGTGTCCGCCAAGGAGAGAGGAAGGCAGGCAGCGAGGCTTCCAAGGGAGGTCTCTCCTTTTCCACGGGGTTTCCCACCCGGGAGGGAAGGAGTCTGGGTGGTGTGAGGCATGGGCCGGGCTGGAGAAGGGACGCAGTGTTGGGACCCTTTATGGAGGCGGGTGGGGATCTGGAGCCTCACTCCCCCTGGCTGCTGGGCTGTCATTTCCTGTCAGCCCCAACACGGCATAAAAAAGCATAAAAGCTCGCTTCTCTCCACATCACTGATTACATTCTGAAATTCAAGGATACATTTTTGGCTGGTCGGTGCTCCTCCAGATTGAACAAAAGGATATGGTTTTGTTTTCTTTATGATTTGTCTCTTTCTGCAAGGGACTTGATGAGGTCATTCACAACAAAGACATCTGTGTACGAAAAGGGAAGCGGAACACAATGACGAACACCTTCAGGGCCTTCTAGTGGCTGCGGTTGAGATTCCAGAGTAGCTCTGAGCTTCCAGGCGGCCAAGGAGAAAAGGGAATATCCTCAGTTATGTGTTCTCATCAGAGCCAAGGAGGCCGCACACACGTGATGCTTTGGTTTCTCGATGTCTGTCTCTCATGCCTGTAAGCACAGGGACCGTGGCTGCTGCATTCCGAGAGCCCGATGCGCCTGGCCCGTGCTCTGTAAACATCTGTTGCCTGAATGCGGGAAAGCAGGCTGCTTCCCCAGGGGAAGGGACATTTCCTCGCACTGTGTTCTAAGCAAAAGTTCCCACGTGAAGCTATAACAGGGGAGCTTAGGGTCACGGCTGACCCTGTTTCTCAATAACTTATTTACAACAAATGCAACAGCAGCACACACGGAGCGCTGTCTGTGCTGTTTTAAGTGAAAGCCAGCGATACGGAGCGTGGCACTGTGCACCGAGACTCTGGGCAGAGGAGAGTCCCGGCTGCATGGCCACGGTCACGCTGGCTTGTGTATCAGACCCCATTGACAGTAGCTGGGAGAGGGGTTCAGACCTCACACTAAAACAAATTATTTGTATGTACCTTATTGTCAGTGCTATCCAACATTACTTTAGTAGCGTAGTTTTTTTATGCCCAGGAGTGCAGAAAAGAAGACAAACAGAATATGGTCCCAAATCTCCCTGCCCAGAAACCCCACTGACAAGTTAAAATAGTTCAAGTAATTCTTCTATAAAAATAAAAATAGCCGGCCAAAACCGGTTTGGCTCAGTGGTAGAGCGTCGGTCTGCGGACTGAAAGGTCCCAAGTTCAAGGGCATGTACAGTGGTTGCGGGCACATCCCCAGTAGGGAGTGTGCAAGAGGCAGCTGGTTGATGTTTCCCTCTCATCGACATTTCTAACTCTCTATCTCTCTCCCTTTCTCCTCTCTGTAAAATATCAATAAAATATATTTTAAAAATAATAATAATAAAAATTAAATAAAAATAGCCGAAACCGGTTTGGCTCAGTGGATAGAGCATCGGCCTGCAGACTGAAAGGTCCCGGGTTCGATTCCGGTCAAGGGGATGTACCTTGGTTGCGGGCACATCCCCAGTGGGGGGTGTGCAAGAGGCAGCTGATCGATGTTTCTCTCCCATCGATGTTTTTAACTCTCTATTCCCGCTCCCTTCCTCTCTGTACAAAAAAAATAAATAAAATAAATTATACTTTAAAATAAAAGTAAATTGAACTGTAGCAAGAGACAAGCTAAAAGATGAAAGAAAGCCTCCTTCCCGGAGCCGCCCGCTGCGTCACTCCAGGAGCACCCTCCGCCCTGGAGTCAGTGCCTGCCGTCCCGCCCCGCCTTCCTGTCCTTTCCCCGAGGTAATCTGATAACACAGCCATTTCGGAAAATGATTATTTTTTTAAATTTTAAATTTCTCAAAACGGAGAGGGATAGATAGGTTCTGAAGTATGAGGAACGGAGGTTAGACCTCGAGAAGGACTCCCCAGCAGAGAGGGGCCGCTGGAGACACCTGGGGGGAGGGAGAGTGGTGAGCGCGATGGGGCGGGGGCTGCAGCGGGAGAGACATGGGTGGAACCTGCTTGGTAAGTGGCTGTGAGTGAAGGGCGAGGCAGAGGCCGAAGACCGAGATATAGGCCTTATCGGAGGAGAGGGACCCTGCCCGGCTGTCTCCCGAGGGGAGAGCAGCACCCGTGCAGAAGGGAGCATGCCTTTTGTTCTGTTTTGTTTTTTTAATATTTTTTATTGATTTTTTTTACAGAGAGGAAGAGAGAGGGGTAGAGAATTAGAAACATCGATGAGAGAGAAACATCAATCAGCTGCCTCCTACACACCCCCTACTGGGGATGTGCCCCCAACCACTGTACATGCCCTTGACCGGAATTGAACCTGGGACCCTTCAGCCCACAGGCCGAGGTTCTATCCACTGAGCCAAACTGGTTTCGGGTGGGAACATGCCTTTTGAGGGTAGGAAAGGGAAGGGATGGGACTTAGGGTGCTCTGCATGCGCTGATTGGAGGTTCATATACATGATTAGGCACTTAGGGACTTAGGAATTGGCAGGTGCCGATTGGTGGTTCAATGTTCGGTCCATATCAGGTGCCTGGTTAGGCGCTCAGGAACGTCCAGGCCGCAGGTGCAGGCGACGCCACACTCCGTCCATCAGTTGGGGGAAGGGAGGATCTACCAGTGAGAGACCAGAGGCCGGGCAAGTGAGGGGGCGGAGGAGAGCGCGGGAAAAGGCTCTGTGCCCTGGCCCTAACCCGGGGACATCGGGGTGGCCTGGGTCCCTGTTCCACGCTGGCCGGCTTGGCACCGGTGGCTCAGTCTGGGCACAAGCTCCCCGAACGCTGGGGCGTGTGACAGCTGGAGCCTCAGGAGCGGCTGGGCGGGGTGGCTGCTGGGTTTCGGGGGGAGAAGGCGGGGGTCAGCAGAGCCTCCCCATGCCCCCCCAGGCTTCCAGGACGTGCACACCATGGTGTTCCTGGGCTTCGGCTTCCTCATGGCCTTCCTGCAGCGCTACGGCTTCAGCAGCGTGGGCTTCACCTTCCTCCTGGCCGCCTTCGCGCTGCAGTGGTCCACGCTCACCCAGGGCTTCCTGCACGCCTTCCACGGCGGCCACATCCACGTGGGCGTGGAGAGGTGGGCGCCGCGGCCGCCCTGCTCCCCGGCTGCCGGGAGGCCCCTGCTCCCAGGACCCCCTTTGCCCCGGCCTTCAAGTCGCTCCAGGACGCCCATTCTTTGATTTCTCTTGGGGTGGGGGGGCCCGCCTGTTCTTGCCCCTGAGTTCTCCCAGCCTGGCCCCACACGCTCGGCCACACCCCTCTCCCCATTCCTGCGAGCCCCTTTTTACCCAAGAGCTGCTGGGAGGGGAGCTCCGGAGGAGCTGGTAGCTCAGGATCCGGTTCTTCCACCTGTGGGCTGTGTCTGCGAGGCCCAAACCTCCCTCCCTGAGACTTCCTCATCTGCACAAAGGCAGGCGCTCTCCCTCCTCCCAGGAAGAGCTTAGACGTGCAGTGGGCTCATGGCCTCCTCCCCCGAGCTTTTCCCCCAGGGCCCCCCCCCCCAATCCGGTCTCCCCTCACCCCCCCTAACGACCCTCCAGCATGATCAACGCGGACTTCTGCGCGGGGGCCGTGCTCATCTCCTTCGGCGCCGTGCTGGGCAAGACCGGGCCGGCCCAGCTGCTGCTCATGGCCCTGCTGGAGGTGGCACTGTTTGGCATCAACGAGTTTGTGCTCCTTAGTCTCCTGGGGGTGCGTCTGGATGGGGGTGGAGCGAGGGCGGGGGTGGCCAAGGCGGGGCCCTGACGGGGCCAGGGGGCAGGGGGGCAGGGGGCAGGGCGCCCCTCCACCTCAGCTCCCCCTCCCCAGGTGAAGGATGCGGGCGGCTCCATGACCATTCACACCTTCGGTGCCTACTTCGGGCTGGTCCTCTCGCGGGTGCTCTACCGGCCCGAGCTGGAGAAGAGCAAGCACCGCCAGGGCTCCATCTACCACTCGGACCTCTTTGCCATGATCGGTGAGGCCTGCCAGGGTGGGGTGGGGTGGGGACCAGTCCAGAGAGGATGGTCGCCAGGCCAAGTCTCAGGGTTCTGGCTGAGAACTCCCTTCCTCTTGGATTCTTCCTGGAGAGTCAGGGACCTGTGCCCCTCCCCCTCAGCAGTTTTCCGGCTGGTTCTTAGGTACGCACAGGCCCTGAGGCCCATTCCCAGGGGCCTTTCAAAAAACATTGGCACCGACCCTTCTTAAACCCTCCAGGGCTCCCCACCCACAAGTCAGAATGAGACTCAGCAGCCTGACACCCAGCTCCTCGCCCTCCCCCTCCCTCCCAACTCCATCTTTCTCACACTAGGCTCTCCCACCTCGTACCCTCAGGCCTTGGTCCCCAGGGCACCTCCCACGCCTAAGGACACTTCCTCCCAGAAGCCCCACCTGGGGCTGGGGGTTGGAGTTTGTGCATCTCCCCTGGGAGCAGTAGGGCCTGACCTGTGAGCACCAGTCACCACCCCCTGTCTTAAGCAGGTACCTCCCCCCTGGTCTCTGCTCCTCTCTCTATCTTCATAAGAGCCAGGAAAGGAACTGACTCTTTTTTTAAAGATATGTTTTTACCCCCACTGCTAAATTTGACTGTTAAAAAAAAAAAAAAAAAAAAAAAATATATATATATATATGTGTGTGTGTGTGTGTGTGTGTATACATACATATGTGTGTGTATACATACATATATATGTGTGTGTGTGTGTATACATACATGTGTGTGTGTATACATACATATATATATGTGTGGGTGTGTGTGTATTTTTACTGGTTTTAGAGAGAGGAAGGCAGAAGGATAGAGTGATAGAAACATCGATGAGAAAGAGACATCCATGGGCTGCCTCCTGCACGCCCCCTACTGAAGATCAGCCCGTAACCCGGGCTTGTGCCCTGACTGGGACTGGAACCAGGGAACTCTTGGTTCATGGGTCGCCGCTCAACCACTGAGCCACACGGGCCGGGCCAATCTTTTGTGTGTGGGGGGATAGTATTGAGAAATAACTGGAGAGGCTGGCTTTGTAGTTCGTGCTCCGGGTTTGCTGTGAAACAGAGTGCATATAGCCCTAGTGCAGCGGAGCCTCCTGGCTCTGAGAGACCCGGATCCATTGGCTTTAAGCCCCAAGACTTCCCCGAGATCTCTGTGCGACCCCAGAGGCCTGCATGCTCCGCTCTCCTCCGCCTCCAGCTCCTCCCACACAGACATGTGGCCTTTCCCTGGTTCCTCCCCACGCCCTCCTCCGAGCGCCCCTGGGCGAGTGGCGGGGGGATTCATGGCAGGCTGTGGGGGCAGGGACACGTTACCTGGCACACCCACGGGCCTCTCAGCACCCAAGGGCAGGCCCTCCAGCCCCTTGCCAAGCTCACCCTACCTGAACGGTCCCAGCCTTCCCCACTGTGCCCCGGGCTGTCCTCCCTCGCCCTCCAGGACTGGCCTGGGAACCCATGGACAGGCAGGGCACACGGAGCCCCAGCTCTCACCCTGAACCGCCCGGGCCCAGCCCAGCCCAGCCAGTGCTCGGCAGACAGCGGCCTCTCCTGCATGCTGCAGGGTCCACCTTCCTAGGAAGTCATTGAGATTATAAACCAAATTATGTTCCTGACACGCAGACCCCGGACCCAGCTTAGTGTTTGAAATGCAGAGCACTTTGTCTTTTTTTTTTTTTTTTCCCATCTTTCCTTTCCTGATACTTAAAAAAAAAAAAAAAAAAAAAAAAAAAAAACCCTAGCTGAAACTGGTTTGGCTCAGTGGTAGAGTGTCGGTCTGTGGACTGAAAGGTCCCAGGTTCGATTCCGGCCAAGGGCATGTACATTGGTTGTGGGCACATAACCAGTAGGGGGTGTGCAGGAGGCAGCTGGTTGATGTTTCTCTCTCATCGATGTTTCTAGCTCTCTATCCCTCTCCCTTCCTCTCTGTAAAAAAAAATCAATAAAATATATTAAAACAAAACAAAACAAAAAAGCAACCCTCAACCTTCTAGTTTTCAATGAAGTGGCTCCTTGTGGGCCAGCACCCTCCGTAGCTACTGTGTTGAGCATTTAGTATTGTACCTACTAAGCACTTCCTGTGTGTCACCTCATTCGGTCCTCACTTCGTGAGGCAGGCGTGATGATCCCCACTCCACAGTGGAGGAGACTGAGGCTGCCAAGAGGGGTGACTTCTCTGCAGTCACACAGCCTGTGCCTTGTGGGGAGCCGAGTCCCTCCTCTCACTCTGCTGCCTCCCCTCCCCCCACGCAGGGACCATCTTCCTGTGGATCTTCTGGCCCAGCTTCAACTCTGCACCCACCCCGCTGGGGGACGGGCAGCACCGGACGGTCCTCAACACCTACTACTCCCTGACCGCCAGCACCCTCAGCACCTTCGCCCTGTCGGCCCTCGTCGGGAGGGACGGGCGGCTGGACATGGTACGGGCGTGGGAGGGAGGCCTCGGGGGAAGCGGAGGGAGGGACGGGGAGTGGGGGAGGTCGGAGCCCCTGCAGGGCCTGTGCTCCGGGGGCACAGGGAAGGGCCCAGGCCCAGGGAGTCCCACCCGCGAGGGAGGCGGTGGGTCAGGGTGTGAGACGGTGGCGCAGCAGCAGGAGGGTCGGAGGTTAGATGGCGGTGGGCGCCCTTGTGGCGGAGGGGCCTGGGTTGGGTGTGGGTGTGACCGTGGGGGAAGGGCCTCCAATGCCTCGCTCTCCCCGGCTCCCTCAGGTCCACGTCCAGAACGCAGCGCTGGCCGGGGGCGTTGTGGTGGGGACAGCGAGTGAAATGATGCTCACGCCCTTCGGGGCCCTGGCAGCTGGCTTCCTGGCCGGGACCGTCTCCACGATGGGGTACAAGTTCTTCACGGTACAGACGCCCCCCCGCCCTGGGCAGAAGGGGGTCTTCGGGGGCCTTCCCCCACCTCTCCAACAGGCCCGGGGTGGGAGGGGCACACGAGACTCACTATGGGTGTCCTGTCCTCCAGCCCATCCTGGAGTCAAAATTCAAAGTTCAAGACACATGTGGTGTCCACAACCTTCATGGAATGCCGGGGGTCCTGGGAGCCCTGGTGGGGGTCCTCGTGGCGGGGCTGGCCACGCACGAAGCTTACGGAGATGGGTAAGTCGCCCCCCCTCCTGCCCCATTGATCCACATTAACCCTTGGAATGACCTCATTCTCTCCCCCCACCATGTGCACCAACAAAAAAAAGCATTGTCACTTATTCGTCCCTATTCTGGGAGCTGAGGAAACCAGAGTGAGCCAGACCAGCCGGGGGACTGCCTTCCTGGTCCCTGGTCAGGTTTAGCAGGTCACCGCGCCAATGATTTAAATAGTGTGACTAAGGGATCAGGGAGAGCGAATGACTTCTGCACATCAAGGCTCAGAGGAGCGGGCAGGCAGAAGTGACCCTCAGGCTGGGTCTCGAGAGGGTATGTGGGTGTCCGCTGTCACACGAGGGTGGGCGGGGGTTCCAGGCCGGGCCTGATCGGGGCCAAGAGAGGAGACTCAGCCTGATGGGTCCCCCTGAGGCCCTTCAGCGGCTGCACTGACCGCCTGCCTCCCCACAACCCCCCCGCAGCCTCCAGAGCGTGTTTCCCCTCATCGCTGCGGGCCAGCGCAGTGCCACGTCTCAGGCCATGTACCAGCTCTTCGGGATGTTCGTCACCCTGACGCTGGCTTCTGTGGGTGGGGCTGTCGGAGGTGAGTGATCTTGGCTGGGGGTGGGGGGTGGGCAGAAGATGGAGGAAGGGGGTTCTCTGGAGGGAAGGCCGTGGGAACCCATCCCCCTGACATTTCTTTACCCGGATATTTAGTGAGCAGCTACTTTGTGCAGGGTGTGGGGGGGGCTTCAGAGTTCGGTGACCTCCTCCGGGTAAGGAGGAGCAAGGGGGAATTTGTCTCTTCCTGGTGCCAAGGAGAGGGGAGCCCCCAGCAAGGGGCTGAGTTGGGGGCCTCTGCTCTGGTTCTGTGGCTCCCTTGTGCTGCTCCCTCCACCCACTAGAGGGCAGTCCACGCTCAGGCTGAGTCCCCGAAGGCGATGGCGGGCTGTGTATATTGTCCGCCCTTCGGGGTAGGGAGCCAAGGAGGCGGCTTGGCTTATGCCTAGATTGCAGCACAGAAAACTTCCGCAGAGGCTGACGGCCCACGAACGCTGGGTCAGGCAGTCCTGCCTGATGGCTGCCTTGGTCCTTTGGGTCTTCAGAACAAAAGCTTAGACGCATCTTCACCCTCCTGCTCTCAACCCGAGACTTTCATTCTCAGACAAGGTTCAACTCATTCATTCACCTAATTACTATTCAGTCCACACTTTCCGCACCCCTCCTGGACAGGAGGCCACAGGAAGCAGCTGTGGTTCACGAGAGAATCACCGTTTGGTTCATTACCAGCCGTGCAAAAGGTGAATGAATTCCTTAACTTCTCTGAACCTCAGCTCCTTCTCTGTAGCACAGGGATCACGTGCACCTTCAGGGTCACTATGATGACTCGGCAAGGAAATGCTTGTCAAGCCCTTTTCCTGGCATCCGGCACATAGTAGATGCTCAACAAATATGACTTGCCTGGGCCAGGCGGGTAGCCATCACGCTGACCCCAGGCCTCCTGGCTCCTCTGTGCCCATGGCCCTGGGTGGCAATCTCTCCCACGGGACAGCAAAAAGCCTCACCCGTCTTCCCCGACCACCACCAGGGTGCATACTCAAGCTGCCCTTTCTGGACGCCCCTCCGGACTCTCAGTGCTACGAGGACCGGGTTTACTGGGAGGTGAGACTGAGCTGCAGCCCCTCCGGCCCCGCAGGGCCCTGTCCCCCTGCCCGCCCCTTCCTGTGACCCAACCTGCCTCTTTCCTCCCCTACTGCTCATTCTCCTTGGGGGGTGTGCCCCTGAGCTGTGTGCCCCTGAGCTGTGTGCCCCTGAGCTGTGTGCCCCTGAGCTGTGTGCCCCTGAGCTGTGTGCCCCTGAGCTGGAGCATTGAGCCACCCCTTCTCTCCCCCCCCCACGCCCTCCAGGTGCCTGGGGAGCACGAAGATGAAGCCCAGGGACCGCTGAAGGAGGAAGAACTAGACACTCAGGCCTGACTCGCTTCCAGCCCCTGAAAGGATGCTCTCCTTTTGGAAGAGAATGCCTGGCTACGCTCGGAAAGTTCTTTTGTTGCTCCCGTCCTCCCTTCCCGCTGCACGAAGGAATCCCGCATCAGAAAGAGCCTCTTTCCCGCGGGCAGCACTCGGGGAAGGGCTGTGGGAGGCGCAGGGCTCTAACTGGCCGCAGTGAGGGGAGACCCTCCCAGCAGCCTCACCAACCCCCCCCCCCCCCCCGCCGCCACAACCTGCAAGTGAGGCCCCCAGGGGACTGCTGACCCCTGGCCCAACCTCACAGCTTTCCGGGTGGCAGGGCCTGGCTCTCCGCGGTGATAAAGGCCACTGTCATCAGGGACGCCGACTCCTTCCTTGTGCACGGGGTTCACAGGGGTTCGGGGAGTCCCTCCCACCCTCTCACTCGCAGTGTTAGACACCTGGGGTGGGAAACGTCTCGCCTCCCTGGTCTCTGGAGCGCCCTCTGGGATGCTGAGTTCTGCCAGGTGGGTACCCCCCTGGGCTTGCCTGCCTGAGGAGGCAGGGAGCTCACTCTCTAGGCACCTGGGGCTGCTGTCGCTCTGACCCTCCTCTTGGGCAGCTTCTGAGCAGAGTAGGAAGAGGGCCCCACAGGGCCCGAGAGGGGCATCAGGAGTTCTTTGCCGTTCACTCCTCAGAAGCTGGAGGCAGCCAGACACCGCCTGGCAACCCTGTCCCAAGTCTGAGGAGCAGAGGAACTCTTGCGAGTTGCCTCTGAGAAGAGCCTCCCGCGGCTTCAAGTCATCTGACCACCAGAGGGCACTCCACACCCAGCAGAGGAGGAGGAGGCTTCTTGGCCCCTCGGTCCTTTGAGAATGGAAGTCCTTCCTGTAGCCTAACACCCTTCTAGCTGCTTCAGCTCTGTCCTCACCACTCCCACTCGTGCCACAACCTTTTTTGAGCTCCCAGCCCCCACTCCATGTCAGGCGGGTGCTAGGGCTTTCTGATCTGATCTCATCCAACAGAGAAATCACCCCTCCAAACTCCTTCCCCAACCCCGAAGGCCTGGGACCTCCCTCTGTCCCCAGTGCTTCTAGCAGGAATTGAGCATGACTCCGATCTTTCTCCCCCATGACCAAGACCCATTCAGACCCAGGCTCCCAAGAAGGCATGGAGGGGTTTCTGGGAGCCGGCCCAGTCCCAGGTACCCCATCAGGCTCCAACCTCACTGTGGTCGGATGGATTGAGCTTGGCTGGGGAGAGAGGTCAGGTGCAGAGTTGAGAGGGGAGGGCAGCTGAGGGACAAGCCCTGATGGGAACCATCCCTGCCCAGTGCTGGCCGGGGTAGGTTTGTTGGGGGAGACTCTGGTGCTGAGACATAAGGATGGCTGCTGAAATTGCAAAGAGGTCCCCAGTCCTGCCAGCCCCTGCTGGGCGGGAGGGAGTTTTGAGAGAACCGAGGCCCCAGCCTGCATCCCCCGCTCTGGGGTCTTGGCTCCCAGTCCTGCTGACCTGCTCTGCCCCAAAGCTCCCCAAGCAGCCCCCAGATCTGAAGACTCAGGCGAGGGAGATGCAAGGATAGGATGAAATCCCCCCCCCCCCCCCGCCCCAGCTCCTCCTGGGTGGGGAAAGCTGTGAACATTCATCTATCCATGACTCCTACATGTTCTCCACCCACACTGCTGGTTCCTCCTGGGCCACGGCTAAAGCTCCCCCAGGTCTGAGGCAAAGGTCACTGCTCTCCTCGCAACCCAGGAAGGCTTCCTGGAGGAGGGACAATGAGCTCTCTGGTGGAGAGCAGTTATCCAGCCAGCTTCCGAAGGAAAGGCCACAGGTCCCGGATGGCCCACCCGGAGGCCCCCGAGCAAGGGCAGCGCCCGCTGTCCCACACACCGCGGCCCTGCCTCTCCCGCAGCCGGGCGGTTCCAGGCTCTGTCATTCCCAGAGCCCTCCTGCGGCCGGAAGTCGCCCGCGCTGGCCCCAGGGCTCAGGGCGCTGTCGGGAGGTGACCTCTCCTAAAACGGGCCCTTGGTTTGTCACTGCGTCTAATGACTAGCGCCTTGGAGGGCCACCCGTACACTGTTCTGCTTAGTGGGGCTGAGCCATCATGGTGGTCAGGGAGCTCCGTGGGCAGGACCAACCTTGGAGCCCTCGGGCGGAGGACCAGCCCTCTCTGGGGAGGCGAGAGTGTTTCCCTTGGGTCTGGGAGGGAGCTGGCTCCAGGGACCTGTGAGATCCCCATGGTGGCTGAACCAGCACCAACCTCCCCTGTCTCCTCCGCAGTCTCTGACTTGGCACTCCTGGTCCCGACACAGTGGCCCATCCATTCAGGCTGGGTCCACAGGGTGACAGGAGCAGGTCAGGAAGATGGCAGGGACAGGGGCCAAGGGGCTCCTTTCTTGCCCCCTCGGGACAGTGCCCATCAGGGACAGCCCCTCTGATCACCGCCATCATTCCTCTCAGGGCAGGGCCGGCAGACACTTCCGCTCATGAACTCTGTCCGGCACCAGAGTCTGAGCTCTGGGACGATGATGGACGAGGGAGGACACTGGCCCCTGAGCGGCTCCCAGGGCCCTGCTGCTGGGGGCCGGCGGCCCCGGGGGCCCTCGGTGCAGAGCCAGCAGAGCCAGAGGATGGAGAGCAGGGTTCCCGGAAGTGGCCACCCTCTTGGCACATGTGTATGTGGGTGCAGTGCCTGCCCAGAGATCTGGGTGGGGGACCTTGGGCCTCGGGGTTCTTCTGTGTCTGTGCAGCTGGGCCCCCCTGGGCCAGGGGCTGGGAGCGGCTCCTGTGACCTCAGGAGGACCCAGCCGGGCCCAGGCGGCCTGGGAAAGGAGGCCTGAGACCTGACCCCCCCCCCCTCATTGGGATTCACATCACGGCGTGCAGCCGCCCCAGCGCGGCAGGAATTAGACGCGGCCTGGGTGTCCAAAGTGGGGGGCGGTAGCCGTCCGGGGGCAGACAAACCGGGCAGCCGCGACCCCCCACCTCAGCTCGATATTTCTCTCACCGTCAGGACGGCCGGCCCACCGCCTCCGGCTCCGGCCCCCTCCTTTGTCTGCCCGCCGCCCGGCCGCCCGGCCCATGCGCCCGCCGCCGGGAAGCGGGGAACAATGCGGGCCAATGTCTCCGGGCGGCGCGCCGGCTATGCAAATGCCGCAGCCTGTGAGAACTGCCGCCTGAAAGGCCGGGCTGGGGAGTGGGTCCTGCATAGGGATGAGCTGCCGCCGGGACAGAGCGCCATTGTCTGCCGTCTGCCCGCCGGGCCCCCAGCCGCCGGGAGGAGGGCGGGAGCGGCTCAGGCCAGCCCGTGGGCCCAGGAGCGCCGGTCACCTGTCCGCCTGCACCCCCAGGAGGGCCAGACCTGGGGGCTGCAGCCTCTCTGCCCCGCACGCCCTCCCGCAGAGGCTCCTCTCTTGGCCGTTAAACCCGGTCCCTCCTTGGTGCTCTGCCCACCGCCCTACCTGCTGGCCTCGCCCCTCCTCAATCTCTGTCCCCTTTTTGGCAGCCTGAGCCAGTGGAATCTCACAGGTCCCTGGAGCCAGTTCCCTTCCAGAACCGTAAGGCCGCGGCCGGCAAACCCATTAGACAACAGAGCCAAGTATCAACAGGTACAACGATTGACATTTCTTTTGAGAGCCGCTTATATAGGTAGGTACATTATTATCAACTTAATTAGGGCACGTGGTATTTTGTGGAAGAGCCACACTCAAGGGGACAAAGAGCTGCATGTGGCTCCTGAGCCACAGTTTGCCCACCACTGCCCTAAGGCAAACAGCCCTGGCTTCCCCAGAGCGGGCTGTCACTGTTCAGATGCCCAGGCCTTCCTGCCCGTCTCCCTGCTCACTCTGAGCCCACAGCCAGCCCAGGCCTTCCTGCCCGTCTCCCTGCTGTCCGCCGCCAGTGAAGGAGAGCCAGCCAGGGCAGGACTGGACCGAACTATCCACTAATGTGTGTGTGTGTGAGAGGGGGGGGTTGCCACAAAAAGTCCCCTCCCGCGTGTGAAAGCAGCAAGTCCCTCTGCCTACCCCAACCCAGGAGCCTGTGCCCACCCCCCAGCACCGGAGGAGAAGCCTGGCCAGGGAAGGGCGCTCTGTGCTCAGGGCAGGTCCCTCTCCGCTGGGACCCCGGCCCCTGCCTCGGGCGGCACAGGGTCAGGCTGAGCTCCAGCAAGTGCAGGACCCAGTCCCTCTTTTCTACACGCCGTGAAGACTTCGGTCAAGGGCGGCCGAGGCCACGCAAGGGAGACGCTGTCTCGGAGACGGTGCAGGGATGCTTGTAGGACCCGCCGAGGTTTAGGGGGACAAAACCAATCAGGGCAACACCTGCCTCAGGGGCCCAGGTCTCCCGCCCAGCGTGGCAGGAGGGGGCTGAGGGAGGGAGGAAGGAGGAGGGGGAGGATGCTGGCAGGGCCCGCAGTCTTCCTGGAGGCAGGTCCCAGCTACCTGCGAGCCTATTCCCCTTATGGCTGGCCCAGCCCTCCACGGAGCTGAGCTCTTCCCTCTTCTGCTCCTGGAGGAGGAGCAGGGGCCGTGGTCTGTCTTGGGGGTGTGGGCAGGGTTGAAGTGGTGGGGGCAGCAGAGCCTGGCGGGCAGGGTTGAAGGGGGTGGGGGCAACAGAGCCTGGCTGCCTGGGGGAGCATGTGGGGGACTGAAAGGCAGGCAGGGACTGGGCTGGGGGTGCCAGGGAAGCCGCGGCGCTCTGCCCACTGCCCATCTTCTGGAGGGGTCCTCCTGCAGCTTCTTCCCCTCCTGCTCTCTTGGCTGGGTCTCTGCTTCAAAGCTTCCTGACCTGGGTCCCCCAGTTTCATGGAAATGCACTCCTGACAGCCACCTCAGAAAGGAGACAAACCCCCATGCTCACACGTCTCCACACAGGGCTGCCCCCCCCCCCCCCCCCCCCCCCGTGTGGCCCTCTCCCTCTGGCTGCACTGCAGGGCCCCTGGGTCTGCTCTGCGCGGCCTGGTCCTGAGGCCGGACCCAGGCAGGCCCAGCTGGGCTGAGGCTGGAGAGGAAGTGCTTTGTTGT